AACAGATAAACAAAACTGCAATCTCAACTGATGTCCTGAAGTCTTATAACTGTGTCTAAATCTAAGTTATGTTTTATTCTTTCTACCTCATAAGTAGTCCTAGGATTAGCACTATAACAAACACCATTGTTTGAACTTTGGATATTTTAGTCTTGTAGATGATGGAGATGTTAAGCTCACATCTAAGATGTTTATCCCTACAACTGTGAGGGTGATGGAGTAGCCAAGTGCTTACAGTAACAAATGTTAAATTTGGGATAACACTTTCTTAGTAAAGTACAAATTCTAGTACCTTTTTGAGTCCCATCCAGGATTCGAACCCACATTCACAACAAGACATGCAACACAACGTTAGATGTACTCCGTGCCTACACTGGGTAACTTTTCTAAAGACTCTGTGACAAAAAGACCACCATTACAGAGGGTCTGATTTCGAGACGAGACTTAATGATGATGCTTGAAGGATGGAGGTACGATAATCTTTGACGCTCACTCCTGATACAGAGTCAGACAAGGGCACTGAGCAACAATGCTTTCATGATAATATTGGTAATAGCTACAATTGGAACGCCTTTAAATCAGGATACCAAGAGCATTCCTTGTCCAAAATATGTTGAATATATCAAATGTTTTATTTGGGATAACACTTTCTTAGTAAAGTAAAATACAGATTCTCGTACTCTTTGGGTCGAGTCCCATCCGGTATTCAAACCCACACTGCCAGAGTGAGGCACCTAATCGCCAGCAATCTAACCCACCCAGCCACCAAGGCTTCCACAAATTGAAAGTCCGACAACTGGTAGTCTAGATCACATACTTTGTGTGCCCTCTTTGGGTATGCTTACAGCATATGTCGAAGGTCTGGGTTCCATTACAGACAGGACTACAATGTCTGAAGCCCATGTCTATTGATCCCCGCCGAAATATTCCTGGAATATTGCTTTAAAATGACATAAAATGCAACTGACTCACTCTACAGTTATCAGAGTGCAAATATTCCAGCTATATATCACGGAGAGACACTATGCAGTAAAGACAACCATATATAAAAATTCCAATCTGAACTGACGCATTGAAGTCTAAATAAGTTAACATTTCTTAATCTTTCTCTTTTTAGACCTTTTAAATTGTTCACACAAGTAAACAAAACATGAATGATTTTCTGAACAATTATAAAATGTTCTCCTGAAATAGTTTGGAAGTTAATACCACGCCTTCATTTAATGAAAGGGATATAATGGATCACAACGCAGATTTACATAATCAAAACGGCTAATTCATCAACTTTGCCTTCTAAATCCACCACCACTTGACACATATCAATATGGGATACTTGTCATGCAAATATCCTTTGATTACTTTTCAAATGTAGTATTGAAAGTTTGAAGGCATTTAATAAGGGAAATATAACAAATGCCTTCACTAAGTTGGGACGTTTTGATGACTAGAGAATGTTTTTGCTTATGCAACACTGCAAGCAAGTTATAATAGACTATATTACACCTTCAGTCAGGAGATATTGGACGTATTCCCGTTTGAAGTGTCAGGTTTATAATGACAACGTGATGTGAAAAGGTCTTGCTGACCAGCTTGGTATACAAACAGATATCGTGAAGAGGTCGTGTCACTTGCTTGGGAGACATGTTAATTTGCTTAGTTTGGGTCGTGTTTCACGCGCTTTCCCCGTATACATCGGTCAAGGTCACACCTCATACTCAGTTGTCATGCGACAATCAAGCGGGGATTTATCAAAGATTCCAAACCAGATAACTTGGCAGGCAAATCGGGAAACAACTCTTATTTGTTCAAAATTGGGATTTTTTATAGTTCTTTTTGTTCAGAGGAATTTTAACACTGCATTCATGCAGTCATATGAATAAATTAAGCATTTACAGCCTCTCCAACTTTCCTGGACCTGTTATCACTGGACTACAAGTCTCCTTGACCAAGCCATCACATTAGTTATTACTGTAGGAACATGAATTAATACAAGGAACTTCATTGGCTGCAGGTTGAGGGCTGAATATTGGACTCTCTAGATAAATACCCTTCAAGGACATCGCTACTGATTAGATAGTTGTGATTGGATGGGAAAAATACTAAAATTTCAATGGTTACTACTTTGAAACGAAAAATATATTCAACTTTAAGTTTGTTCAATGTTACATTTATGATTTAATTCTTGTACATCCACCAATATTGTACTGTGGGTGAAAAGGCAAATACTGAAAGATCAATTTTAATATCCTAAGCTTTTAATTAATTTTCATGTTTACATTTATATGTTCTCACATGAATAACAGGGGCGGTTGGGTAGCCTAGTGGTTAAAGCGCTCGTCACACCAAAGACCCAGGTTCAATTCCTGATATTGGTACAATGTGTGAAGCCCATTTCTGGTGTCCCCCATCGTGATATTGCTGGAATATTGTTAAAAGCGACATTTAAAAGCCATACTCACTCACTCACTCACTTGAATAATAACAGATTGTAGTTGTAATGGCATCACCTTTTATCTTAATTTCTGCTAAACACAGAATAAATAAAGTAAGTGTTGGTGTTCTAATTCTTATATGGCCAACCCTTTATTTATTACTTGTATCACAGATTGCTCCAAGGTAACAAAGCCCTGCCAAAAAACATGAACTAGATTTCATCATTCAACAGTTGTAGTCAAGTTATAGTTGCCAAGGCTCATTGAAACTCTTGCAAACAATTTCAATATTGTCATTCAAAAGCAAATAAAATACCGCATTTGACGTAATAAGCGCCAAGGTCGCTCTTAAAATTAGAAACAGTGGGCTCTTATTAGAATATTGTTTTGGTGGAAAAAAAACAGAGTTGAAAGATAAATTCCGTGGTTTATGCTGACAGACTGAAATGTTTATATACAAGATATATATTTTTCCAGAATTTAATTGCCCATAATTAAGGGTGCATATAACACACGAGTGCGTATTATACGCAAATAAATAAGTCTTGTGTCCATTGATCAATCGGAAGGGGTGCTAATTGGGATTGTTCACTAGCCAATATATTAGCAAATATCGCCGTGGGCGCTTATTACGTCGAATACGGTACTTATTAATACTGAAAATATTGTTTATTTCCGTCTTTGAACTGGGACACAGGTTATCACGATCTGCATGTAAAAATACAGCTGATAGCTTGGTGGTAGATATTACTGTTATCCCTATCAATGCTGGCAAGTGACGGTCATTATGAGATCAAACACACCACGTGGGCAGTACAGTGACAAACAGGTAGCTCATTAAAGGGTAGTTAGCTCTGGTTCCTGACAAACCATTGTAGACTGGTTACATGACACACCACAAGAGGTCTAATTGTTTCCCCTGATTAACAAACAGTAGGTGAAGCAAGTTTGTGTGAGCTAATTAACTGGTTTAATGCTACGTAGTATTACCTGGAGGTGAAATTAATGTGTTTGATAGTTGTTCATTTATATTCTCTTTTGATCTACCAGGGTCCTCCATTGTGTGACTGTTCAAGTCACATGGTTTAGACATTCGTGACATGGAAAAGTGTTTCTATAAACTGGAAGTGAATTTGACATTCACTATCAGATTCAATTCTCATTTAGGATATACTTTTGTCAAATATTTTTAGTCCCTTTTAATTTATATTCTTTTGTATTCATTTTACATATTACAGCATCATTTTTCTTATTTCTTCTTCTCATAATGTGGTTGCATAGAAGATGGGTGAGGTAATCGCCACCAGTGTGTATCGCCGACAGAGTGAAAGAATGATTAAAGAAGTTGTTGCAGGTACAATCAGAATGTTATTCCTTCATATAAGCCTTAAACATCAATAAAACAACATTCACTGTTCTGACCTCCGAAACAAGGTCTAACGATATGAACTGATATTATGAAGACAATGAAAGATTAAAGAAGTTGAAATCAATATGTCAAATCTGTCTTCATTGATAGTAAAGTTTGTAAAATACCACTTCAAGAAACTGAGAATACTATCACTTGTCAATGATATGTTTTCATCCAGAAGAGAGTTACTCCCTAATGTAGTCCCCACCCCTGGTGTCCATGTTGGTCATACTTTTAAACTGAAAATGTACACAGAGCACCAGATACGCTGTTCATTTGTGTAAAATACACACAATAAATCACCATAGCCCAATAACGACACTGTGAGTAATAACTATTCATCTGGAGCCCTGGGACACACAGAGAACAGCTGTTACATGGACTCTTCAATTCCTGGCAATTTCAAGACTATTGAACCAAAACAGTTTTTCAGTGTTAATCAATAAGGCTAGCCAAACAGATGCATAAGCTGGTGGATGAGGTAGTTGGTAGGTTTGTTGTTTAACGTCGCACTCAGCAATATTGCAGCTATATGACGGTGGTCTGTAAATAATCAAGTCTAGACCAGACAATCCAGTGATTAATATCACGAGCATCGATCCAAGTCCGCGAGCCTGACCAACCGATCCCGTTAGTCGCCTCTTTCAACAAGCATAGTTGTGGATGAACTGTGGCTTTATTGAGGATTACAACTTAGATAAAAAAAAACTTTTTATTGCCAAACACTTTTTTCACACTTATTTCTGTTACTGGTAACCTGACTGAAAGTGTTACATATGCAATCAACACGTTTTGCATGGTGCTTCAGTAACATGTGATGTTTACCAGATGTTCACATCAATGTGAACTGGTGACCGCTTTGTCCACAGAATAACAATACTGTAACAAACGCAATCCTTTGAACTCTGAACGTATTGGAGAGTTTCCAAATATCACGATAATTAAACTGTCACTGTGATTGATGCGGATTGAATATCACATTGATGGATAGAGAATACTAAACGTTTGCGTTTCGGATATTGTTTGATTCTCCTACTGTGGTATTTTCATCTCTATCTCGCCATTATCCCGCCTATGAATTCACAGCAGGACTCGTGTGCACACAGACTTAACAAAAGTTACCCATCGCTTCTCTATTACGCGCGCCGTTGACTTACCTGAATGTCAGAACTGTTAGTGGTCTGTACGACTTATGGCTCGAGTTGTCCAACATTGGCCGTCCCCAAAAATCATTGGTAAATATTTCCGTCCATTCCGACTGTCCATTAACATCAGGATTGTTTTTAATTGCATAGATATCATCATGCACAAAATCTCCATTCAAGCTATTAAGATAGCAACCGCCGGCGACTATGGCTGTCAAAACACACAGAAGAGCATCTATTTGCCCCGCCCATTTTGAAGATTTAACTGTCGGTTTCTTCACAACATTGTTGTTTAACACCATGATTGAACATCGGACATGAAATCACTCTGATGACTTCTTGTCTGAAATGTCTCTACTACATCCAAGAGGAGATTGCACACCATGACATCCAACTCAGTTTATATACACGCTGCCCCCGGCGAGTTCATGTTTTTCAGCCGCGAGCACATGTTGGGTGTTGTCATTGGGTCACGTGACTTTTACGTCACATTCAAAATGGCGACGACCATGCAACTGGCTGCTGCCGCCGCTAGCGGTGATATTTCGGTGAATATTCAATGGAAATATGCATCTCACGAAATATTCTACTTGCAGAATTTATCTCAAAGCTCTATGTGTTTGAAAAAGCGTCACAAATGGTTATGTAACATTTCGATAAGGCTTTATTATCACTGGAAAAATTCAGCTGACTTTTGGTTTCCATGGAAATTACTATGCAACACATGACCTACCTCTATTTTTAGAACGTCACATCGTGGATCAGTGCAGCTGTTTGTTCATCTCAATTTCAAGACTGCCGCTACAGTTGGATTTGTTTACAGCGGTGTATTTATCACTGTTTTGGGCGACGGCGACACAGTAAACAATAACTGATAACGTAAACAGACCTAGGCCTAATTGATGGCGACAACCCCCTTTTCATTGGTACGCCGAGCTATGTTATTAAAGTGGTACAGGCAATTTAGGATACCATCAAAATATTTATCTGGTACGCGGATGCCAATATTTTAATTTCGAATTTTGTAATTGCCTTTTTCTTTTGCAAGTAATGACAGATCAGTAAAATGTTTATCCCTACGCTTTATGAGCATGCGTGTTCTAGAGAGGAGGTGTTATCAAGCTCCTAATTGTAATTGGCTACAGATTCTCACCAGTGTATGTCAAACAATTAAATCTATTCTAAAAGTACAAGATCTGATCTGAGGGCTTTTTGAAACTTACGTTTCCGGAGAAAGCCCATATATAATGAGTATTGTAAAACAGCCCAAATAAACAGTCACGTTTATTTTGCTAATTTGTTTCCCAGATATCTTCACTCATAGTCTAACTAAGGAAACACTTTGGTGACAGTCAGGCATCGAGAGAATTGCGTTAATTAATATTTTGTTTTCATAAATGCGAAACCGTATTATCAGTGGTTCATATTGGGAAGGGAGGTCACGCTAATTTCAATCTGGAATATCTCTGTTATTTTAGTATTTATGAAAAATGGCGTTTTTGTCACACTGCACATTGTAAGTCAAAATATTAATTTGCCATCTCAACACTAAGGTATATAGTCCTGTACCATGACTGTGGAATATATTAATTTATGAAAAAAAATAATCTAGAAATGCATACAAAAGCAAGTCTAGCCAGCTCAAGCTAGCTCTATTCCAGTATTCTTATTTACATCAAAGGTTTGAATATATTGTATTTTCATCTTTCCATCCGTAACTTGCAGCAAATCAAAATATAGCTCTTGCAAATGAAATTAAAAACTCAAGGGTATTTGTTTTCCCAAAAGGCCCACTTTTTTTCTGAATAGAGATGGCTGCAGGTTGGCCCACATTTAAGAAAGTCAGTAGTTGTATGATCAGTGTGATACTACTAGTATGCAAATCCTCTTTAATACATTGGCTTACCGCTCATTATCATTTTCTAAAATGTTGGCTCACTGCTTCCCGGTCATATATATGGTGATCAAAACAAGTGGGCCCACATTTGTATAACCCCAAGCTTTATCATGTTTATCAAGCCTATGACTGATGACCTCCAACTTTTCCGGGAACTTGTTCCATTTTACAGAAAAACTCATGAATATTAATGAGACGAGAACCCAATTTAGGGGTGGTGGGATAGCCTCGTGGTTAAAGCGTTTGCTCGTCACCCCAAAAACCTGGGTTCAATTCCACACATGGGTACAATGTGTGAAGCCTATTTCTGGTGTCCTCCGAAGTGATATTGCTGGAATATTGCTAAAAGTGACGTAAAACCATTCTCACTCACTAGTACCAAGTTTTGCAATGTTTGTAGAAGTGTGTTCTGCTTTAAATTTCCAATTTAAAGCCAGGAAACATACTTTATATTGACAAAATATTAGTTGTTTTTTAAGTTTTTTGGATGTAGTAAACCAGAGAGTTCAGTTTCGAATGATGGCTTACCTTGCACTTTCGATTAGGCAAGCAGAGTTAGCTCCCTTCTCAAACCACTGATAATGCAGTTTTTGTGTTCTGTAAACATAAAAATACTAAAACTATTGAGTTAATACAGATACATGTTTGGCATGTTTTATTTAAATAGTCAGATTTCTTTTGTGCCACTGACCAGGGGGTAATCAGTTTTAGCGGTGGTATCATGGGATGTTACTGTTTGTATTTTCAGTCAGTTCGTCAGCTACTTGTGCAGGGTGCGGATGTTAACGGCCTGTCATCCGACGGGATGAGTCCCCTGGCTGTTGCAGCATTCTGGGGCTATGCAGACATAGTGGAGGAACTACTCAAAGCTGGGTGAGGAACCAAGTTTCCAGTTCACCTGTTTTGGGATAGACCAAGTATTGCCCAAAGCCAGGTGACATATACAGGGATAACAAAGTCAAGTGTGTGTGTGTTACTGTGTCTGTGTGTGTCTGTGGCTGTGTGTGTGCATGCATGTGTGTGTCTCTCTGTTTGTGTGTCTGAGTGTGTGTGATGTGTGTGTGTGTGTCTGTGAATGTGTGCGTATGTATGTGTCTGTCTGTGTCTTTGGTTATGTTTGTGTGTATGTGTGTCTGTCTCTGTGTGTTTGTTCATGTTTGTGTGTTTGTGTTTGTTTGTCTATGTGTGTCTGTGTGTGTGTTTGTGTGTGAATTTGTTGGTTACAAATTTCATCACAATTAAACACAGTGTGGCCATACAATATGCAAGATATTACATTATATATTAATGTCAATAAATCAAAGCATGTATGGATTAGATGCATTCATTCTGTGCCTGCAAGTAAATCACAACTGTTGCAGTGTTTGATTTCAAAGTTAGGTGGGTGGGGTTGGGGGGATCAAATAGTGATTTATGAACACTCAATAGTTCTCATGTGAAAAGATTGTCTGGTCCAGACTCGATTATTTACAGACCGCCGTCATATAGCTGGACTATTGCTGAGTGCAGCATTAAACAACAAACAAACAAACATATGAAAAGAGTACCAACAATGGTGGAGAAAGGTTGATGTTTGTTCTAGGGCTGGGGCGAGTCCAAATTTACTACCCGGGTACCCAACCCCCTATTACCAGACCCTACCCGGGTACCTGCTGTAGATCTCAAGAGATAGGTAAAACATGTCTGATTGGGAATAGTTTGACCGTACTCCTGTCAAAATGAATTTAGATACACATGTAAACCGATCTGGTCATGCATACACTGAAGTTGACTGATGTTTTATCATTATGCAAACATATAAAGTCAGAAAGAAATGTGAACATTTATCACTTATAGTGTAACCATAGAGTTCTAGATAATTTTTGCCGTTACACAATATAATAACGTGACTAACCACGGGTCCGGGTAGTCCTGTGGGTACCCGGGTCCTACTCAGTACCCACCCGACCCGGGTACCCGAGTTACCCGTCCCAGCCCTAGTTTGTTCGCACTTCAGATAGAAATGTTTCAGACCACTTTGCATACTTGCCATACTGATCATATAAGCATGCAGGAGTTACTTCCCTTTAAGTGTATATCATGTATACGAGGCAATTGTCTGATAATGAAGACCAGTCTCATTGATTGGGGTGATTCATACACTCACATTGTGTCAACAATTATAACTGAATTTAGATATATGTTACTGTGGTGACATTTCTGTTTCATGTTGAGGTTTCAGTGTCAGTTTCCGTTGAGCAAGTAGGACAGAGGAACTGACTACATTGTACTGACTGTATTATGTTCATCATTTGTTTTGATATAATTTGTTTATTGAAATAATCCAGGAGCTCCCCTTGTGACCAGGATCAAATGCCTGGGCACAAATAAGGTTTATTTCAGTATGTGATACATTCATTGCGATAAAGAGTAACCAATCAGAGGTATTCGTAAACATTTAGTTTTTAATCTCTTTTATTGTAAATGAATTACAGTTCTGGGTATTTTGCTCAAGTGAGCATCGCGATTGCCAAAGTTTCTTATATATTCTGGACAATATTGAGAATTCTCAATTTGGGCTATGGCATGAATGTAGCACATACATTGAGAACTGAAAGAGATAATAAGTCCTTTTGTAATGCGCCAAATTCTATTCACTAAGTGAATGCTCATGGCGCTACATTATTATTACCTCGATCAATGGATCAGTGTGCCCTCAGTTTTCAGTCTCAGCTCCCTGGGGAGAATCACAACCTAAGATGCCTATGGGGCGTTAGAAGGCTAAGTCACATTCACATTCACAAATATACGTCTGTTCCAACAGAAATACAAGTTAGAACTAGCCCCAGCTGTGATGACATCAGATGAGACCATAGTCTTCTTTTCTACCTCGACTGCTTCAGATACTGTACAGCATGTGTCAGCCATGTTGTTATAGCCAACATTCCAGGGAAGGGTCTATTTATCCCCTCACAAAGATACTTGAAGCTCTGGTACACAGTCATTTAGTGGTGTTTGTCTACAACTTTCAGAGCAGACGTCAACCTCCTCAACAGGGGAACACTATGGACGCCGCTTCACTGTGCCTCATTCCAAGCTCATGGCAAGGTCATCCTGAAACTGATGCCTTACGAACCAGACCTGTATACAACGGACAACCAGGGCAGGTGGGTTATCAGATCTGTATACAACCGACAACCAGGGCAGGTGGGTATCAGATCTGTATACAAAGGACAACCAGGGCGGGTGGGTATCAGATCTGTATACAACGGACAACCAGGGCGGGTGGGTATCAGATATGTATACAACGGACAACCAGGGCGGGTGGGTATCAGATCTGTATACAACCGACAACCAGGGCAGGTTGGTTATCAGATCTGTATACAACCGACAACCAGGGCAGGTGGGTATCAGATCCTAATACAACGGACAACCAGGGCGGGTGGGTATCAGATCTGTATACAACCGACAACCAGGGCGGGTGGGTATCAGATCTGTATACAACGGACAACCAGGGCAGGTTGGTTATCAGATCTGTATACAACCGACAACAAGGGCAGGTGGGTATCAGATCCTAATACAACGGACAACCAGGGCGGGTGGGTATCAGATCTGTATACAACCGACAACCAGGGCATGTTGGTTATCAGATCTGTATACAACCGACAACCAGGGCAGGTGGGTTATCAGTATACAATGGACAACCAGGGCAGGTGGGTTATCAGATCTGTATACAACAGACAACAAGGGCAGGTGGGTTATGAGTATACAATGGACAACCAGAGCAGTAGGGTTTTCAGTTCTCTATATAAGGGACAACCAGGGTAGGTGGGTTATCAGATCTGTATACAACGGACAACCAGGGCAGGTGGGTTAACACCAGATCTGATCACACAGAGATATTGTAGGTGTAGAGCTCCAACAGTGCTAGAGTTAGGCATCAGCAGATCCGATCAGACAGATATATTGTAGGTGTAGAGCTCCAACAGTGCTAGAGTTAGGCATCACCAGATCCGATCACACAGATATATTGTAGGTGTAGAGCTCCAACAGTACTAGAGTAAGGCATCACCAGATCCGATCACACAGATATATTGTAGGTGTAGAGCTCCAACAGTACTAGAGTTAGGCATCAGCAGATCCGATCACATGGAGATATTGTACGTATAGAGCTCAAGCAGTGCTGGAGTTAGGCATCAGCAGATCCGATCACAAAGATATATTGTAGGTGTAGAGCTCCAACAGTGCTAGAGTTAGGCATCAGCAGATCTGAGCACATGGAGATATTGTACGTATCTATAGAGCTCCAACAGTGCTAGAGTTAGGCAACAGCAGATCCGATCACATGGAGATATTGTACGTATGGAGCTCCAACAGTGCTAGAGTTAGGCATCAGCAGATCCCATCACATGGAGATATTGTAGTTGTAGAGCTCCAACAGTGCTGGAGTTAGGCATCAGCAGATCCGATCACATAGAGATATTGTACGTATAGAGCTCCAACAGTGCTAGAGTTAGGCATCAGCAGATCCGATCACGTGGAGATATTGTAGGTGTAGGGCTCCAACAGTGCTGGAGTTAGGCATCACCAGATCTGATCACATGGAGATATTGTAGGCGTAGAGCTCCAACAGTGCTAGAGTTAGGCATCAGCAGATCTGATCACATGGAGATATTGTGGGTTTGGAACTCCAACTGTATTAGAGTTAGGCATCACCAAATCCGATCACATGGAGATATTGTAGGTGTAGAGCTCCAGCAGTGCTAGAGGTAGGCATCACCAGATCCCATCACATGGAGATATTGTAGGTGTAGAGCTCCAACAGTGCTAAAGTTAGGCATCAGCAGATCTGATCACACAGATATATTGTAGGTGTAGAGCTCCAACAGTGCTAGAGTTAGGCATCACCAGATCCGATCACACAGAGATATTGTAGGTGTAGAGCTCCAGCAGTGCTAGAGTTAGGCATCACCAGATCCGATCAGACAGATATATTGTAGGTGTAGAGCTCCAGCAGTGCTAGAGTTAGGCATCACCAGATCCGATCACACAGATATATTGTAGGAGTAGAGCTCCAACCGTGCTAGAGTTAGGCATCAGCAGATCCGATCACACAGAGATATTGTAGGTGTAGAGCTCCAACAGTGCTAGAGTTAGGCATCAGCAGATCTGATCACACAGAGATATTGTAGGTGTAGAGCTCCAACAGTGCTAGAGTTAGGCATCACCAGATCTGATCAGACAGATATATTGTAGGTGTAGAGCTCCAACAGTGCTAGAGTTAGGCATCAGCAGATCTGATCACACAGAGATATTGTAGGTGTAGAGCTCCAGCAGTGCTAGAGTTAGGCATCACCAGATCCGATCAGACAGATATATTGTAGGTGTAGAGCTCCAGCAGTGCTAGAGTTAGGCATCACCAGATCCGATCACACAGATATATTGTAGGAGTAGAGCTCCAACCGTGCTAGAGTTAGGCATCAGCAGATCCGATCACACAGAGATATTGTAGGTGTAGAGCTCCAACAGTGCTAGAGTTAGGCATCAGCAGATCTGATCACACAGAGATATTGTAGGTGTAGAGCTCCAACAGTGCTAGAGTTAGGCATCACCAGATCTGATCAGACAGATATATTGTAGGTGTAGAGCTCCAGCAGTGCTAGAGTTAGGCATCAGCAGATCCGATCAGACAGATATATTGTAGGTGTAGAGCTCCAACAGTGCTAGAGTTAGGCATCAGCAGATCCGATCACATGGAGATATTGTGGGTTTGGAACTCCAACTGCGCTAGAGTTAGGCATCAGCAGATCCGATCACATTGAGATAATGTACGTATAGAGCTCCAACAGTGCTAGAGTTAGGCATCACCAGATCCGATCACATGGAGATATTGTAGGTGTAGAGCTCCAACAGTGCTAGAGTTAGGCATCACCAGATCCGATCACACAGATATATTGTAGGTGTAGAGCTCCAGCAGTGCTAGAGTTAGGCATCACCAGATCTGATCACACAGAGATATTGTAGGTGTAGAGCTCCAACAGTGCTAGAGTTAGGCATCAGCAGATCCGATCACACAGATATATTGTAGGTGTAGAGCTCCAACAGTGCTAGAGTTAGGCATCCCCAGATCCGATCACACAGATATATTGTAGGTGTAGAGCTGCATCAGTGCTAGAGTTAGGCATCAGGAGATCCGATCACATGGAGATTTTGTACGTATAGAGCTCCAACACTGCTAGAGTTAGGCATCAGCAGATCCGATCACAAAGATATATTGTAGGTGTAGAGCTCCAACAGTGCTAGAGTTAGGCATCAGCAGATCTGATCACATGGAGATATTGTACGTATCTATAGAGCTCCAACAGTGCTAGAGTTAGGCATCAGCAGATCTGAGCACATGGAGATATTGTACGTATAGAGCTCCAACAGTGCTAGAGTTAGGCATCAGCAGATCCCATCACATGGAGATATTGTAGGTGTAGAGCTCCAACAGTGCTAGAGTTAGGCATCAGCAGATCCGATCACATGGAGATGTTGTAGTTGTAGAGCTCCAACAGTGCTGGAGTTAGGCATCACCAGATCCGATCACATGGAGATATTGTAGGTGTAGAGCTCCAACAGTGCTAGAGTTAGGCATCACCAGATCTGATCACATGGAGATATTGTAGGTGTAGAGCTCCAGCAGTGCTAGAGTTAGGCATCACCAGATCTGATCACATGGAGATATTGTAGGTGTAGAGCTCCAACAGTGCTAGAGTTAGGCATCACCAGATCCGATCACATGGAGATATTGTAGGTGTAGAGCTCCAGCAGTGCTAGAGTTAGGCATCACCAGATCTGATCACACAGATATATTGTAGGTGTAGAGCTCCAACAGTGCTAGAGTTAGGCATCAGTATGTAATTGCTTCAGTTAATGGAATGAGAATCATTTAAGTGAAGAAATTCAAACTGTCTGACATGTTCCGTATCTCTCCTTACAGAACTGCAATAGACTTTGCATCAGCACTGGATTCCATATGGCCATTCTTCGCTGGTAAGTGGAGCCCATATACACTCTCCTTTAGAACAATGTAACAATCTGAGGTGATGCTGCCTTGTATGCCATGTTGTAACCACGACTCGTATCTCAGACCTTGTTTTGGCAAGTTGTATTTGCTGGGTTTCAATAGTCAGTTTGTAACATTTGCATGTCTACAGTCATCCCTACAATTTTCTTATTTAGTTTTTTTCAAAATTTTGATAATATTACTGAAAAGTTTACCAAACGGTTGTTTCTCCATATAAGAAAGTACCCTGGATAATTTGTTTCAAAAGTCCTAATTAGTCATATAAATTATTACTTATATTCTCTTTCCATTGGATTATTATAGCTCCTACCTATAAGGGTAGGGGTATATAGTTATACCAAGAAATTTCTCCGCCTGTCTGTCCTTCTGAGGACATTTTATTGTGTGATCTCTAACTTGCAAACTCCTACATTGATTCTTTTCAAACTTGGTGAACACTTTCTATGCCAATAAGAGAGGTGCAGTGCAGCGTTTATTTTTATGTGCATTTTCTGAAAATAAATATGATTCTTTTAATTTTTTTAACTAAGAATGTTTTTGTACTTCAACATTTGTGCGACCTATAACTTGAAGTGGATTTTCTGAGAAAATATTGCTTTCTTCATGTTTTGAACTCAGAAATATGTATACACCCCCAACCTACGATGATACACCGGTGCATCTTTGAATCATGCCATTACCATGTTATATTATTTTGCTTTTTAAGAGAATCCGGGTCAAACATTAAGTCATTTAATTGTGTATCATTGTATAATTTCATGTACATATCTTTCGGGGAGAATTACATGTTTCAGTTTGTCCTTAGTATTAAGAATTTTATGGTAAAAATACTAATTGGAGAGGTGCAGTGCTAAGTTTGATTTTGATATGTGTATTTTCTGACAAAAAATGCAATTTTTTTTCATGTTTTGAACTTGGAATGTTTTTTGTACTTCAACATTTGTGCGACCTATAACTTGAAAACTACTTCATGGATTCTTTTCTGATTGTGGGTACAGTTTCTATTCCAGTAGGAGAGATGCAATGCAAAGTTTGATTTTGATAAGTGGATTTTCTGAGAAAATATGTTGGAGCCAAAGTCAGGGTATTAGTGAGCCCTGCTTACTTTTGTCTTGTATCATAGGCAGTTTGGCAGGGTATATAGGTTTTAACAGGGAATCTATATATTTTAACAGGGAGTCTATATACATTTTATATATTTCATCAGTTAAGTAAGTTGATTATATCTATTTAAGTACAGTATTGAGAGTGCAGTATTGAGAGTGCTGCCAATACAAATTATAACAGCAGCTGGGGTATCATTCTCATGGCCAGCAGCACAGAGTCATGTGCGGGTCAGCGGATTGTTATTACCGTATTCGAGGTAATAAGCGCCCAGGGCGCACTCAAAATTAGAAATAGAGGGCTCTTATTAGAATAGTATTTTGGTGGAAAAAAAACAGCTGAAAGATTGTAAATTTCGTGGTTTATGCTGACAGACTGAAATGTTGACATACGACAGATATTTTTTTCGAGAATTTAATTGCCCATAATTAAGGGTGCATGTAACACACGAGTGTGTATTATACACGAATAAAAAAGTCTTGTGTACATTGATCAGTCGGAAGGGGTGCTGATTGGGATTGTTCACTAGCCAATATATTAGCAAATATCTCCATTGGCGCTTATTAGAGCGGGGCGCATATTACGTGGAATACGGTAATGCCAGAGAATGGTGTGTTGGCCACTGAAGTTTAACTTTGTGGATGAGGTGTGTGATACTGCAGGCTGACCATATATGTAGCGTAACATGATACATGGCTGTCCATTTCTGGTGTCTCCCTGATAGAATATTGCTAAAAGCAGGATAAAACCATACTGACTCACTCATGTCATCATGCTGTATGTTGTGGGTTACATCCATTCATTTACTGTTTCAGCTGCTGGGTGTAAGAGAACTCCCAAGTCAGACCTGATTAGAATGGATATCATCAAGAAGGTTAGCAGAGGCTATTTTGTCCTAATAGTTACACAGTTACACAGTTCTTACATGAGCAACAATATAACAACATGTCACTTTTGTACCTGAGAATTCAGAAATTCATTAGACACTTTCTGCTTGATTTCAAGATCTGCTGTAGAATGTATGACCAAGGGAGAAATGGGCATGCAGTGGATATTTTACTGGCGCTTCAATTTACTGTGCTTTTTTTGGTGGATTTTCGGACGCTTAAGAAACAGTCATAGTTTTCTCTCTAATCACAAAATAACTGTAAAACATCTAATTCACTCATAAAAAAACAACTTTCTCTTAAAAACAAGCCATCATATGAGTATTTACAATGTCTGTTTGAGGGCGGTCAGGTAGCCTAGTGGTTAAAGCGTTCGCTCGTCACGCCGAAGCCCCGGGTTCGAATCCCGACAATGGGTACAATGTGTGAAGCCCATTTCTGGTGTCCCCCGCCGTGATATTGCTGGAATATTGCTAAAAGCGACGTAAAACCAAACTCACTCACTCACTCACTGTTTGATGCAACACCCCCAATTATAGTTAAAGTAATTGCAATAAAGGTGGCCATCTGAAAACCTATGACCTGATGATACAAAAATGTTTCTAATTATGTATTAACCTTGCACTTAATTAACCTTTGTCTACAATTCATAAATGATTGTCATATTGAACTCAAGATAAATAACTGAAGTTTCTTTGTTTTTGTCATTTTTATGTGAAAACAACTTTAGTAACTAATTTGGGATATTGCTCTGGTAGACTAGATCACATACTTTGTGCCATGGTAACAATGCCAATTTACACTTGTCAGAGGGGTACACAAAGTATGCGATCTAGACTAACAGATGTGGGACTTTCATTCTTGTGGAAGCCTCGGTGGCTGAGTGCCGGTACCTCACTCTGGCAGTGTGGTTTCTTATCCTGGATGGGATTCAACCCCAAAAGTACTAGAATTTGTACTTTACTGACAGTGTTATCCCAAATAACATTTGTTACATTGGACCCTTTCTAAACAACATTGTGTGTTTGTAACAACCTTTTTGGGGCTCATCCCTGCCCCTTCATCAGGTGAGGGCAAGAAGTTTCCCTGAAATGTCTTTGCAAACTATAAAGAACTTGTTATCCATAAACGTTTCATGTCTTTGTGTTCTCCCAACATCATCATGCTTGTGATAAAATATCTTACCCGAGGCAAGTGAGTTAACTGACTATAAAAGTCCAGTTTCCACACTTGCCGAACTAGGCTGGTATTATGGAGTTACATTTTGGCTGGATTAACGAGTCTATGCATAGTCCAATCAAAATCCCGCTCTGAAATTGAAATCCGGTTGGTTAACGGTCACGCAGATTTCGGTCAATTGGAGGATTTGCAAAGCATGTGCACAGCTAACTCATTGTCAACAGATATTTTCTAAATCTTTTCATGTTTTTAGTCAGTGTGCTCACGTGATTTGATGCACTTCGCGATGTAAGACTCGTTTTATCACAATATAGAGATCTGAAGCAAATGCAGGTGATACGAGAGTTGGAATCTGATTGGGCCATAGGAGAGGCATAGAAGGGACATAACCTGTAATAGCCACGGGAGGCGCTACATACCAGCCCAGGAATTCCAGCATAGTTCGGCAAGGGTGGAAACTGGACTTTTAAAGTCATGGTGATAAACTGCATGAAGGCCATCAGAGATTAATAAGATGTTATGTTCTTTTCTGTCACAGGTATCTCCGGTAGAAAGTGGCTTCCCGGCAACCGACCACATCCGGTTCAAGTCCTCCCGGCCAGGGTCTGCCTATGTCATGAACACACAGTCCTTGGCAAACACACACTATACAGATGGGAGAATGGTGAGCTGCTACAAGATCAAGACATGAGACTTTTTATGGAAACAGCTTCTTTATTGACTGTAACAATGTTTCAGGGCTAGTTCTTGCTCCTTTGTTCACCTGAAGAAGAGTGAGTGGGTTGGGTTTAACGCAGCTTTTAACAGTATTCCAGTTATATCACGGCGTATCAGCTTAATGTGGGAGGAAAGCCTGGAGTGATGCAGGACTCAGACGTTTACCACTTCGGTGTAACCCACAAGCACAGGTTTGGTGCCGACAAACCTTGAAACATAATCGTGGCGAACCGGGAATCGAACCAACAATCATAGGTTTCTGGTGTGCCCAAGGGACGGAACCCAGGGAATCGTGGTGCCTTAACCTGTGCTCCCATCTGAAGAAGAAGCTGGTAGTCGTCCAGAAACATTGTAAACAATCAAGAAGTTGTTATCCATAAAAAGTTTCAAGATTTCATGTTCTTCCAACTTCTAAATCCTTATCAAAACCTTGCTACAAGATGTCAATCGAACAGAAAAAGAAAATAAATAATATTATACTATAGTCACCGTTCATAAGCATCCCGAGTGCCTTTTAAGACCATGAATAGTAGGTTAAGTCTGAGAGTGAGCGGTTGTGCCCAAAATTAGTTGAAACATCCATGAAACTAAAACTGTTTTGATAATAGTTGCTAGGCAATTATATAAACCTTCTACACAGTCGTTGTTTTTTAGACAAATCTGTAATATTAACAAGAAAATACAGACTGTCGTGTTAATATCGGTCTAGGAGGGGGTACTTATAAAGATTACTTACAGAATAATCAAAACGTTTGCGAAGGGGCACTTATTGGAGTTTAGACCACAAGTTTCAAAAATAAGCGTGGCAAAAGGTGGACATTGTCTGCCCTCAAGTCTCATGTCAGATTGAGAGTTGTGGTAACAGTAAAGTTATCTTATTTCAGGCATATGCATCAGTGACTGGGGACGTACTTGCAGGGACACCTGATGATGCATTCCGGGACAGGCGAATAAAGGGGCCTGTGTGGAATAACTGATGGTCAAGCGACTGGACAGCATCCAAGTCATCATCATCCTTGAATATATGCTTGAATATTTAGTCATACCTTCAAGTCAGGCTTCATGCTCACTTTGACTGGACTGCATTACGATATGTTGACAGTGCCACACTATACATTAGTTATGTCATGAAAAAATGTTGATACCTCAGATGTGAGGTATCAGTCTTACATCACAGTAAAACGTTTCATTGAGAATACCAGACAGCATTTACAATCAGTATTATCTACATTTTCAGAGTTTTATTTATTACTGTGTATTTCCCATGTATTATTTTCTGAAGTATTAAAATATTTTATCACAGATTTATGAATGATTCAAGTTGTCTTTTCCTGGCGCGATTAACTTATCTTTATCTCATGGTGTGATTTTCACCAGCCAGATAGGGAAGCCCATTAGAAGACACTGAAATTTGCATACCTTAGATGTGTTATCATTGATTTGCCCTGTCCATTTCCAGGTTTCTCACTGCGATACAAGTAGTTGTAGGTGTTACTGTCTATTATCTATACCTGTGTCACTTCAAGCGTTCCTTCCAAATTAAGTGGACATGCTGTTTCAATCGTATCACAGAATGTTGATTTGCGTAAGAGAAAAGACCTAAGCGACACTCGTCAGACATTTATTGCTCTGGTGAAATCCACGAGTTTGCGCAGCAATGCTACCCAGAAAACTGCCTCGTAACCATACAACTCAACTTTTGATAGGGATATTTTCAGTGTTCGAGGTGGGGGTCTGAATGGAACTGTTATACAAATAGTATTCCGTGTTTCCATTGAACTGCAGCATATTCAGCTTCATTCAAAGTTGACAAAACATAACACAGTTTAAGAAGTTATCCTCAAGTTTCATAACGGTATGAAATTTCTTGGTATCTCAATCAAATTGAGCAGAATATTATCAATAAAAAGTCTGTTTCATCAACATTTTGGACAGTTTCTACAATCTGAGGGAGTTGGGTTTAACATCATTTTGAAAGTATTCCAGATACATAACAGCATGTCGGATTAATGTGCGAGGTAAGCCCTCGCAAAGTCTAAGGATTGTACAAACAAAAGCTGGCAATGAATGAACGAGTGAGTTGGGTTTAACACCGCTTTTAACAGTATTCCAGTTATATCGCGGCGTGATTTATGTTGGGAGGAAAGCCCGAAGTGATTCAGGTCTCAGACATTTACCACCTCGATGAAACCCACCAGCACGGGTATGGTGCCGCCAAACCTAGAAACATAATCGGGGCAAACCAGGATTCAAACCCACATTCATAGGTTTCTGGCGTGTCCAAGGGACGCAACTCTGCACAGCGAACCGCAGCACCTTACACAACTGGGCCACCTGTGCCCCCTAGCTGGCAATGAAGACCAGCCAAGTTTCATAATACTGTATTAGACTTAATAAGCGCCCACGGCAATATTTGCTAATATATTGGCTTTGATCAATCAGAAAGGGTGCTTTTTGGGATTGTTCACATGTACAAAAAGACTTATTTATTCGTGTATATACTCACTCGTGTGTTATATGCACCCTTAATTGTGGGCAATTAAATTCTGGAAAGATATGTCATATATAAACATTTCAGGCTATTCAGAAATTTTATCTTTCAACTGTTTCTTCCACGAAAATAATAATCTAATAAAAGCCCCCATTTCTAATTTTGAGAGCACCCTAGGCGCTTATTAAGTCGAATACGGTAACTTCAAAGATGACCGACGTGCACCGACATCAGATGTGGTAGAATTTGTCAAGATACATGAAACTAACTCAACAGGCTTTTGCAAGTCCATAGAAGAATATCTAATGTCAATCTCATTATATAAAATATTCAAGGGTCATTAACAGTGTTTCGAGTAGTAGATTTGTTGATGGGATAATGGTACCAAGGACTGACAGAGCCTGTTTTTGTTTGCAGGCGACACAGCGTATATTCCTATTCAGAGATTAAGGCCATGGTATTTAGAGTGTTTTTTTTCGAATTTGGGTTTTTTCAAATTTGTTCTTGCCAATGACCTATGCATCCAAAACGATTTTTTGAGTCACTGTGTTAGGTTTAAACCTGCTTTCAACAGTATTCCAGTTATATCACAGCGTGTCAGCTTAATGTGAGAGGATAGCCTGAAGTGATGCAGGTCTGATGTTTACCACTTCGGTGATACCCACGAGCACGGTGCTGACAAACCTAGAAAAATAATCGGGGCGAGGTCTCAGACTTTTACAACACTGGTTGTACCCATGAGCAGGTACATGTGCCCACAAACCTAGAAACTAGGAACCACAAGGGATGCAACTATGCACAGCTAATTAACACTGCTTTATTCTTTAAATTGTTAATTCTATTTCAACTTGGTCCCTCAGAAAAACAAACACTGGTTTTTTTCCCTCAGTGACTTTATTAGAGTCAAATATACACGTTTAGTAGATTCTGAAGGAAGGTCCCATTGTACTCTTGATGTAGAGAGCGCGGACGTTCTGCCAGTTCTTCTTGAGAAGGGACACCAGGAAGTTGACGGCCAAGTTGATGTTGGTGTACAGCTCTTCCTCCGACATGCTCACGTGGCCAATACACACGGACAAACACAGAACCTGAGCAAAGGGACAACATTCATAGTTAGAAACACTGGAGATGGAAAATCAACTCCCAAGGCCAGATTTTTTGTGTGAAAATCCTGGTCAGGAAGTGCAAAAAGACACTTTACATTACTCTTTCCCACATTTTAAGAGGTGACAGAATCAAATTAAATGTTTCGATGTCTTCACTTTAATGAATCGAATGTTTTCATTTCCAAATAACCTCAGAAACTAAAGTTCCCCACATGTTATGTAAGGTAATACATGCACAATATGTTCACATCATAGGCAACTGGAAATGAAAACAAACCACAACAATGAGCGAGTTGGGTTAAACATGGCTTTGAACAATAGTCCAGTATACCACTGCATGTCAGCTTCATATGAAGGGAGAGACCGAAGTGATGCAGGTCCCTGACATTTTCAACTGTGGTGAAACACACGAGCAAAGCGAACTCATGAGCACGGATATGGAGAAGACTAGAAACACAATCGGTGCAAACTGGAACTCCAACCGACGATCATAGATTTCTGGTGTGCCAAAGAGACAACTCTGGGCCACCCATGGCCCCCAATCACAACAAAGATTTTATGCAATGGATTAGTTACCTTCTTCATTTGGAACTTGATGGTGGAGCGGACCTCATCCAGTTTGGAGGGGATGGACTCCTGGTGAGTGAGAGCAGAGGGGAACTTGCCGGCCTTGTTCAGACCTGGGCCCAAGATCCTGGGGATCTGCTTAATCAGAGACTCTGAGGCCAGGAAGGCATCGTACTTCTTTGCTGGAACATTCAAATCAGGATTTAAACAGACAGCTAAGCATGTTGTCCAAGATATGCTTCCTAGTATTTGAATCTAGGGAGTGACAGTCGCTAAATCATTTAACTTATTGGGTTACAAGGACGACCCCAGACTTCAATGTTTATTTTCAGAACTGATTGCAAGATGTTTTGCAATACTTTTTGTGTTGATATTTGGCATTACTTGCAGATCCTTATATTCCTAGTTAAGTCATCATTTGTTACCTCAAGTGAGACTTGCAACTGAGTGAGTGAGTTGGGTTTAACGCTGCTTTTAACAGTATTCCAGTTATATCATGGCGTGTCAGATTAATGTGGGAGAAGCCTGAAGAGTGGCAGGTCTCAGACGTTTACCACTTGGGTGAAACCCGGGAGCATGGATGGTGCTGACAAACCTAGAAACAATCAAGGCGGACCCAGATTCGAACCCACAGTCATAGGTTTCTGGTGTGTCCAAGGGAGGCAACTCTGCACAGCTAATTGCAGCGCCTTAGACAACTGGGCCACCCGTGCCCTTTCAACTATGAAACCACTCCGTCTCCTACATTTTACTATATTCATTGCTGTGCGAGGTACAGTATGCTCTTAGCACAGAACAGCTGTGTGCACTACAAGCAGTGTACCTGGTTGTCATCTTTGCTACTGCATTTGGGTTTTGTTTTGAAGATATTTGTATCTTGTAACATACTGCTTACATCCAAAGTGATCCAACCTCTGCAACAATGACTGATCACCTACCCAATTTCTTGACCAGTTTCTTGTCCTTGTTCAGCTTCTTCAGCTGGTCTGCGTCCATGCATGGTACTTCATTAGCCTTTGCTTGATCAACGTGGACCTGGTCACCAAGAATGCAGACCTTCATCTTGGGACGGGGCACATGACGTAGCCTTTACGTAAAGAGAGTACCCATGAACATCCAAACACAAACCAAAAGGAAACACATTTTACTTGGAGATTACAATGTGAAGTACACTGAACAGTTGTCTCATCTTTTAATCCAGGGCTAACTGGGTGGAGAAACACAGCAATATGTAGACATTTGTCAACCTTTACTATATGCTATGTCTTTAATAGAGGGCATGGTCTTACACCTTTCAGCAAACTCAAAGTGTCCATGTCAGGGTACACTGGAGGGAATTCCCAAATTAGATGACACAGCTTGTGTCAGGTAGACATGGAATAAATAATGGGGAAAGTACGTTTTTAGAAAAAGATCAACTAGTCCAGTTCTGAATTGCACAAATCATTCAATTGAGACTTCACACAATCTTACTGCAAACCAAATAAATCGGTAACAAACACAAACTTGATGAAGCTCTACCTGCACTGTTGACCAAGGAACAGGAAGTCAAGTGAAGCTAAGGACAATGATTGGTCGGCATCAGAGACAAGCTCTGGAGCCTACCCAATTATTTAAAGACCCTGGGTGGAGGTCCCGTCAGGTGGTCTACCCAACTACCCAGCAGTAACATCTGGCTCTTACAACTAATGAAGTATTAGAATGGTTACTTTCACTTTTAGACATGTTACTCAACTGACAATTCTGAAATGCATTAAATTTTTTTTAAATATCACAAGTTACGCCCAAAATGGTCAATGTTATGGCCGTTTCATCAGAATGGAAAATTATCACCATAATTAATCTGTTCACAGGATAACTTGAGCTAGTTCTTGGGTAAAGGTTTGTCTGGACCAGTGCCAGATCAATCTTAAATGCAGCTATGATCACTGATTCCACCAAGAGCCAGATATCAAAAGTGGGTTACGGCAAACATGTTGCCCAAAGCATACTTGATGGTTCCAGAAAAACGCTTGTCCTTTTGGGGATCATAATTCTTCAAAGAAATCTGAAGTTCCACAGATTCCAGAAACTTGCGTTTCTTGCTTTTCGACTTCTGGACCACAGTGCCGATGGATTCTCGCAAGTTGTCTCTGTTGATTTTACTGTAAAACAAAACACACAATATCATGTACATTGCAACAAACAGCTAAGTCAGAAAATAAATCTCAAACAAGTCAAGGATGGCGATGGATTATGTGGGATCACTTATTATATAGTCTTCGAAATAAGGAAAGTTTTGGGTCCCTGAGGTAGGCTGTTATAGCATTTGAATCTAGCATGTCTAGGGACGTCCTAAAATTTCAACTTATTGATGACAAGCAGGATGACAATGATCCCTTAATTTAATTTCACTGCTCGTCTGATATGGTATGCTTTTTTTTCAAAATTGCCTTGACTTGACCACCAAAACCCCATTCTACCAATTGACATTATGACCACACGCGCCAGCTTATATTTCAGCAGTTTCAGAAAAATAGTTTCAATTATTGTCCGAGGACAAGTCTCCTTATAAACTGCTGGAAACTTGGCTACATTGGGGTTTGAACTCAGGTGCTCAGCTACAGATTACAACAAAATTACAGTTGAACTACTTTTTATTTCCACCTTATGATGCATGTCATTGATCACAATTTCAAAGTACTAATTCCAAACCATTTTCGGTCATATGCTAATTCATGCATTGAATATCAATATATCGGCAAACAAGGTGCCCAAGGTTTATTTCTGTAGTACCTGTGCCCAAAACGACCTCAACAGCAATACTTATCAAAATCCCCAAGTCAATTAATATTTTTCAAGTCTGGTAATCTGCATCTCTAGTATTAATAATTATTCTGAGATGACTTACAGAAATAAAAAATACTAGAGACTATTAAATCTACTGAAAACGAGGTCAAAAGAAAAATTCGGATATAGATTCAAAGGTATTTTAACTATAGACCTATTAGCATCTATATTTCCTAGTATTGTGCAAGTCTTGGTTTAAACATGTGTTACACTAGATCTAATTTGACTGTCCAAGATTGTATATACCGGTATACTATATGCATGAAATACAGGGAACTACATGAAATTGCACGCCCTCCCGCTGTCAATATATATATGATTAGAATTTAACATCAGTAAAACTTAGACTTTGCGCTTTAATAAATATAAATCGTGTGACGCCTACATGTCACATCCCCAGAAATGCGTCAAATTCCAAGTGAACAAAAACAAATATTACGAACAAATGTAACACATATCGGTGTATAATTCGAATATTCATTTCATTATCTAAAACCTTGAGTAATGCCTAGTCAATAAGACATCAAATTTCTAAGGATGTTCTCAGATTTGTAGAGCCTGTGAAACACACCTCATCTTGACGGAATCCACGCGATGAAAGAGGGAAGGTGAAGGACGTTACCGATGTCGAAACTTCCGGTTGTGACTTTGCGAGAGTTCCATCGGCCATAGTGTTCTGTGTAATGCACTGTTTCGAAACTATACGCAAAAGATCAACATAAAATGAGTGCTTATGGGTCTGTGGGATAACCTAAAGACTTGGTTAATCATGTTTAAGGAGTAAATCTTACAAGAAATGGTAACTGGTGAAAACGACCTGACTCAAATTGTGCCAATGGAGGTAAGTCTATTCGGTGTTAGGCTGTTCACGAAAAACGAAATAACACACTTTCACTTTAATGATCATTTCTGTCATGCTATGAACTTAATGATATCTATGGAATATATCAGTTGTAGTAAAATCTGACGAGTTCCGGATATGATTTAGGTGACCTATTTTACCCTAAACAGATGGCCGTGTTATTTTAGTTTTCAAGGGGGAAGTTCGAGATCACTACATTTCACAGTATCTGACAGTAATTTTTTTATTTATGACCCTGGTCATCTATATTTATTAAAACGCTTTCTTTCATGTGCGTCCATTCTGTATTGATTTTGTTAGACTAGTAGGTAATTATTGGAGGACCAGGATCATCATGGTGATAACTGATAAACATGGCAGAATTATTAAAGGGCCAGTATGTCAACATTCAGTATGACAGTATGAAACAACAGTCAATGACCCCCAAGCCTATTCGGCCCTACTTGGTTTTGTTGTGAGTTAAGTTTCTGATATATTGACCGTATCGCAGGTGTACAGTCAATGGACATAGTATTCGTCAAGTTAGAAAACTCTCAGCAAAACATGTGGTGAAACACTTCTTTGCTGCGAAGCCTGAAAAGCGAGTATATCCCAGCTGATTCATGTGTACTATATTTAGAATGTTCAAGTCATTTTACAGCCAGCTGATGCCATCTACTTGCCCTAGTTATTGCACTGTCAGCCGGGGGAGTTATGGATTGCAAATCAGCCGAATTGAGCAGCGGGTAACGAGAAACTATTGCAAATGCATCAAAACACTTTAGTAATCACTTCGAGCTTCCAAGACTTTTCGCCATACACAGGACAACTATTAGCAGTATTATCAGAAAATATGGGTGAGTGGGTCAGTGGAAAATTTGGAACAAATTTGGTGGAAGTAATCATTTGGCATCACAGATGAGATGGAACATTCACGGGTCATGAAAAAGAACAGAAAGGCAACTTAACAAAAAATTACCAACATAATTAATGAGGAAAAGAGGTAATGTTTTGTGATAAGACTGACCAGAGAAAACTGAAAAGAATTGGATATTGCAGACGAAGAATATGATGTTGGTGCATGATGTAAACTAACAAAAACTTGTAAAATGATGTAGGGAAAGAAACTGATGGACAGTTATTGACCACTGCGGAACGTTTATGTTTTCATTGAAGAAAGGACAATGAAATCAACAGTCCCAACATAGTGTGCCTACCCTTGAAAAGGAAGGTTTCTGTTGTGGTGCAGTCCAGGTAGGGGTGCATATGTTGTAAAGGTGTCAGAATACTGACAGCGATCAAAGGCAATATAAATGGTGTAATATATATATATTGACATGCTTGAAAATAATCTCTGGGCTGTTTTTGCATGGCATTTCATCAACAAAACACACATCTTCTAGTATAACAATGCTCCTGTTGATGGTTTAGAGTTTATTCGCAAATTGTATTCCACAATTCCAGCTAGGATTCATGATGTCATTTGTATGAAGGGCAATCTGACCAAGTTTAATAGTAGGTCATTAAAAGTTTCTTTCATAATTCAATTCTTCAAAGATGCGAAATTTTGTAATCAAACATCTGCCATATAATATATATGTGTTCATCATGATGGTCCAACACTACATACCTGAAGTACAATCTCAGCACTCATCATGTTTCTCCACCACTATCTACCTGAAGTACAATCTCAGCACTCATCATGCTGCTCCACTACTACCTACCTGAAGTACAATCTCAGCACTCATCATGCTGCTCCACCACTACCTACCTGAATTACAATCTCAGCACTCATCATGATGCTCCACTACCTGAAGTACAATCTCAGCACTCATCATGCTGCTCCACCACTACCTGAAGTACAATCTCAGCACTCATCATGCTGCTCCACCACTACCTGAAGTACGATCTCAGCACTCATCATGCTGCTCCACCACTACCTACCTGAAGTACAATCTCAGCACTCATCATGATGCTCCACTACCTGAAGTACAATCTCAGCACTCATCATGCTGCTCCACCACTACCTGAAGTACAATCTCAGCACTCATCATGCTGCTCCACCACTACCTGAAGTACGATCTCAGCACTCATCATGCTGCTCCACCACTACCTACCTGAAGTACAATCTCAGCACTCATCATGATGCTCCACTACCTGAAGTACAATCTCAGCACTCATCATGCTGCTCCACCACTACCTGAAGTACAATCTCAGCACTCATCATGCTGCTCCACCACAACCTGAAGTACAATCTCAGCACTCATCATGCTGCTCCACTACTACCTACCTGAAGTACAATCTCAGCACTCATCATGCTGCTCCACCACTACCTACCTGAAGTACAATCTCAGCACTCATCATGATGCTCCACCACTACCTGAAGTACAATCTCAGCACTCATCATGCTGCTCCACCACTACCTGAAGTACAATCTCAGCACTCATCATGCTGCTCCACTACTACCTACCTGAAGTACAATCTCAGCACTCATCATGCTGCTCCACCACTACCTACCTGAAGTACAATCTCAGCACTCATCATGCTGCTCCACCACTACCTGAAGTACAATCTCAGCACTCATCATGCTGCTCCACCACTACCTGAAGTACAATCTCAGCACTCATCATGCTGCTCCAACACTACATACCTGAAGTACAATCTCAGCACTCATCATGATGCTCCACTACCTGAAGTACAATCTCAGCACTCATCATGCTGCTCCACCACTACCTACCTGAAGTACAATCTCAGCACTCATCATGCTGCTCCACCACTACCTACCTGAAGTACAATCTCAGCACTCATCATGCTGCTCCACCACTACCTGAAGTACAATCTCAGCACTCATCATGATGCTCCACCACTACCTGAAGTACAATCTCAGCACTCATCATGCTGCTCCACTACTACCTACCTGAAGTACAATCTCAGCACTCATTATGCTGCTCCACCACTACCTACCTGAAGTACAATCTCAGCACTCATCATGCTGCTCCACCACTACCTGAAGTACAATCTCAGCACTCATCATGCTGCTCCACCACTACCTGAAGTACAATCTCAGCACTCATCATGCTGCTCCACTACTACCTACCTGAAGAACAATCTCAGCACTCATCATGCTGCTCCACCACTACCTGAAGTACAATCTCAGCACTCATCATGTTTCTCCACCACTACCTACCTGAAGTACAATCTCAGCACTCATCATGCTGCTCCACCACTACCTGAAGTACAATCTCAGCACTCATCATGCTGCTCCACCACTACCTACCTGAAGTACAATCTCAGCACTTATCATGCTGCTCCACCACTACCTGAAGTACAATCTCAGCACTCATCATGCTGCTCCACTACATACCTGAAGTACAATCTCAGCACTCATCATGCTGCTCCACCACTACCTGAAGTACGATCTCAGCACTCATCATGCTGCTCCACCACTACCTGAAGTACAATCTCAGCACTCATCATGATGCTCCACCACTACCTGAAGTACAATCTCAGCACTCATCATGCTGCTCCACTACTACCTGAAGTACGATCTCAGCACTCATCATGCTGCTCCACTACTACCTGAAGTACGATCTCAGCACTCATCATGATGCTCCACCACTACCTGAAGTACGATCTCAGCACTCATCATGCTGCTCCACCACTACCTGAAGTACAATCTCAGCACTCATCATGCTGCTCCACTACTACCTACCTGAAGTACAATCTCAGCACTCATCATGATACTCCACTACCTGAAGTACAATCTCAGCACTCATCATGATGCTCCACTACCTGAAGTACAATCTCAGCACTCATCATGCTGCTCCACCACTACCTGAAGTACAATCTCAGCACTCATCATGCTGCTCCACTACTACCTACCTGAAGTACAATCTCAGCACTCATCATGATACTCCACTACCTGAAGTACAATCTCAGCACTTATCATGCTGCTCCACCACTACCTGAAGTACAATCTCAGCACTCATCATGATGCTCCACCACTACCTGAAGTACAATCTCAGCACTCATCATGCTGCTCCACCACTACCTGAAGTACGATCTCAGCACTCATCATGATGCTCAACCACTACCTGAAGTACAATCTCAGCACTCATCATGATGCTCCACCACTACCTGAAGTACAATCTCAGCACTTATCATGCTGCTCCACCACTACATACCTGAAGTACGATCTCAGCACTCATCATGCTGCTCCACCACTACCTGAAGTACAATCTCAGCACTCATCATGATGCTCCACCACTACCTGAAGTACAATCTCAGCACTCATCATGCTGCTCCACCACTACCTACCTGAAGTACAATCTCAGCACTCATCATGCTGCTCCACCACTACCTGAAGTACAATCTCAGCACTCATCATGCTGCTCCACCACTACCTGAAGTACAATCTCAGCACTCATCATGCTGCTCCACCACTACCTGAAGTACAATCTCAGCACTCATCATGCTGCTCCACCACTACCTGAAGTACAATCTCAGCACTCATCATGCTGCTCCACCACTACCTACCTGAATTACAATCTCAGCACTCATCATGATACTCCACTACCTGAAGTACAATCTCAGCACTCATCATGCTGCTCCACCACTACCTGAAGTACAATCTCAGCACTCATCATGCTGCTCCACTACTACCTACCTGAAGTACAATCTCAGCACTCATCATGCTGCTCCACCACTACCTACCTGAAGTACAATCTCAGCACTCATCATGCTGCTCCACCACTACCTGAAGTACAATCTCAGCACTCATCATGCTGCTCCACTACTACCTACCTGAAGTACAATCTCAGCACTCATCATGCTGCTCCACCACTACCTACCTGAAGTACAATCTCAGCACTCATCATGCTGCTCCACCACTACCTGAAGTACAATCTCAGCACTCATCATGCTGCTCCACCACTACCTGAAGTACAATCTCAGCACTCATCATGCTGCTCCACTACTACCTACCTGAAGTACGATCTCAGCACTCATCATGATGCTCCACCACTACCTGAAGTACAATCTCAGCACTCATCATGTTTCTCCACCACTATCTACCTGAAGTACAATCTCAGCACTCATCATGCTGCTCCACCACTACATACCTGAAGTACGATCTCAGCACTCATCATGATGCTCCACCACTACCTGAAGTACAATCTCAGCACTCATCATGCTGCTCCACTACTACCTACCTGAAGTAAAATCTCAGCACTCATCATGCTGCTCCACCACTACCTACCTGAAGTACAATCTCAGCACTCATCATGCTGCTCCACCACTACCTGAAGTACAATCTCAGCACTCATCATGCTGCTCCACCACTACCTGAAGTACAATCTCAGCACTCACCATGCTGCTCCACCACTACCTGAAGTACAATCTCAGCACTCATCATGATGCTCCACCACTACATACCTGAAGTACAATCTCAGCACTCATCATGCTGCTCCACCACTACCTGAAGTACGATCTCAGCACTCATCATGCTGCTCCACCACTACCTGAAGTACAATCTCAGCACTCATCATGATGCTCCACCACTACCTGAAGTACAATCTCAGCACTCATCATGCTGCTCAACCACTACCTGAAGTACAATCTCAGCACTCATCATGATGCTCCACTACCTGAAGTACAATCTCAGCACTCATCATGATGCTCCACTACCTGAAGTACAATCTCAGCACTCATCATGCTGCTCCACCACTACCTGAAGTACAATCTCAGCAATCATCATGATGCTCCACTACCTGAAGTACAATCTCAGCACTCATCATGATGCTCCACTACCTGAAGTACAATCTCAGCACTCATCATGCTGCTCCACCACTACCTGAAGTACAATCTCAGCACTCATCATGATGCTCAACCACTACCTGAAGTTCAATCTCAGCACTCATCATGATGCTCCACCACTACCTGAAGTACAATCTCAGCACTCATCATGATGCTCCACCCCCACCTGAAGTACGATCTCAGCACTCATCATGCTGCTCCACCACTACCTGAAGTACAATCTCAGCACTCATCATGATGCTCCACTACCTGAAGTACAATCTCAGCACTCATCATGATGCTCCACCCCCACCTGAAGTACGATCTCAGCACTCATCATGATGCTCAAATGCTATTTACCTGAAGTGTATGATTGTCATGATTGTAGGTTCTAGTAAGGGTTTCATTTTGTGGATTAGTCATCTGTCATAATGTCGTTGTACTCACAAACATTTTTGGTACTATACAGTATATGACTATACCTTGTTTGATTTTTCTCACATTTAAAAGGGCAAGGGATTTTGATGACTTTATCAGGTTCAGTTTTTATCTGATAATGGTATACAATAACCATATGTAATGGGGTTACATGTACGGCCTCAAACAAATCAAACATGTTTTTGTTAATATGACAGGTCTATTGACATGACATTATTACAAAGCATGATTGTTTATCACATGGATTTACCTAGGCCTCCTCAGAGGCCAATATTCTACCTCAAGGTCGAGCAAATGTAGGTAACAATTCCAAAATTGGAATTAGTCATTTTATGATGTTTATTGCTTTGCATAGGTCACTCGCATTTGACTGAGGACAGGACCAGCAAGCATAACAGTACAAAGAGGCTGTAATGTTTAGTTTTACAGTTTTGTATTGAATGAAATGTTAAATACCCCTGAATACTGTATATGCAAATAAGGACTTTAAGAAATTCCCAAATTTTGAACAACATTATCTACTTTTCACTTATCCTGCATTTCTCCTTATGCATTTACTGCTTGGTCTGGACAGAGAAAGAGCTGTGTGAGGTTTAGCATAAGAAGTAGTTGTTTCAACTGCTTGAGTTTCAGCTCAAACCCATTTGAATCCTTTGCAGGTTTTGCAACACTATTTTCATTGTGATTGTTATTGTGCTTGCGGTTTGTGCATAAATATTTAACGCCTGGTGCTGGTGTTTACCACTGTAAGTATCGGGCGTATTGTTGCTCCAATTAGCCATTTTGAATTCATTGTGGCCACATATTTTTGTGTCATGCGTTCTGTATTTTTTGTATTGCTTGGTACATCAATTCATTGTCGTACCCTTGCGATATTAGCGTGGTATTTCACGTTCTTCGTTTAAACTTATTTTTCATTAACCAACATGTCTGGGATAAATGATTATAGCATACATAATCAGGTGGGAATGCATTGTGATTACGCTCTGCTGTCATTGCAGATACATGTCACGTTGTAGCAAGTGCCACTGCAATAAGTTTGGGTGGGACCATCATCCATTGTGTCTCAATTGCACCACCCTCTGCTCCCAGGCAACGAAGTGTAGAGATTGTCTGCCACTTTCCCCTACAGCTTTCTCAAAATACCACGGAAATAGCAGGTATCACAGAAACGTCCGACACAGCAGGCTCAGAAATGTCTAAGTATGATGTCAGATTCGTGCGAGCCTACTATTCCCCCAACAAACATGACCATCTCTTCATCAGGTGGGATACCTCCAGCGTCCATCACTATACCTGACTCTTTCATCAGGGACCATGTCTACCTCATCATCACCTATACATACCTGGTCCTTCATCGTTGATACGACTCTGAGGGCGAACTCCATCTCAGCTTCGTTGATTTATACGGCCTCCTCTTCGACGATGACGCCTTGCGTTGCGAAACAATCTTGAGCTCGTCTCTCCCTCAGTGATACCAGCTATTCACAGCGCCAGTGGCGCCCCCATGGTTCAGGCCCTTCCAGGTTTCAGACATCCATCCTTTCTCCCAGCGCCTCCCCAGACGCTTCAGCTGCTGTTCATGGATCCATCATGGCTTAAACTTATGCAGTCGATGATTTGGCAAGCGATTCTGCAATGCTCTCGGCTCCTACTGGCTCAGACGGCGCCTCCTGTGGATCTTGGTTTCAACTCTAGGTCCCGTCTTCTTCGTCATACCTCTCCTGGCTCATCATCCAGACGCAATGAGAACAAGTCATCCTGTTCAAGAAGCCGTTCCTGGAGCCGCTCTCCAGTCCCGTGCTCTAGAGACTACCGCTCCAACTCATGAGGGTCCCTTCGTCCCTGCCTTTGACGATTCACTTTCAGATGTTGACTCCCACCTAGGCCTCAGCCAGGTCCCTGACTGGCTTGCAGATTGCCTGGCTGCTGTCATTCAATCGCTGGGTGAAGACGTGGATAAAAAAGACGTCTGTCTCATCCAACATCCGTCCCTCCTGATACAGTGATTAAAGACTTGAAATCTGCATTGGACAAAGACTTTGCCAAGCTCCTACTTACCCTCTCTTTCAAGGCGCCTCTTTCACTGTCATGGTCTACCGTTGCTATTTACATATATCACCAAGCCAATTGCCACCTACCCCCATTTAAGGAATGTCCAGTTTGAGGTGTCCGGTTCTTCCAACTAGTCGATCAACTGGAGCTCCAGTAATGAGTCCCAACACATCCCAGGTTGCTGCAACATCCTGCAGATGCCCACTCCAGACCAGAGCTCCCAAGGTAGCTCCCACAGAGTAGAAACTCCATCTGGACATCTTTGATCTTGTCTGTCCATATCTCAGTTACCCCAACATCGACCTGTTTGCCACCAGCCAGAACTTCCAGTTCCGGGCCTTCATATCTCTGGTGCTGAATCCACAACCCTGGACAGTCGACACCCTCAGCGTCCCCTGGGAAGGACTAAAAGCATACGCTTTTCCACCGCCAGTACTCCTTCAAAAACTACCAGATTGGCCAAACCTCCATATATGGGACATCATATCCAAGAATCAACTCCCAGAACAGCCGGACAGATCCTTCACCATCCCTCCCCTATCTTTGATAGTGGACGTTGAAGATGAACAGGAACTCCTGCTATGCTTCAATCGACACTCCAAGAAACGTCAAGGATAATGTCACCGCCTTTTCGTCCCGGTTTCTACATCGCAGATGGAAGTCAGCCGCAACCGAGGGGGCACGGGTGGCCCAGTCGTCTAAGGCGCCGCAATTCCCTGTGCAGAGTTGCGTCCCTTGATTGTGGGTTATGATTGTGGGTTCGAATCCCAGTTCGCCCCCATTATGTTTCTAGGTTTGTCAGCACCATACCAGTGGGTTTCACCATAAAGTGGTAAACGTCTGAAACCTGCATCACTTCGGGTTTTCCTCCCACATCAAGCTGACACGCTGTGATATGACTGGAATACTGTTAAAAACGGCGTTAAACCAAACTTACTCACTCACTCAGCTGCAACCGGATTGCCCTATGGCTTTGCACTATGAGGCCGTGGGACTGAATCCTCTGAGAGCCAACCACCTGCATGAGATCCAAGCGGTCACCTCTACCATAAAGCCAACCTTTCGAGCCTACCGGTGTGTGTCACCCCAGGCTAGAAGGTTACATGCTGCTCTCATTGGCTCGGTACATCCGTTCTAGACTTCAACTTCTCTTAATGTCTATTACTGAAATGATATGTGGACATACCTGACTCTCTGATTGGTTGGAGTCTATGGAGAGTTTATTTAAGATCACATTTGAAGATAAAGATGCACTAAGGAGTAATGCAGGACAAGTTAAAAAATTTAGTAAACTCTAGATATTTTTTATCTTCTTATCCTGTGGTGTGCACATAATGATATTTGCAATAGTGCACACATGATATTTATGAACTCAGTAATTTCCCACCCTGTGTGTGATGAACTCCCTGACGTACCATTCAACTGACATGAGGGGGCATAACTCAATAAAGATGCCATTTTGAGAGACCCGTGAAGATGCGGGGTAGAATAGGTCTTCAGCAGCCCATACTTGCCATACAAGGCGACTATGCTTGTCGTAACACTGAACTGATACAGGTAATTCATTCACAGGCGACTATGCTTGTCCTAACGGGATCGGGTGGTCAGGCTCACTGACTTCGTTGATGCATGTCATCGATCCCAATTGCGTGGATCGATGCTCATGATATCAATCACTGGATTGTCTGGTCCAGACTCAATTATTTACCGACTGCCGTCATACAGCTGGAATATTGCTGAGTGAGGTGTTAAACAACAAACAAACCAAACCATTTTGAGATGTTCATGAATTCCACAAAACTAGATCTGATTGGAGTGCTGGACAGATAGACTGCTGTAATAGGAAAGAATCGTGTAGTTCTTAACCTTTTGAGCAGTATAGGAACAAATCAGGTGTTCTTTAATGTCTTTTGAGTAGAATATTTCGTCGTTAGTCAAAATGTGATTTTTTTCTGATTACGATCGTAAAATTTTATAGAACACGTTGTGTTTTCAGGGTGTGTGTGTTGCTGATGAGGAGAAGGTCCTCTGCATCATCAGTGACCTGGTGAACGTCACCAAGCCGGGATGCAAGCACACCCTGAATCTGCCAGCATCTACCTCCGTGAGGGAGACGCTGAAGGAGATGGTGAAGATTTGCAACTATGACCCCGAGACTGTCCTCATTCACTATGAAATTACGCATGGAGGAGGGGATGATGATGTGAGTATACCTGTTGAATGTCAAGTGAATGAAGTGGTCGACTAGTGGTTGAGGAGTTTGCTCATTGTTCGATTCCAGGTTCGATTTCCCACATGGGTGTGAAGCACATTTCTTGTGTACCCGCTATGATATTGCTGAAAGTGGCGTAAAATCTCACTCACTCACTCACTCACTCACTCACTCACTCACTCACTCACTCACTCACTCACTCACTCACTCACTCACTCACTCACTCACTCACTCACTCACTCACTCACTTCATTGTGCAGAGTTGCATCCCTTGGGCACACCAGATACCTGTGATTGTGGCTTCGAATCCTGGCTCGCCTCGATTATGTTTCCAGGTTTGTCAGCAAATCTGGGTTTCACAAGATTGGTAAATGTCTAAGGCCTGCATCACTTCGGCTTTCCTCCCCATTAAGCTGACAACTGGAATAATGTTAAAAGAGGCATGAAACTCACTCACTCACTCACAGACTTGGTGTATTCAGATTTGACCAGTCGATTCTAATGTTTACAAATGATTCTGGCTAGTGTTGGTTTTGTACAATCTTCATCCCCTGCCACTAGAGCTGGCTAAAAAGTTCGATAAGCGGAATTATTGTCAATGGGAAGAAATATTAACGATTATTGATATGAAATTGTTGTCATCGATAAGAACTTACTTAAACTATTGTAATGATATAAAGTTTAGATTTACCGAAACAGACTTGTTATTGTCAATAATGTCATTTGTCGAAGATGGAAAGCAACTGTTTTTGTTACATCTCAAATGTCCACAAAGTAATCCATGCCTCAACATGTCACTGCACACCAGTGGTGTGAAAAATGTTGATTTCTTCCTGGACTTTCTAGCACATTTGCTGATAATAATTGATCGATATTTGGTTGGCGATTATCGATCTCTATTATCTATATCGATAACCGGCCCTACCTGCCACATTGCAATCCACAGGTCTACTCCTGCTTCCCCATGACAGGCTTCTCCTCTTGTTCCAGGTGATTCTCAGCAATGTAACAGATAAAGCACTTGGAGCTATCGTAGTTCCAAACATACGGAAACACTCCTTCACTGTCCACGAGAAGGAAGGAGTGACGCCCAAAAAGATGGAAGTAAGCTGGAATCATCACGATTCAGATCTAGATTTACTTTGCTTAGGTATCAACAGATAGATTTTTGTTAGCTGGTGGCTGGACTGACGAGTGCAACATCTCTTGTCTGTTCATTGATGCTATTCACACACTTATTTAGGCTCAACAAAGTCTAGCTTCGCAAAGTCTTGCTCAACAAAGTCTTGCTCAACAAAGTCTAGCTCAACAAAGTCTAGCTCAACAAAGTCTAGCTCAACAAAGTCTAGCTCATGTGTAGTTAATCAGACCCCTTTACATCTAAACATGACATTTATTAACAACACTTCGTTGATGTAGAAGAAAGATTGTTTAGAAAAATTGGGAAAAGAGGAATATGTTCATCATTCTTCAGAAGAAGGCGCCAATAAATATGTTCATTAGAAGTAGGCGCCGATAAATATGTTCATTAGAAGTAGGCGCCGATAAATATGTTCATTAGAAGTAGGCACCGATAAATATGTTCATTAGAAGTAGGCACCAATAAATATGTTCATTAGAAGTAGGCACCGATAAATATGTTCATTAGAAGTAGGCACCGATAAATATGTTCATTAGAAGTAGGCACCGATAAATATGTTCATTAGAAGTAGGCACCGATAAATATGTTCATCAGAAGTAGGCACCGATAAATATGTTCATTAGAAGTAGGCACCGATAAATATGTTCATTAGAAGTAAGCACTGATAAATATGTTCATTAGAAGTAAGCACTGATAAATATGTTCATTGGAAGTAACCACCATTAAATATGTTCATTAGAAGTAGGCACCGATAAATATGTTCATTAGAAGTAAGCACTGATAAATATGTTCATTAGAAGTAGGCACCGATAAATATGTTCATTAGAAGTAGGCACCGATAAATATGTTCATTAGAAGAAGGCACTGATAAGTATGTTCATCAGAAGTAAGCACCGATAAATATGTTCATCAGAAGTAAGCACTGATAAATATGTTCATTAGAAGTAGGCACCGATAAATACGTTCATTAGAAGTAGGCACCGATAAATATGTTCATCAGAAGTAAGCACCGATAAAGCCCAACCCCAACCCCTCAATCTGACAGGACGAGAGTATTGAGACCAGTTGTTCACTGAATATTAGGCAGTTTCATAGTCCTCAAGTCTAAGTGTGCATGACAACATGATAAATATTCAGCTCTGAAATTGAAGTATATTACATTCGACCTGTATTAGGTTTATATAGCCGTAGGTGGTTTTGTCACCCTGAACATGTATGACCATTTGCTGTGTTTCCCCAGAGCGAGACGTCCACATCTGGCTATGAGAGTCAGGCGTCCAGTAGCACCTCGTACACCAGCGGCGACACCTACACCAGCTACTCATCGACGTCACACACAGACCCCTCCTACTCATATGCTTCAGCTCTCATCAAATCAGACACAGGTGAGAATGTCTCAGCTCTCATCAAATCAGACACAGGTGAGAATGTCTCAGCTCTCATCAAATCAGACACAGGTGAGAATGTCTCAGCTCTCATTGAATCTGACACAGGTGAGAATGTCTTAGCTCTCATTAAATCAGACAAAGGTGAGAATGCCTCAGCTCTCATTAAATCTGAGACAGGTGAGAATGTCTCAGCTCTCATTGAATCTGATACAGGTGAGAATGTCTCAGCTCTTATTGAATCTGACACAGGTGAGAATGTCTAAGCTCTCATTAAATCAGACACAGGTGAGAATGTCTCAGCTCTCATTGAATCTGACACAGGTGAGAATGTCTCAGCTCTCATCAAATCAGACACAGGTGAGAATGTCTCAGCTCTCATTGAATCTAACACAGGTGAGAATGTCTCAGCTGTCATTGAATCTGACACAGGTGAGAATGTCTCCGCTCTCATTGAATCTGACACAGGTAAGAATGTCTCAGCTCTCATTGAATCTGACACAGGTGAGAATGTCTCAGCTCTCATTGAATCTGAGACAGGTGAGAATGTCTCAGCTGTCATTGAATCTGACACAGCTAAGAATGTCTCAGCTCTCATTGAATCTGAGACAGGTGAGAATGTCTCAGCTCTCATTGAATCTGAGACAGGTGAGAATGTCTCAGCTGTCATTTAAATCTGACACAGGTAAGAATGTCTCAGCTCTCATTGAATCTGACACAGGTAAGAATGTCTCAGCTCTCAATAAATCAGACAAAGGTGAGAATGTATCAGCTCTCATTAAATTAGACACAGGTGAGAATGTCTCAGCTCTCATTAAATCAGACACAGGTGAGAATTTCTCAGCTCTCATTGAATCTGACACAGGTAAGAATGTCTCAGCTCTCATTAAATCAGACACAGGTGAGAATTTCTCAGCTCTCATTGAATCTGACACAGGTGAGAATGTCTCAGCTCTCATTAAATTAGACACAGGTGAGAATGTCTCAGCTCTCATTAAATCTGACACAGGTGAGAATTTCTCAGCTCTCATTAAATCTGACACAGGTGAGAATGTCTCAGCTCTCATTAAATCAGACACAGGTGAGAATTTCTCACCTCTCATTGAATCTGACACAGGTGAGAACACAACCTTTTCACAGTATACACAACTCAGGCCCAATATCTTCTTTTATAGCTAAAATGATACAATTATCATTAAAGCGCCTGCATGTTGTCAGAAATGAGCGAGCCACTGATAATGCCCATATATTGCTTGACGACGCCCGTTGTTAGGTGACGTCATGGGGATAGGGAAATTTCACATTCAATAGTGACGTCATCTATGACGTTTCCATATTTGTAAAAGTGGGTCAGTGAAATTCGTGTTGATAGCAGTAAATGTTTCAAAACCGATATTGTTGTTTATTTTTATTTGATAACAAATTCTATCCATTTTAGCTTTAAGCCCTTGATCTTTTCATCCGCCCTCCTTCGTCGGGCAGTTAATGGAAGACCTCAAGTTTCTTCAAATGATAATGGGGGCGGTCGGGTAGCCTAGTGGTTAAAGCGTTCGCTCGTCACGCCGAAGACCCGGGTTCGATTCCTGACATGGGTACAATGTGTGAAGCCCATTTCTGGTGTCCCCCGCCGTGATATTGCTGGAATATTGCTAAAAGCGGCGTAAAACCACACTCACTCACTCACTCACTCACTCACTCAAATGATAATGCCCTGAAAAATAGCGTGACCCTCATAATAATGATCCAGTTGTCGTCAGTAGTTGATATGCCAATAATGACTATTGGCGTGATGACTTATGCACACAACACAGGTCACATATCAGGGGAAGTTAAGTTTCTGGGTCTTTGGTCCTGCCCGTCAGAACTGACTAAAGATATCACAAGTGATTCTGTGGCATTTTATTGGCTAACCAAGCAATGTATTTTGTATTATGTTTTCCAACTCCCAAAAAATTAGGCCATGCCCACTAATGGACGAGAGTTTCCTGATTGGCTGATAATAGAAAGGGTGGGGCTTATGTTTCATTATTACACTGATCGATGTCACCGATTGTCTAATTTTATTGACAGTTTTGTGATAATGGTTAAATAAGCAGTTATTGTTGTCATATTTAAAGAATTGACTTCAATATCTTTTTGCACGTATTGAGTTATTAACATAAAACACACTTATCGTGCACACTTTGCATAACTCTGCAGCTACTCAGGTTTACAAAGCGTGCTCACCATATTTTTTGTTTATACCTCAATAAACGCCAAAAATATTGAAGTCAGTTTTTATGTGTGTGTGTTGCAGGGTATGTTGGCCTCGTGAACCAGGCAATGACGTGCTACCTGAACAGCCTGCTACAGACCCTGTACATGACGCCAGAGTTCAGGGATGCAATCTACAGGTGACTTACCATCCTTGTTACCACCTCAGGGGCGGTCAGGTAGCCTAGTGGTTAAAGCGTTTGCTCGTCTAGCCGAAGACCATGGTTCGATTCCCGGCATGGGTACAATGTGTGAAGCACATTTCTGGTGTCCCCCGCCGTGATATTACTGGAATATTGCTAAAAGCAGCGTAAAACCATACTCACTCACTCACACTTACCACTTCAAGTCTTCTGGGGCAGGTTCACAGCAGGCCCTGCTTGTCAACAGAGCCAAGTATAATGTGTCTTTGTACCCCAAGATGTGGATTGTTCATCATGCTATCAACCACTAGTTTGCCTGACAAACATTTGAAAAGTACAAGCTACGATGATATAGCTGGAATATTGCCTATTTCAGTGTAAAACACATTCATTCATTAATCTTTCAATGCTGATTAATTAACTTTAATCTGTTTATGAACTTACTGTTTCAGGTGGGAGTTCAATGGGCCAGATGAGGAGGTTGTGAAGAGTATTCCCTTTCAGCTCCAGAATCTGTTTCTACAACTACAGGTAATGCTGAATGCCAAGTTTACCCTTCCCCAGGTAGAGAGCCCGCAACCACCTGCCTGCTTGTTGTTGCGACTTACCAATTATCTCCCCTGAACTCCATCACAGCGGTAGAATCTAACATCTTCAGTCCACTAGTCCTTATAATGATAAAATATAGCAAAGCCCTTAAAAATAGCACATTTTTACTAGGTCTTATGATACCTTTACTATTGGGCAGTTTGGCAAGGACTATAGGACTAGTGCCAATTTCTATCACTGCATCATTATGAATCCTAATCTACTAGTTGACCTTGGAGGTGTATCTGGTTAACTGGACACAGATGGACATGATGAACCAGGTCACCACAGTGTAGATGTTATTTCTGTACTTCTAACTTTGTCTGGAGCTGAAACCTGCTTTGTTTGGTATCCTCAGCCGATACATATGTCGTCACTAAGATCTATTGACAAGATGCTGACTTGATCTTGTTTTGTTGTAGACAAGTAAGAAGAAGTCGGTGGAGACGACGGACTTGACCCGCAGCTTTGGCTGGGACAGCAGTGAAGGTTAGTAATAGACACTTGACTGTTTGATGTGTATGGAGGTTTGACTGATATGTATGGAGGTTTGACTGTTTGGTGTGAATGGAGGTTTGACTGTTTGATGTGTATGGAGGTTTGACTGTTTGATGTGTATGGAGGTTTGACTGTTTGATGTGAATGGAGGTTTGACTGTTTGATGTGAATGGAGGTTTAACTGATGTGTATGGATGTTTGACTGTTTGATGTGAATGGAGGTTTGACTGTTTGATGTGTATGAAGGTTTGACTGGTTTGATGTGAATGGAGGTTTGACTGCTTGATGTGAATGGAGGTTTGACTGTTTGATGTGAATGAAGGTTTGATGTGTGTGGAGGTTTGACTGGTTTGATGTGTGTGGAGGTTTGACTGGTTTGATGTGTGTGGAGGTTTGACTGGTTTGATGTGTACAGAGGTTTGACTGGTTTGATGTGTACAGAGGTTTGACTGGTTTGATGTATACAGAGGTTTGACTGGTTTGATGTGTACAGAGGTTTGACTGGTTTGATGTGTATGGATGTTTGACTGGTCTGATGTGTATGGAGGTTTGACTGTGTTTGATGTTCCAGTGTGGCAGCAGCATGATGTACAGGAGCTGTGTCGAGTTATGTTTGATGCCCTGGAACACACGTGGAAGAATACAGACCAAGCCCATCTCATCAACCACCTCTACCAGGGAAAGCTCAAGGACTATGTCAAATGTCTTGAAGTAAGTCATACAACATTACCTATTGAGCATTCAGTTTATAGTTACATGGTTTGCTAGACAGATACCTGAGACTTTATTTTGAATACAACATTGCCAACCTTCAGAATTGAGTAAGTCAAGGGGGGCACGGGTGGCCCAGTAGTCTAAGGCGCCGGGATTCTCTGTGCAGAGTTGCGTCCCTTGGGCACGCCAGAAACCTATGATTGTGGGTTTGAATCTAGGTTCGCCCAATTATGTTTCTAGGTTTGTCCGAACCATACCCGTGCTCGTGGGTTTCAACCAAGTGGTAAACGTCCGAGACCTGCATCACTTCGGGCTTTCCTCCCACATTAAGATGACACACCGTGATATAACTGGAATACTGTTAAAGCGGCGTTAAACCCAACTCACTCACTAGTAAGTCAATTGCTAAAAGCGGTGTAAAACCATACTCACTCACTCACTAGTAAGTCAAGTTATTTTCTTGAACAAGTCCATCAGTGGACACACTGAGCTGGGTAAAACTAATGCACATTTTGTTTGAAACTGTGAAACATATTGTATGAGTTGTTGCTTCAATTTTACGTCAGTGTCGCACTCTAGAAACTCACTGGATTGCCACAGTATCAAGAAACAATTTCACTAACTTTATGAACCTATTTACTCTTGTCTCATGTCTAGATCACATGGCCCTACGTGTTGACAGTTCTTACTTAAACTTTCCCTGCCTGTTGATAATGTGTATGTGCTTGATTTGATCACTGTATTAGGGACCATTCCCTGCCTGTTGACAGTGTGTATGTGCTTGATTTGATCACTGGTATTGGGGACCATTCCCTGCCTGTTGACATTGTGTATGTGCTTGATTTGATCACTTGTCTTGAGCACCATTCCCTGCCCGCTGACAGTGTGTATGTGCTTGATTTGATCACTTGTCCTGGGCACCATTCCCTGCCTGTTGACTGTGTATGTGCTTGATTTGATAACTCATCTTGAGCACCATTCCCTGCCTGTTGACATTGTGTATGTGCTTGATTTGATCACTGGTATTAGGGACCATTCCCTGCCTGTTGACATTGTGTATGTGCTTGATTTGATCACTCATCTTGAGCACCATTCCCTGCCTGTTGACATTGTGTATGTGCTTGATTTGATCACTTGTCTTGAGCACCATTCCCTGCCCGCTGTCAGTATGTATGTGCTTGATTTGATCACTTGTCCTGGGAACCATTCCCTGCCTGCTGACAATGTGTATGTGCTTGATTTGATCACTGTATTAGGGACCATTCCCTGCCTGTTGACATTGTGTATGTGCTTGATTTGATCACTGGTATTGGGGACCATTCCCTGCCTGTTGACAGTGTGTATGTGCTTGATTTGATCACTGGTATTGGGGACCATTCCCTGCCTGTTGACAGTGTGTATGTGCTTGATTTGATCACTGTATTAGGGACCATTCCCTGCCTGTTGACAGTGTGTATGTGCTTGATTTGATCACTGGTATTGGGGACCATTCCCTGCCTGTTGACAGTGTGTATGTGCTTGATTTGATCACTGTATTAGGGACCATTCCCTGCCTGCTGACATTGTGTATGTGCTTGATTTGATAACTCATCTTGAGCACCATTCCCTGCCTGTTGACATTGTGTATGTGCTTGATTTGATCACTGGTATTAGGGACCATTCCCTGCCTGTTGACATTGTGTTTGTGCTTGATTTGATCACTTGTCTGGAGCACCATTCCCTGCCCGCTGACAGTGTGTATGTGCTTGATTTGATCACTTGTCCTGGGCACCATTCCCTGCCTGTTGACTGTGTATGTGCTTGATTTGATAACTCATCTTGAGCACCATTCCCTGCCTGTTGACATTGTGTATGTGCTTGATTTGATCACTGGTATTAGGGACCATTCCCTGCCTGTTGACATTGTGTATGTGCTTGATTTGATCACTCATCTTGAGCACCATTCCCTGCCTGTTGACATTGTGTATGTGCTTGATTTGATCACTTGTCTTGAGCACCATTCCCTGCCCGTTGACATTGTGTATGTGCTTGATTTGATCACTTGTCTTGAGCACCATTCCCTGCCCGTTGACAGTGTGTATGTGCTTGATTTGATCACTTGTCCTGGGAACCATTCTCTGCCCGTTGACAGTGTGTATGTGCTTGATTTGATCACTTGTCCTGGGAACCATTCCCTGCCTGTTGACTGTGTATGTGCTTGATTTGATCACTTGTCCTGGGAACCATTCTCTGCCTGTTGACATTGTGTATGTGCTTGATTTGATCACTTGTCTTGAGCACCATTCCCTGCCCGCTGACATTGTGTATGTGCTTGATTTGATCACTTGTCCTGGGAACCATTCTCTGCCTGCTGACATTGTGTATGTGCTTGATTTCAGTGTGGTTATGAGAGTGCTCGCACCGACGCCTACCTAGACATTCCCCTTGTTATCCGGCCATTTGGATCCAACCAGGTGCATGGAAGTGTGGTAAGTACCACTTGGCAGTTAACTTAAAGAAAAGAAAATCATTTTCTGGAGATATGGTTTATGATGATATTTTTTAGTATGGCACTGCAACCAAACATTTGTTGGATATTACCAAACTGTCTGACAGTGTATATGTATGGGTGACCATTTGTTTCATTCCAGGAACAAGCACTGGATGCGTTTGTTCAGCCTGAGATCCTGGATTGCAGCAATCAGTATTTCTGTGAACGTTGCAACAAGAAGTGCAATGCCCATAAGGTATTTCTCATTATTCAATCCGACAGTAATGTCCGTATCATTTTTCTCTTGGATGACTCATTGTTCACTTCTGAAGTCCTTCCTTTGAAAGCATATCGTTATATAAAAAAGCCTGCGATAATTGCCACATGGCAAACATCTCTAAAACTAAGACCGTTGAAGCCGGAACACACTACACCTGTAATAACAATGACCCCTTGCAAGGTAGTTATTTACAATACTTACAAGACATGAAGAGTCGACCGCCTCCGTGGTCTAGTGGTAGAGCGTCTGCCCAGAGAACGTAAGATCAAGGGTTCGATCCCCGGCCACGTCATACCAAAAGACGTTAAAAGATGGTACTTGTTGTTACCCTGTCTGGCCCTCGGCATAAAGAGGCTGAAACAAGGACTGGTTGGCCCGGAGTATACTGTGTCTGATGCGGGTATCCATGTTAAACTGCGGTATGGTATCTCAGTGAGCTAGCACTATAAATCCACATCAGTCCGGACTAGTACAAGCAGCCACACACACACACACGTGCATCCACGTCGCTATATAAGTGCAATAATTTTGGATGCGACATTAAACCCCATTTCACCTCACCTCACATGAGGAGTCAGATTATACTATTACATTATATAACAAAAACCAGTTAGTGTGGGAGATCTGTCAGTTCGGATCACTCTCTCGGAGTGACAGAAGCGAATTCATTTGGCTCAGCTGCAACTATAGTGTTTCACGGGGTCACGTGGTACCTGCCATAATAGGTCACGTCAGTAGGTCAGTGCGTATATTCAATGATAATATAACTATGAGGTTTTTTCCTTTAATCTTTTTATTAATATCACTACTAATACGGGTCTGTCACGAGGAAAGAATTTAAGGAGTTAAATGCAATGAGTCACCCCAGAGAATAATTATCCTCATTTAATTATGAATTACTGCTCATTAATAAAAATGTATAAATGATTAGTGTAGTAGAAATGTCTGGATGATCGTAGCTCCTGTACCTTAATATAGGAATTATGATAGTTGTTGCGCTAAGATAGCGGGGAATTGGACCCTTTTCACTTTAAGATCCAAGCCCCTCCTTCCAAATATCAAATGGTCAATCCTGAAGGACCCATTGCATGATATGTACCCTGGACTGCATCGTGAGGGATGGTCAGTATTAGACTCAGAATTTATTATTGACATAAGATGAACTTTAGAAACTTAATATGTCCAAAGGGACATTGTGATAGAATGCTTCATTGAGATGATGTGTTATGTTTCCAGGGTTTGAAGTTTGTGTCATTTCCCTACCTCCTAACACTACAGTTGAAAAGGTTTGACTTTGATTATGCAACAATGCACCGCATCAAACTCAACGACAGGTGAGTATTATCAACCATCGGATCAGTTTTGTGATGTGCGGTCTGTAAATTGATTCTCATACTCGTGATAATTAATTATGTGGGCTCTCATCCATAATTTTCCCTGACGGTGAAGGCGCGGGTTAGAGTTGGTCTTCAGCAACCCATGCCTGACACAATTAGCGACTAATGGGATCGGGTGGTCAGGGTCGCTGACTTGGTATGATGCATGTCAGAATATTCCAATTGTGTAGATCGATGTTCATCCTGTCAATCACTGGATTGTCTGGTCCAGACTCGATTATTAACAGACTGCCCTCATATAGCTGGAATATTGCTGATTGCGGCGTTATGCAACAACAAAACAAACAAAATCATCATTGGGGCTGTTGTTAAATGGTTGTCTGCTTCCAGGATGACGTTTGCGGAAGTGTTGAACCTCAATCGGTTTGTGACCCCGGAGACTCCCTCCAAGGAGCAGAAGGTGGACGAAGCTGCCGAGGTTACCAAACCCAGCGCCGTCACCAGTAATGGTCCTACAGACAGCAGTGATGAGGGTAGGTTATCTATACCAATGATCAAATATGGAATTTACGACCAGTTCTGTTTACAGCAAGTTTGAATGGTTCTCATTGATCCTCTGACTAGTTAGAGACAAAACTGATTCAGGGATAATTCTAGGGTGAAGCCTTGTGCTTTTAGCCCCTAAATTTGAAAAAAAGGCCGACATTTTTAAATACAATGGTTCATTCTTATATTGTGTTGCATAGGCATACCTCATACAACTATATAAATATATGTGGTCACTCATGGTTAAAGCGTTCGCTCGTCCAGATCCAGATTCGATTCCCAACATGGGTACAATGTGTGAAGCCCATTTCTGGTGTCCTCCGCCGTGATATTGCTGGAATATTGCTTAAAGCGGCGTAAAACCATACTTACTCACTCTGAAATATTTGAAATTTCCATATAAAGGGCTCATGTCTAATGTCTAGAGTGAACCCTGCTGATGTATTGGGATGTCATATTGAGACGAGTTGAAATGTGTGACCAAGCCAGTGTATGATCATGATAAAACTGACTAATCTGTATTGCCTCACTCACTCATTCTAGAACAGACATAAAGGTATGTGATACATGGTGGTGACTGTTCCCTCCCTGTGTGCAGGTATAGACGAGGGTATTGAGGTGGAGAATGGGCTGTCTGGAGCTTCCTCCAGCAGTGACTCATCTAGTCTCAGCAGTGAAGCTGCAACCAATGACAAGAATGCCAGGGAATCCGTGTGTCAGGTGAGTTGCCCCCCACTCACTCACCATGTCGCTGTTAAGGGGTTGGGTGGGTGGGGCTAGTCTCAGCAGTGAAGCTGCAACCAATGACAAGAATGCCAGGGAATCTGTGTGTTGGGTGAGTTCCTGTTGCTATGGGTATCTGAGAAGCTAAATCTGCATTCACTGCATTCACCTATGTTTGTCATACTGGGCCCGGGGGCGGTCGGGTAGCCTAGTGGTTAAAGCGTGCGCTTGTCACGCCGAAGACCTGGGTTCGATTCCCGACATGGGTACAATGTGTGAAGCCCATTACTTGTGTCCCCCGCCGTGATATTGCTGGAATATTGCTAAAAGCGGCGTAAAACCATACTCACTCACTTACTCACTCATACTGGGCCCGTGGGGTTACAATAGGTCTCAAGCAACCCCTGCTTGTTGTATGAGGCGACTTGGATTGGCTAATCAACCTCATTGACTTAGTTGATTGCCGGTCATCATACCCAAACAGCATCGGTCAGTGCTAAACACATCACCAGATTTTCTTGTCCAGACTTGATTATTTACTGGTTGCTGTTATATGGCTGCAATATTGCTGGAATATTGCTGATCGTGGCGTTAAACAACAAAATTGTAATGGTGAAGACCTGTTTCATTTGCCCACCTTTCTGTTGTCCTTCCTCCTGTGATATTGTTGAAGTGGAAACTAACAGTACCGACTGTCTCCCTTGCCGTGTTATCTGTGGCAAACCTTCCAGGTGATTGAGTCATGTTGAACCATATCTTTGAACCACCACTGGGTTAAAATTGGTCTTCAGAAACCCATGCTTGTCATAAGAGGCTAATGACGGGATCAGGTTGTCAGGCTCGCTGACTTGCTTGATGCATGTCATTGTATCCCCGTAGAACAATGCTCATAATATCAATCATTGGATTGTCTGGTCCTGACTTTATTGTTTATAGACTGCTGTCATATACCGTATATCGCTGTGTATAAGACGACCCCCCTGTACACGCCTTCGAAATCAGCCCAAAATCCTATACTCCGTGTATAAGGCAACCTGGAATGAAACACATCACAAGTGCGCGCACAAACCTTATATATGCAATAAAAATATGTTTATCTTGCGTTGTTTGTTTCTACGATGACTGGTCGCGTGTGTAACTCCAGCACATGTTGCCATTTTGTGTTTACACTGTGCGACACCAAATTGGTGCCCGTAAAATAAAATTCATTTATGAAGTAATAACATAAGAACATATTTCAAGTTACGAGTTACGATCACATCTTTGTTTACATACATAAATCCATTCATCATTCAGAATCATACATAAATACATACATCATTCAGAATCATACATAAATACATACATCATTCAAAAAATCATACATAAAATCACAAAGGTATTTGGAATATTGCTGAGTGCAGCATTAAACAACAAAGAAACAAAAACATTGAGATACCTGAGACATGTGTTTTTCTTGCAGGGCCCGTATGAGTATGAGTTATTTTCTATAATGATTCACTCCGGCAGTGCAGCAGGAGGGCACTACTATGCTTATATCAAGTAAGTGAGCCAGTTCCTTCAGTAGCATGTAAGGCTTGGTTCCATAGCAGGACTCAGATCTGTGGCAGATTGTCTCGCTCAGGGCAGGTTTAGTTGTATGGCGTAAGGTTGACATCATTTAGATATCTGGTGTCACATCAATTTTCCTGTTGACATCACTGAGAAGATGATGTTGAATATAGATGATGTTTTATAAAGATTACGTCAAATATTAATCCTTTCCTAAATCTGTCCAGATTGAGACAATCTACCACAGATGAGAGACCTGCCGTTGTTCCTACACGTATATACAACTCAAAAGAAGTTTCTCATGACTGTAGTTAATCTGTCATGGCTGGTGGGTGTTGCGACACACAGCCTTCATATTGTGGGTGTTCTTTAACATGTGTTGAGTAGACCCGTGAAGATCCGGGGTAGAATAGGTCTTCAGCAACCCATGCTTGACGTAAAAGGTGACTATGCTTGTTGTAAGAAGCTACTAACGGGATCGGGTGGTAAGGCTTGCTGACTTGGTTGATGCATGTCATCGATCCCAATTGCATTGATCGATGCTCATGAGGTCAATCACTGGATTGTCAGGCCCAGACTTGATTATTCACAGACCGCCGTCATAAAGCTGGAATATTGCTGAGTGCGGCGTTAAACAACAAACAAACGAACAGTGATTTGAAGTAGACACAATCATGGATAGGAACTTCTTTATTAGAAATAAGAAATACCTGTCTAACAATTCATAGTATATGTACTCCTATAACAATCGAAATAGAAATACTATCATCCTGTGGTGCTGATTATAGACCTAATACAGTAGTGTTAGGTGTTAGTTGGTGTGATTGGAACCCCTGTAGGGATTCTAGTGAGGTCCCCAGTAGCCTGTACTTGCTATTGCTGACTGCAGCATTTGTGACTAGACTCTTGACTCATGGAATAATTATTGGCTGTGACAGAGTCGACATAGATTTCTACTTATTCTTTTAATGCAACAATGCAGGTACTGGGATGTTTATCAAGGATGTAAATAAATTGATTGATGTATTTTCTCCAAGATGTCTGTATCAATTCCATGTGTACATATTGTTTATTCACAGGTCTTTCAAAGATGGTCAGTGGTATAGTTTCAATGATCAGCAAGTCACAAGGGTGAGTTGGCTAGCCACAGTTACTTAGCCACAGTTACTAGTCACAGTTACTTAGCCACAGTAACTAGCCACAGTTACTTAGCCACAGTTACTAGCCACAGTTACCTAGCCACAGTTACTAGCCACAGTTACTAGCCACAGTTACTTAGCCACAGTTTTTAACCACTGTTACTAGCCACAGTTACTTAGCCACAGTTACTTAGCCACAGTTACTTAGCCACAGTTACTTAGCCACTGTTACTTAGCCACAGTTACTTAGCCACTGTTACTAGTCACTGTTACAAGCCACTGTTACTAGCCACAGTTACTTAGTCACTGTTACTTAGCCACAGTTACTTAGCCACAGTTACTTAGCCACTGTTTCTAACCGCTGTTACTAGCCACAGTTACTTAGCCACAGTTACTAGTCACTGTTACAAGCCACAGTTACTAGCCACAGTTACTAACCACTGTTACTAGCCACAGTTACAAGCCACAGTTACTTAGCCACAGTTACTTAGCCACAGTTACTAGCCACAGTTACATAGCCACAGTTACTTAGCCACAGTTACTTAGCCACAGTTACTTAGCCACAGTTACTTAGCCACAGTTACTTAGCCACAGTTACTTAGCCACTGTTACTTAGCCACAGTTACTTTGCCACAGTTACTTAGCCACAGTTACTTAGCCACTGTTACTTAGCCACAGTTACTTAGCCACAGTTACTTAGCCACAGTTACTTAGCCACTGTTACAAGCCACAGTTACTAGCCACAGTTACTTAGCCACAGTAACTTAGCCACAGTTACTTAGCCACTGTTACTAGCCACAGTTACATAGCCACAGTTACTTAGCCACAGTTACTTAGCCACTGTTACTAGCCACAGTTACTTAGCCACAGTTACTTAGCCACAGTTACTTAGCCACAGTTACTAGTCACTGTTACAAGCCACAGTTACTAGCCACAGTTACTTAGCCACAGTTACTTAGCCACAGTTATTTAGCCAGTTACTAGCCACAGTTACTTAGCCACAGTTACTTAGCCACAGTTACTAAGCCACAGTTACTAGCCACAGTTACTTAGCCACAGTTACTAAGCCACAGTTACTAGCCACAGTTACTTAGCCACAGTTACTAAGCCACAGTTACTTAGCCACAGTTACTAGTCACTGTTACAAGCCTAAGTTACTAGCCACAGTTACTAACCACAGTTACAAGCCACACTTACTAGCCACAGTTACTTAGCCACAGTTACTAGTCACAGTTACTTAGCCACAGTTACTTAGCCACAGTTACAGTGACGTGGCTGATTTTGTGTCCCCATACCCTGATGTAGATGGTTGCAACCACAATTTAGAGGCCTCTGTGATTAGAATGGAGTAGTGCTGGCTTCAGCATCAAACAAAGGTCACTCTCTCTTATATGGAATATTGGTACAAAACAGCGCCTCCCTCACTTCACAAACTCCACAGTGATCCCACTTGCTCTTGATATATGTCAAAGTTAAAATAATAGTTTAGAAAGTTATCTATTGATAAATATATATAAATGATGGCCATGTTTCATAAAGCTGTAGATGGAAGGTTGAAAAAAGATAAATTGATAATTGTTTATGCTGCTCCTTTGAAAGTCCAGTTTCCCCCCTTGGCCAATTAGGCTGGAATTCTGGAGTTATACTATGGCTGGGACCGCCTCCGTGGTCTAGTGGTAGATTGTCCGCCCGGAGAGCGGAAGGTCCGGGGTTCAATCCCCAACCGCGTCATACCAAAAGACGTTAAAAGATGGTACTTGTTGTTACCCTGTCTGGTGCTTGGCATTAAGGGGCTAAAACAAGGACTGGTCGGCTCGAAGTCAGTATACTGTGTCTGAGTGGGGTATTCATGTTAAACTGCGGCATGGTATCTCAGTGAGCTAGCACTATAAATCGGCATCAGTCCAGACTAGTACAAGCAGCCACACAAACACACACACGTACATGCACGTTGCTATATAAGTGCAATAATCTTGGACATGACGTTAAACCCCATTTCACCTCACCTATACTATAGCTGGACTAACAAGTCCATGTATAGTCCAATCAAAATCCTGTAATGAAATCGATATCTGGTTCATAAACAACTTGGCAGCTGTCATGCCGATTTTGTTCAATTACAAGATTTGCAGAGCATGTGTACCGTCAAGTTTTTTCATGTTTTAATGAAAGTGCTCAAGTGATTTGATGCACTTTGTGAGGTAAGACCCGTTTTAGGACAATATAGATCTTGATTATAGATCACATTATCTTGACTGGACGCCTCCATTTATTAAAGAAAAATGCAAGTGATATGTGAGGTGGAATCTGATTGGTCAGTTGGAGGGACATAGAAGGGACATAACTCATAATAGCCATTGATGGCACTACGATCGAGCCCAGAAATTCCAGCCTAGTTCGGCAAGGGTGGAAACTGGACTTTTAAAGTCAGTAAACTCCCATCCCTTGGGAAGATGGTGTTTATGTCACATGGTGTTGTTCTTCCCGACCTCCAGCAGTCGGTGATGCAGTGTTGATGGTGTTGATGGTGGTCCTCTGTTCCAGATAACATATGATGATATCCGGAAGACCTATGGAGGGTCCAGCCTGGGGAGGGGCTTCTACTCCTCTGCTTATGCAAGGTAATCTGCCAAGTCAGACCTCTCAGTACAGGGGAAGTCCAGGTAGAATACCAACATATGCTGGTCATAAGAGGCCACTTTATTATGTTAATAGACTCGATAATATAGAAGCCGTTGTCTTATTCGAATATTGCTGAGAGCAATGTTAAACACACTCTCTTCAGTGAGTGAGTATTCCAGTTATATCATGGCGTGTCAGCTTCGTGGGAGGACAGTTTGAAGTGATGCAGGTCTCAGACTTTGGTGAAACCCGCAAGCATGGGTATGGTGCTGACAAACCTAGAAATAATTGGGACGACTAGGATTCCAACCCACAAGCATAGGTTTTTTTTCATGCCCAAGGGACATAACTCTGTACAAGGACTCTTTTCAGTGATTGGGGACCTGTGAAGATCCGGAGTAGAATAGGTCTTCAGGAACCCATGCTTGCCATAAAAGGCGACTATGCTTGTTGAAAGAGGCGACTAATGGGATTGGGTGGTAAGGCTTGCTGACTTGGTTGATGCATGTCATCGGATCCCAATTGCGCTGATCGATGCTCATGATGCCAATCACTGGATTGTCTGCTCCAGACTCGATTATTTACAGACCGCCGTCATATAGCTGACATGCCTCCGACATTCAGCTGACATGCCGCGATATAACTGGAATACTGTTAAAAGCAGCATTAAACCCAACTCACTCACTCACTCTGTTCTGTTGTAGCTCCACAAATGCCTACATGCTCATGTACAGACAGATTGACAAGCTCAGAAATGCAGGTACGGATTACAAGTTATTTCTTAATTGTTATTCACTTTATATGTTTTATTCTTGAATTGTTGGCAATCGGCTTATACCAGACTCCATTTGTGTGGAGTATTATCATCAAGACAAGTTGATATCATTTTCAACTCCTTTGTTCTATCATCATGATGTTTTGATGTCAGGTGGATGTCACACTGAAAGGATAGAGGAGATGCATCCATCAGCCAATGCTAATATTTGTAAAATGACGGAATATTTACTTTGTCGGCACTGGCTGTAGACACACAGACTATAATGAAATGTACATCACTGACTAGACACAGACCATTATGAAATGTACATCACTGACTAGACAAAGACCATTATGAAATGTACATCACTGACTAGACACAGACCATTATGAAATGTACATCACTGACTTGACACAGACCATTATGAAATGTACATCACTGACTTGACACAGACCATTATGAAATGTACATCACTGACTAGACACAGACCATTATGATATGTACATCACTGACTAGACACAGACCATTATGAAATGTACATCACTGACTAGACACAGACCATTATGAAATGTACATCACTGACTAGACACAGACCATTATGAAATGTACATCACTGACTAGACACAGACCATTATGAAATGTACATCACTGACTAGACACAGACCATTATGAAATGTACATCACTGACTAGACACAGACCATTATGAAATGTACATCACTGACTTGACACAGACCATTATGAAATGTACATCACTGACTAGACACAGACCATTATGAAATGTACATCACTGACTAGACACAGACCATTATGAAATGTACATCACTGACTAGACACAGACCATTATGAAATGTACATCACTGACTTGACACAGACCATTATGAAATGTACATCACTGACTAGACACAGACCATTATGATATGTACATCACTGACTAGACACAGACCATTATGAAATGTACATCACTGACTTGACACAGACCATTATGAAATGTAGATCACTGACTAGACACAGACCATTATGATATGTACATCACTGACTAGACACAGACCATTATGAAATGTACATCACTGACTAGACACAGACCATTATGAAATGTACATCACTGACTAGACACAGACCATTTTGAAATGTACATCACTGACTAGACACAAACCATTATGAAATGTACATCACTGACTTGACACAGACCATTATGAAATGTACATCACTGACTAGACACAGACCATTATGAAATGTACATCACTGACTAGACACAGACCATTATGAAATGTACATCACTGACTAGACACAGACCATTATGAAATGTACATCACTGACTAGACACAGGCCATTTTGAAATGTACATCACTGACTAGACACAGACCATTATGAAATGTACATCACTGACTAGACACAGACCATTATGAAATGTACATCACTGACTAGACACAGACCATTATGAAATGTACATCACTGACTAGACACAGACCATTATGAAATGTACATCACTGACTAGACACAGACCATTATGAAATGTACATCACTGACTAGACACAGACCATTATGAAATGTACATCACTGACTAGACACAGACCATTATGAAATGTACATCACTGACTAGACACAGACCATTATGAAATGTACATCACTGACTAGACACAGACTATTATGATGTTCATCTTCAAGTTAACAAATAATACATGCCTTGAAATAGTCTTTGACTTTGTTATATGTACAGATACCTTCAAGTACATACATCTAAATTTGGCAAGAGCCGTTCTAAATTACTGTGTTACAGTTATATGTATTATTATAACCGTGAGATCAGATCATATTTTAGTTCAACTTTGAAGCTGATCATTCCAAATACTTAGATCATGGATGCTGCCTTAGGTATGTGTGTGCATTCAACCATTCTGCATTCTCTTGACAGAGTGCATGATGCCGGATGATTTCCCCAAACACCTGAAGAGGGCGTTGCAGAAACAACAGGAGCAGGAAGAGGCAGAGAGAAAACAGCGGGAGATAGACAAGTCCACCTGCAAGGTGAGGGGGTGCGGGAGATAGACAAGTCCACCTGCAAGGTGAGGGGGTGCGGGAGATAGACAGGTCCACCTGCAAGGTGAGGGGGGTGAAGGAGATAGACAAGTCCACCTGCAAGGTAAGGGGGTGAGGGAGGTAGACAAGTTCACCTGCAAGGTAAGGGGGTGAGGGAGGTAGACAAGTTCACCTGCCAAGTGAGGGGGTGAAGGAGATAGACAAGTCCACCTGCAAGGTGAGGGGGTGAAGGAGATAGACAGGTCCACCTGCAAGGTGAGGGGGTGAAGGAGATAGACAAGTCCACCTGCCAAGTGAGGGGGTGAGGGAGATAGACAAGTCCACCTGCAAGGTAAGGGGGTGAGGGAGGTAGACAAGTCCACCTGCAAGGTAAGGGGGTGAGGGAGATAGACAGGTCCACCTGCAAGGTAAGGGGGTGAGGGAGGTAGACAAGTCCACCTGCAAGGTAAGGGGGTGAGGGAGATAGACAGGTCCACCTGCGGGGTGAGGGGGTGAGGGAGATAGACAAGTCCATCTGCAAGGTGAGGGGGTGCGGGAGATAGACAAGCCCATCTTCAAGGTGTTGGTGGGTGGAATTTAGACCAGTCCACCTGCAAAAGGTGGGTGGGAAAGCAAGATAGACAATTAATTTCTGTCTTTCCTATTTCATGATGCATTGTACATGTCTTCCAGATCAAGCTGTACTGTTTTCACCCAAGCAATAAAAAGAAGATGGAGTCGAAGTTTGAAGTTCATAAAGACAAGACGTTGAAACAAGCCACAGAAATGGCCTTCAAGGTAATGGTAACTTCAGATACTGAAAGTCATGGGATATTTGATTTGTCAACATATACTAACAGAAGAAAGTAACTGTGCTTCATATGAAGTTCAGTAAAAAATGATTTATTCTGAATTTAAAAAATGCATCTTTCAATGCATATTCATGAAGACCTTTCAACTTTAAGGTCATGATTCACAATTTGCATGTGCATGTTGATGCAGGCGCACAATTTTGATGTTTTTTGCGTTTGTTGGGAGGATGATACTCATTCACATATTTTTGCTCATAAAAACATTTTGTTTAGCCATATGTAGCGCTTATGTAGACTTGTTATGATAAAACATTGATCAGACAAATGACCAAATATCATGTTGTTATTTACAATAATATAACATTTACACCACTTTCTCTGAAGCACAGCTACTTTTTCCACTGTCAACATTTTAGGGCATCAGCTAAGGTCTGCTACAGGATGATTACTGATTTGGTAGTGAAATGTCAGACACTACTGTTCAGTTTGAGGCTTTCCAGTTGCTATTATTTGGCAGACAAATTTCCATTGTTATATAGGGGCGGTCGGGTAGCCTAGTGGTTAAAGCGTTAGCTCGTCACGCCCAAGACCCGGGTTCGATTCCCGACATGGGTACAATGTGTGAAGCCCATTTCTGGTGTCCCCCGCCGTGATATTGCTGGAATATTGCTAAAAGCGGCGTAAAACCATACTCACTCACTCACTCCATTGTTATATTGAAAACCCCTCATCTCACAATGTCCCACTTCCAGGCCTCATTGTTTACTGCACTGGTTACCTCCCCTTTTTGGTATGAGATTAAGTTCCTTATAAATGCACAACTTTGTCTCCAGTCGTTCGAGATCGACAACGTAATAGCTCTGTCAGACTGCCGCCTGGTTAAGTATGATGAGTACTCGGACTCCCTGGAGAAGTCATTCGATGGCGAGGACGACAGCTCCATGGGCTGTCTTCTGGGAGGCGTCAAGTCCTGCTACAACTTCGACCTCCTGCTGGAGACCAAGCGACCTGACCAGAAGTTCCAGGAGTACAAGCCAGGAGGTATGTCTGCACGTTTGTGTGTGTGGTGTGTGGTGTGTGGTGTGTGGTGTGTATACTGGGTTTTTGTATGCTGTGTGTGTGGTGTGTATACTGGGTGTATGTATGCTGTGGTGTGTGTGTATGTATGCTGTGTGTGTGGTGTGTATACTGTGTGTATGTATGCTGTGTGTGTGTGCTGTGTATACTGGGTGTATGTATGCTGTGTGTGTGTGGTGTGTATACTGGGTGTGTGTGTGGTGTGTATACTGGGTGTATGTATGCTGTGTGTGTGTGGTGTGTATACTGGGTGTATGTATGCTGTGTGTGTGCTGTGTGAGTGCTGATTACATATTGTTATCCACCTGTTTTTAAAGAACAGATGGGAGTATGTCCACCCATCTGTCCTCCATCCGTTTTCCGTTTCTGAAGCAGAACTCCAAAACCGTTGAACATTTTTGGATTAAACTTGCTATACAGATCAGTCTGGTGGGGAACTGGTGCCTTTAGCTGATTTGGGATATTGATAAATACTGAACATCATTTCACTGAACTGAAGGTATTCAATGGCAATGAAGTAGCCAAACTCCCAATTCCCAATTGATCAGTGAGATGACGCCTGTGTTTGCTGTGTGTAGGTGTGACCGTGAAGGTGTATGTGGTGGACTCCAAGCAGGGAGAGATCCACCCTCCGGTCAGCGTACGCGCCTACCATGTCCAGACTGTCAGCGAGTTCAAGAACCTCGTCACACAGGTGAGATGCTTTACACTTTCGTTCTATTGCATTCTCTGAGGCTGAAACTGGTGTTGTTATGTCCTAGCTACAGTTTGTTTACATGTAGTGACAGTGGAATAGCAGACAGTGGCATAAGATGATATTCTCTTTCTCACTCAAAATTATATGAGTTTGTATTTTACAAATTTATTCTCTGTGTTTTATTCATCAATTTGCTGTGTCATACATGTCTATGTCTGGTATGACAGATGGTATGACATGTCTTTAATCACCTTTCAATGATCGGTAAATTGATCAATGATGACTGAAACATGTAACTGCCACAGGTTCATTAACAGCTTCAGAAATCTCTCCCATCACATTTATCGTGTTGGCCATTTTGTCGTCTTGTACTTGATGTAAATGTATTATGACGTGCTGTCGTTCACTCTATGCAGGTTCATACTCCAATGAACTCACACAAAGTCCATTCTTAAATTTGCTCTGTCATACATGTCTAGACCTTGGAACTCGAGTCAACGGAGATGACCTGTGTCTTGGAAAGATTCCACAATGACCTAAGACCTCTCACAGTGCCAAACAAAACACTAAAAGCTGAAGGCTTTTTCAAAAGTAATAAGGTGAGTGGGAGTCACTTACGGAGCATATATACTTCTGAACCTTTTCCAGTTTCTCTAATATCCTATTCCATGCATGAAAAAGTTTCACCCCGATTATGTTTCTATGTTGTCAGCACCATACCCGTGCTCATGGGTTTCACAGAAGTGGTAAATGTCTAAGACCTGCATCACTTCGGGCTTTCTTCTCACATTAAGAGGACACGCCGTGATATAACTGGAATACTGTTAAAAGCGACGATAAACCCAACTTACTCATTCACTCACCCACTCACTCACTCACTCACTCCCTCGATGTAGCACAGTACACTCTGCAAAGAATGTTTACAAATTCGGGAAATGCAATGGACACAACAAAACCTCTTTATCGCTATCCCGGCACCAGTGAATCAAGTGATTCTTACTATGTTAACTTCTTTAAAGTAGTATATTTTCTATATCATGGGGGTAGGATGGTCTATAGGATGGTCTTCTCCATTGTGATCAACATCCAAGATCGGCATCCCCCCCACATAAAGCTGACATGCCATGATATATAGGATAAAGCACGCCTCTGAGGTTTGGGTTGAAAGTGTAAAACTGTGAGCGACAGAGAGACTGAGGGCCAGAGGCCCAAGGGCTTTTTCCGAGGTAAAGGTTTTCCATTTTCAACCAAAACTGAGGAGGCGTGCTGTAGCCAACTTATGAACTGTCTCAATGCAAGAAATCCCAGAAACATAAGAAAACATGGACATACCTTATAGTGAAACAATACAGTGTATCGCGGTATAAGAGGAATTCGTTCAAAGCGTATGGGAGAAAAACCTTGTGCAAGCATGGACAAGCTGGAGTCATGACCAGATGAACGTAACAACTTCTCATCATCTGCTCCAGTTGCTCAGTGGGAAAACAGGGGCTTACAAAACTTTACACGATATGTAAGGGTGCAGGTTCGATTCACATCATTGAATTTTCATGTTAAAAAAAATTATGACTTTTAACCAGTCTTCACACACAATTATGTTCACATCAAGAGTCAAGTTAATGAAACGTTTATTGTAAACCTAGTGTTAAACTCCCTCACTCACCTCTATGGGGATGTGGTACAATGGCTGACACTTGTCTGTGTTTGTTGTCCAGGTGTACATCCAGTACCCACACGACGAGGACGACATGTACACCCCATTCCTCAAGACCAAGTTCTACCAGCTGCTGGACCGACATCAGAACACAATTCGCATAAACGTCACCATCCCCACTCCAGGTAGGTGGATTGTTTGAAAGTTATTACTTAGAAGTTGATGGAATTTATGGATAACTACTTCTTTATTTACTGTAAAGGCGACGTTTCGGTACAGATCCTTATAGCGATGTCAAGCAAGGCTGAATAAACATGACAACAGTATAAGGATCTATACCGAAACATCACTAGGTAGGTGGAATCCTGATATACTCGGCACTAGAAGACGGCAGGGCACACCTAGAACAACACAGTGGAGCCAGGAGCTCCATACACAGGTCAACCATCAGGACATCTGGCAGGCAAAACAACCAGCCTCCCGTTGCAAACTCTGGATCAGAAAGGTCATGATAAGGGGCTAAACAAGATACGGTGGCTGTGATGCCTGTTTGCATTTTTGTCACTATCACCAACTTGTTTCTTGGTCCAGATTTGAACAAATTCCTGAAATATGCTGACTGCATTGTGGAAAGTTTCATCCACTGCATGAGCTAGGTCCACAGGCTAGCTGAAACACTAAAGAGGTCTTTCGTACCCAATAGGCAGGGATGAGAAATTTTTCTGGGAATTTGTGTGAATTGTAGTGACCACATATATGTTAAAATCTGATGGGTTTCCCCCCTAAACACCCCCAAATTATGGACCACAGGCTAGCTGAAACACTAAAGAGGTCTTTCGTACCCAATAGGCAGGGATGAGAATTTTTTCCAGGAATTCGTGCGAATTTTAGTGACCACATATATGTTAAAATCTGATGGGTTTCCCCCATAAACACCCCCAAATTATGGAAAATTTCCATTCTCATCCCTGAATATGTCACATCCTTTCAGTTTTACGATAGATAATGTCTACCTACACTCCATTTCTGATACAACTGAAATGCTCCTACATTACTGCATGTTCCCTGGTATTGCCTTTCCATTGCTGTTGCCTACTGCCAGGTAGTAGATACACATTATTGGATCAGCTTTTGAATGATGTGCCTCCCAATGTGTGTGTAGTGTGTCACTAACCTCTCTTTCCACCCACAGAGGATGTGGAGGACTACGTCAAATCTATCCAGCAGAGTCTCCTGCGTCGACATCAGCTCACACTACGGGCCGACCCCTCCTCCATGTGCAATGATGCCACAAGTGACTCTCCTGATATCGACGAGGGTATCAGTGACCCTGTGGATGGAATAGATCATAAAATGCGGGCCATGGCTATTCATGGTTGCCATAGTGACCCTTCTGTGTATCATAGTTGCCAAGACAACAGTGACATCTCTCCTCAGGAGTCTGGGTCCGAGGGTCGTAGTAGCAGCCCCGTTGGACCCAGTACAAGTAGTCAGGATACGAGCACAAGTGCGGAGTTCAGTCTCACCACGAACTACACGAACAATGACGGTCAGTCCACATCGCCAGACGATCTTCAGCAGTTCAGTGATAAGGGCTCCGGGGCTGTGGAGCACAGTTTCAGTGACCCCGAGCAGGTGTCGCCTCCGTGTCAAGTCTCGCCAAATGGCGACTCAGGTGACAAAGATAGTGACTTCAAGCGTGAAGAGAACTGGGACCTGGAGATCGGCGACACGGCAGACAGTGTGTGTTCCAGCATCACGTCCAGCATGTCGGGGAAGGAGGCCATGGAGGAGGAGGAGGCCGAACCTCCACGCTACTTCACCGCCATGCCCAGCGACCCCCTGCCAGACACCAACCAAAGAAGTCAGTATTTCCATCTTCCCCTATCATGCAACAAATGTTTTATTTGGGATAAAACTTTCTGAGTACAGTACAGATTCTAGTACTTTCTTTTCTTATTTTTTTTTTTTTAGGTGGGGAGGTGAATCCCATCTGGGATTCGAACCCACACTCTTAGAGTGAGGCACCTAATCACCAGCACACAAAGGATTCCACATTTCGAATCCCGGATGGAACTAAAATCTGTACTTTACTAAGAAAGCGTTATTCCAAATTTAACATTTGTTTCATTTGACCATTTTCAAAATGGCATTGTGTATCATGTTGCATTAAGTAAACGAGTTCATCCCGTTGTTAGATTACCAGACATAGATTAAATTTTATTCCTTGCCTGCCAAATTAACCTACCAATGTTAATGAACAACAGTAATGGGGGACTTACAATCCTTGTGTGTTCTCATATGTAATTTAATCTCTAATTTAATCTCTACACAAGAAGCACAGAGATCTTTATGTATTGACAGCCCCTTTTCAGGAATAATTATATACTACTCAAAAGAAGTTTAGGACCACCCGATTCTTTCATATTACTATAGTTAATCTGTCATGGCACGACAGATTAACTGTAGTCATTAAAGAAGTCCTTCTTAGACTTGATTTGAGCAGTATATGACACATAATTACCTTACTACAAATGCAGTGAGAATTTTGGGTTTGAATAGGTCCATTCAATAGATATGCTTGTCGTAGTGGACTATGGGAACCAAGTTATCGAGGGGCGGTCGGGTAGCCTAGTGGTTAAAGCATTCGCTCGTCATGCCGAAGACCCGGGTTCGAATCCCAACATGGGTACAATGTGTGAAGCCCATTTCTCACTCACTCACTCACCAAGTTATCAGGCTCAGTGACTGGGTGATTGTGTCATCATGGCACAACATGGGGGGCATTGCTTGTTGTATCAATCACTGGATTGTCTGGTTGAATATTTAGAGGCCTCCTACATTCAGCTGGAATATGTCTGAGTGTGACATTAAACAGCTAACAGTCTGCTAACAAATAATATTCCTAAGAAGGCGTAACTGTATCTGCTACAGGTTTGACTGTGTTCGTGGACAAGAGGATCACTCTTGGTGCATTCAAGAAGGAGCTGGAGCCTTATGTGGGGACTGTCATGGAAAACTTTAAGGTGTACCGTGTGTACTCCAACAATCAGGAGTTTGAGAGTATCCGGCTCACCGACACGCTCTCTTTCTTGGAGGATGGAAAGGTATTTACTTCCTGTCTGCCAAAACTCAATTGAATCGTAATGCTTATTCTGTTAAATATCCTATTTAGTCTTGCAGATTTGATTGTGAGATGAAACTGTTTGAACAATAATTCTTCAGTCAAGGGTTTGAATGTCATTTAGAAGTGATCCACATAAGATAGGGAATTATATGGAATTTTCATCGTTAGAAGTTTACATCCATCAATTCTGTCTTAATTCTTCAGTCGATGAGATATTCAATTAGTGGAATTGACTAAAAGATTTAATTCATTTAAGAATCGTAATGTTTACACCGATAAGATATGCTTTAGTTTATATGTTTTTAATTTATTGTGAGGTTTTGGTCTGCTTTTATTGCAATTAATCCTATACCTATTACAGCTGAACATCAAACTTGGCCGTGCGCTCCGCCCCGGGGAACACAGGGTAAAGGTGTACCTCCTGTCTGTCAATGAAACAGAGGTGAGGGTTGTCACACACAGGTGTAAAGATGTAGTGGAGGTATCAGGGGGATCTGTTCATTTTACTTCCGGAATCAACTGATTTAAGTGATTTCTCCTGCTGTATACTACTTAAAGACTGTAGTGAAGTGTGTAACTGTAGTAATATGAAAGGAATGGATGTTGTTTTACTTCTTTTGAGTAGTATATAATTTCTCTGTTATTTAGCATAATGATCTGTAGTTGCGTCAGTTTCACTTGTTTGTGTACTCGTTCAAAATGGCCAGTGAATTCCTGGCTCAGAACACACTGGCTCTGAACACACTGGCTCAGAACACACTGGCTCAGAATACACTGGCTCAGAATACACTGGCTCTGAATACACTGGCTTAGAATACACTGGCTCAGAATACACTGGCTTAGAATACACTGGCTTAGAACACACTGGCTCAGAACACACTGGCTCTGAACACACTGGCACAGAATACACTGGCTCAGAACACACTGGCTCAGAATACACTGTCTTAGAATACACTGGCTTAGAATACACTGGCACAGAATACACTGGCTCAGAACACACTGGCTCAGAATACACTGGCTCTGAACACACTGTCTCAGAACACACTGTCTCAGAATACACTGGCTCAGAATACACTGGCTCAGAATACACTGGCTCAGAACACACTGTCTCAGAACACACTGTCTCAGAATACACTGGCTCAGAATACACTGGCTCAGAATACACTGGCTCAGAATACACTGGCTCAGAACACACTGGCTCAGAACACACTGGCTCAGAACACACTGGCTCAGAATACACTGGCCCAGAACACACTGGCTCAGAACACACTGGCTCAGAATACACTGGCTCAGAATACACTGGCTCTGAATACACTGGCTTAGAATACACTGGCTCAGAATACACTGGCTTAGAATACACTGGCTCAGAACACACTGGCTCTGAACACACTGGCACAGAATACACTGGCTCAGAACACACTGGCTCAGAATACACTGTCTTAGAATACACTGGCTTAGAATACACTGGCACAGAATACACTGGCTCAGAACACACTGGCTCAGAATACACTGGCTCTGAACACACTGTCTCAGAACACACTGTCTCAGAATACACTGGCTCAGAATACACTGGCTCAGAATACACTGGCTCAGAACACACTGTCTCAGAACACACTGTCTTAGAATACACTGGCTCAGAATACACTGGCTCAGAATACACTGGCTCAGAATACACTGGCTCAGAATACACTGGCTCAGAACACACTGGCTCAGAATACACTGGCTCTGAACACACTGGCTCAGAATACACTGGCTCAGAACACACTGGCTCAGAACACACTGGCTCAGAATACACTGGCTCTGAATACACTGGCTTAGAATACACTGGCTCAGAATACACTGGCTTAGAATACACTGGCTTAGAACACACTGGCTCAGAACACACTGGCTCTGAACACACTGGCACAGAATACACTGGCTCAGAACACACTGGCTCAGAATACACTGTCTTAGAATACACTGGCTTAGAATACACTGGCACAGAATACACTGGCTCAGAACACACTGGCTCAGAATACACTGGCTCTGAACACACTGTCTCAGAACACACTGTCTCAGAATACACTGGCTCAGAATACACTGGCTCAGAATACACTGGCTCAGAACACACTGTCTCAGAACACACTGTCTCAGAATACACTGGCTCAGAATACACTGGCTCAGAATACACTGGCTCAGAATACACTGGCTCAGAACACACTGGCTCAGAATACACTGGCTCTGAACACACTGGCTCAGAATACACTGGCTCAGAACACACTGGCTCAGAACACACTGGCTCAGAATACACTGGCTCAGAATACACTGGCTCTGAATACACTGGCTTAGAATACACTGGCTCAGAATACACTGGCTTAGAATACACTGGCTTAGAACACACTGGCTCAGAACACACTGGCTCTGAACACACTGGCACAGAATACACTGGCTCAGAACACACTGGCTCAGAATACACTGTCTTAGAATACACTGGCTTAGAATACACTGGCTCAGAACACACTGGCTCAGAACACACTGGCTCAGAATACACTGGCTCTGAACACACTGTCTCAGAACACACTGTCTCAGAATACACTGGCTCAGAACACACTGTCTTAGAATACACTGGCTTAGAATACACTGTCTTAGAATACACTGGCTTAGAATACACTGGCTCAGAATACACTGGCTCAGAATACACTGGCTCAGAATACACTGGCTCAGAACACACTGGCTCAGAACACACTGGCTTAGAATACACTGGCTTAGAATACACTGGCTCAGAATACACTGGCTCAGAATACACTGGCTCAGAACACACTGGCTTAGAATACACTGGCTCAGAATACACTGGCTCAGAACACACTGGCTCAGAATACACTGGCTTAGAATACACTGGCTCAGAATACACTGGCTCAGAATACACTGGCTCAGAACACACTGGATTAGAATACACTGGCTCAGAATACACTGGCTCAGAACACACTGGCTTAGAATACACTGGCTTAGAATGCACTGGCTCAGAATACACTGGCTCTGAATACACTGGCTCTGAACACACTGGCTCTGAACACACTGGCTTAGAATACACTGTCTTAGAATACACTGTCTTAGAATACACTGCAACAACATCATGATATCATCATCATGGTTGAAAATAGGAAAGTATTAATTGTAGGGACTTCTTTGTGAATAAGTGAAAAACATCTCTGTTAAATTAATCCTTCGCTGTGAGAAATTAGTTACTTGATCTGCTGCTTGTGTCGCTTGCAGCCGTGTAAGTTCCTGGTGGAGACCATCCTAGCCAAGGGGATGACAGTGCTGGAGTCCAAGAAGCTGATTCTCCCCGAGATCAAGGAACAGTGTGAGATGGAGATACCGCTAGACAGGTAGGGAGGGACATGGGCTAGCCTACCTCTGGGGAGGCCACAAATGGGCATTTTAGCTGCGACAGCTGAAACTTTTCATTTCAAATGGGTATTTTTAGCTGCGGCAGCTGAAACTTTTCCTATTCAATGTCATCTCTGCAACTACAAGGCTTATGGAGCTGAAACTTTGTCTGAACGATCCAAGCGATGGTGTCTCTGAAAATTCTCACAAAATTTCAGTCTGATTTTTCAATATGGACACCATGCTGAAAATGTCAGTTTTGTCCAATTCTGCATGTATTTGAAGTGCAGAAGTGTGTGATATATGGAATAATGGCAGCATATTGAAAAACCTATTTATGGCCATTACTCCAATACTTTTGTCCAGAATTTAGGTAAATGTGAAGTTAGTAGTCGGATTCAACATGTATGTTCTGTTTTTTGGCAATATTTACATAATGACCTTGATTTGACCTTTGTTTTTTGACAATCATGAAAACTAATATTTCTTATGATAATTCTGTTTCAAAATGTAATGAAATTTGGTGTAGACTAAGTTTTTGAGAGGTTGTCAGTATGATGCCCCAGGCAAAGCCAAAGTTTCACCATCCTACACCTTGTGGTTATGGCAAAAAGAGTGGAAGAACTTCAAGTAGACAAAAGCATGTAGGGCAGGCCAGTATTTTAATTTGACCAGCGTGTTAGTTATCAAAGAAAATGACATATGCCCGTTTCAAAGAGTGAATGAGTTAGGTTTTACGCCGTTTTTAGCAACATTCCAGCAATATCACGGCGGGGGACACCAGAAATGGGCTTCACACATTCGAGAATCAAACCCGGGTTTTTGGCGTGATGAGCGAATGCTTTAACCACTAGGCTACCCGACAGCCCCCCCTCATTCTTGGGACAGAATATTTAAACAGTATATGACCCAGTGCCCCAAGTAACCCCAACACTGACCTTTGCACTGGAAAGCGTTTGCAGTTTTACCATGCTCTTTTATAGCTTCTCTGATACTGCTTTATAGCTTCTTTGATGCTGCTTGACTGATGAAACTGAAATTTAGCATGCATGTTACTTTTTACTTTGTGATTATATTTGATGTTTGTTTCCGAGTTCTTCAAGGAATTATAATTGGCTGTCCACTTCTGTGTCCACTTTATAAGGTTTAAGCATCATAAAACTTTCTTCATTGTCCAGGTGACCTACAGAGCTTCTTGGCTCTATTTCTGTATTATAACATTGTGTATCAAGATCAATTTACATTTCTTTCAGGGGCACGGGTGGCCCAGTCGTCTAAGGCGCTGCGATTCGCTGTGCAGAGTTGCATCCCTTGGACATGCCAGAAACCTATGATTGTGGGTTCGAATCCCGGTTGGCCCCAATTATGTTTCTAGGTTTGTCAGCACCATACCCGTGCTCAAGGGTTTCACTGAAGTGGTAAATGTCTTAGACCTGCATCACTTCGGGCTTTCCTCCCACATTAAGCTGACACGCCGTGATATAACTGAAATAATGTTAAAAGCGGTGTTAAACCCAACTCACTCACTCACTCACTCACTCACTCACTCACTCACTCACTCACTCACTACATTTCTTTCTCTCTGGTGTTGCAGGTGTCGATTACGAAAGAAAACATGGAAGAATCCTGGAACAGTCTATATCGATTCTCAAATCTATGAGGATGAAATTGCCATTTTCCCCAACTGGGAGGTGTACCTAGAAATCCTGGATGGTGAGTGTCCATCATTATAGCAATGGGTCATGTCCACTGAATGTGTGGTGACTGTGCCTGTAGGTGGTGGACTGAGAGTGAGTGTTCAGTCTACAGAAACCGGCACGGAGATAAAGCAGCCCTACTTAGACTGGTCACTGTGGGCAAGTTAGCTGCAGAGATCTTGTGTGCTAGGGTACAGGTGTTTTCTTCTACTTAGACTGGTCACTGTGGGCAAGTTAGCTGCAGAGATCTTGAGTGCTAGGGTACAGGTGTTTTCTTGTATTTAGACTGGTCACTGTGGGCAAGTTAGCTGCAGAGATCTTCAGTGCTAGGGTACAGGTGTTTTCTTCTACTTAGACTGGTCACTGTGGGCAAGTTAGCTGCAGAGATCTTGAGTGCTAGGGTACAGGTGTTTTCTTCTACTTAGGCTGGTCACTGTGGGCAAGTTAGCTGCAGAGATCTTGAGTGCTAGGGTACAGGTGTTTTCTTCTACTTAGGCTGGTCACTGTGGGCAAGTTAGCTGCAGAGATCTTGAGTGCTAGGGTACAGGTGTTTTCTTCTACTTAGGCTGGTCACTGTGGGCAAGTTAGCTGCAGAGATCTTGAGTGCTAGGGTACAGGTGTTTTCTTCTACTTAGACTGGTCACTGTGGGCAAGTTAGCTGCAGAGATCTTGAGTGCTAGGGTACAGGTGTTTTCTTCTACTTAGACTGGTCACTGTGGGCAAGTTAGCTGCAGAGATCTTGAGTGCTAGGGTACAGGTGTTTTCTTCTACTTAGACTGGTCACTGTGGGCAAGTTAGCTGCAGAGATCTTGAGTGCTAGGGTACAGGTGTTTTCTTCTACTTAGACTGGTCACTGTGGGCAAGTTAGCTGCAGAGATCTTGAGTGCTAGGGTACAGGTGTTTTCTTCTACTTAGACTGGTCACTGTGGGCAAGTTAGCTGCAGAGATCTTGAGTGCTAGGGTACAGGTGTTTTCTTCTACTTAGGCTGGTCACTGTGGGCAAGTTAGCTGCAGAGATCTTGAGTGCTAGGGTACAGGTGTTTTCTTCTACTTAGACTGGTCACTGTGGGCAAGTTAGCTGCAGAGATCTTCAGTGCTAGGGTACAGGTGTTTTCTTCTACTTAGACTGGTCACTGTGGGCAAGTTAGCTGCAGAGATCTTGTGTGCTAGGGTACAGGTGTTTTCTTCTACTAAGGCTGTAACTGTGGGCAAGTTAGCTGCAGAGATCTTGAGTGCTAGGGTACAGGTGTTTTCGTCTACTTAGGCTGTAACTGTAGGCAAGGATGCTGCAGAGATCTTGTGTACTGGGTACAGGTGCTATAGAGATCTTGTGTGCTGGGTACAGGTGCTATAGAGATCTTGTGTGCTGGGTACTGGTGCTACAGAGATCTTGTGTGCTGGGTACGGGTGCTATAGAGATCTTGTGTGCTGGGTACATGTGCTATAGAGATCGTGTGTGCTGGGTACAGGTGCTATAGAGATCTTGTGTGCTGGGTACATGTGCTATAGAGATCGTGTGTGCTGGGTACAGGTGCTATAGAGATCGTGTGTGCTGGGTACATGTGCTATAGAGATCGTGTGTGCTGGGTACATGTGCTATAGAGATCGTGTGTGCTGGGTACGGGTGCTATAGAGATCTTGTGTGCTGGGTACATGTGCTATAGAGATCGTGTGTGCTGGGTACAGGTGCTATAGAGATCTTGTGTGCTGGGTACAGGTGCAATAGAGATCGTGTGTGCTGGGTACATGTGCTATAGAGATCTTGTGTGCTGGGTACAGGTGCTGCAGAGATCTTGTGTGCTGGGTACAGGTGCTATAGAGATCGTGTGTGCTGGGTACATTTGCTATAGAGATCTTGTGTGCTGGGTACTGGTGCTATAGAGATCATGTGTGCTGGGTACAGGTGCTATAGAGATCGTGTGTGCTGGGTACAGGTGCTATAGAGATCTTGTGTGCTGGGTACAGGTGCTGCAGAGATCTTGTGTGCTGGGTACAGGTGCTACAGAGATCATGTGTGCTGGGTACAGGTGCTATAGAGATCTTGTGTGCTGGGTACAGGGGCTGCAGAGATCTTGTTTGCTGGGTACAGGTGCAATAGAGATCTTGTGTGCTGGGTACTGGTGCTATAGAGATCTTGTGTGCTGGGTACAGGTGCTATAGAGATCTTGTGTGCTGGGTACAGGTGCTGCAGAGATCTTGTGTGCTGGGTACAGGTGCAATAGAGATCTTGTGTGCTGGGTACAGGTGCAATAGAGATCTTGTGTGCTGGGTACAGGTGCTATAGAGATCTTGTGTGCTGGGTACAGGTGCTGCAGAGATCTTGTGTGCTGGGTACAGGTGCAATAGAGATCTTGTGTGCTGGGTACAGGTGCTATAGAGATCGTGTGTGCTGGGTACAGGTGCTATAGAGATCTTGTGTGCTGGGTACAGGTGCTGCAGAGATCTTGTGTGCTGGGTACAGGTGCAATAGAGATCTTGTGTGCTGGGTACTGGTGCTATACAGATCTTGTGTGCTGGGTACTGGTGCTACAGAGATCTTGTGTGCTGGGTACAGGTGCTACAGAGATCTTGTGTGCTGGGTACAGGTGCTGCAGAGATCTTGTGTGCTGGGTACTGGTGCTATAGAGATCTTGTGTGCTGGGTACAGGTGCTATAGAGATCTTGTGTGCTGGGTACTTGTGCTATAGAGATCTTGTGTGCTGGGTACAGGTGCTATAGAGATCTTGTGTGCTGGGTACTGGTGCTGCAGAGATCTTGTGTGCTGGGTACAGGTGCTGCAGAGATCATGTGTGCTGGGTACAGGTGCTGCAGAGATCCTGTGTGCTGGGTACTGGTGCTATAGAGATCTTGTGTGCTGGGTTCATGTGCTATAGAGATCTTGTGTGCTGGGTACAGGTGCTGCAGAGATCGTGTGTGCTGGGTACATGTGCTCTGGAGACCTTGTGTGCTGGGTTCAGGTGCTATAGAGATCATGTGTGCTGGGTACATGTGCTATAGAGACCTTGTGTGCTGGGTTCAGGTGCTATAGAGATCTTGTGTGCTGGGTACATGTGCTATAGAGACCTTGTGTGCTGGGTTCAGGTGCTATAGAGATCATGTGTGCTGGGTACAGGTGCTATAGAGATCTTGTGTGCTGGGTACAGGTGCTATAGAGATCTTGTGTGCTGGGTACATGTGCTATAGAGATCTTGTGTATTGGTACAGGTGCTATAGAGATCTTGTGTGCTGGGTACAGGTGCTATAGAGATCTTGTGTGCTGGGTACTGGTGCTACAGAGATCATGTGTGCTGGGTACAGGTGCTGCAGAGATCATGTGTGCTGGGTACAGGTGCTGCAGAGATCTTGTGTGCTGGGTACAGGTGCTGCAGAGATCTTGTGTGCTGGGTACTGGTGCTATAGAGATCTTGTGTGCTGGGTTCAGGTGCTATAGAGATCTTGTGTGCTGGGTACAGGTGCTGCATAGATCGTGTGTGCTGGGTACATGTGCTATAGAGACCTTGTGTGCTGGGTTCAGGTGCTATAGAGATCATGTGTGCTGGGTACATGTGCTATAGAGACCTTGTGTGCTGGGTTCAGGTGCTATAGAGATCGTGTGTGCTGGGTACATTTGCTATAGAGATCTTGTGTGCTGGGTTCAGGTGCTATAGAGATCATGTGTGCTGGGTACAGGTGCTGTAGAGACCTTGTGTGCTGGGTTCAGGTGCTATAGAGACCTTGTGTGTCGGGTTCAGGTGCTATAGAGACCTTGTGTGCTGGGTTCAGGTGCTATAGAGATCTTGTGTGCTGGGTACATTTGCTATAGAGATCTTGTGTGCTGGGTTCAGGTGCTATAGAGATCATGTGTGCTGGGTACAGGTGCTGTAGAGACCTTGTGTGCTGGGTACAGGTGCTATAGAGATCTTGTGTGCTGGGTACAGGTGCTATAGAGATCTTGTGTGCTGGGTACAGGTGCTATAGAGATCTTGTGTGCTGGGTACTGGTGCTGCAGAGATCTTGTGTGCTGGGTACAGGTGCTATAGAGATCTTGTGTGCTGGGTACAGGTGCTATAGAGATCTTGTGTGCTGGGTACAGGTGCTATAGAGATCTTGTGTGCTGGGTACAGGTGCTACAGAGATCTTGTGTGCTGGGTACAGGTGCTATAGAGATCTTGTGTGCTGGGTACAGGTGCTATAGAGATCTTGTGTGCTGGGTACAGGTGCTATAGAGATCTTGTGTGCTGGGTACAGGTGCTATAGAGATCTTGTGTGCTGGGTACAGGTGCTATAGAGATCTTGTGTGCTGGGTACTGGTGCTGCAGAGATCTTGTTTGCTGGGTACAGGTGCTATAGAGATATTGTGTGCTGGGTACAGGTGCTATAGAGATCATGTGTGCTGGGTACAGGTGCTATAGAGATCTTGTGTATTAGTACAGGTGCTATAGAGATCTTGTGTGCTGGGTACTGGTGCTATAGAGATCTTGTGTGCTGGGTACAGGTGCTATAGAGATCTTGTGTGCTGGGTACTTGTGCTATAGAGATCTTGTGTGCTGGGTACAGGTGCTATAGAGATCTTGTGTGCTGGGTACTGGTGCTGCAGAGATCTTGTGTGCTGGGTACAGGTGCTGCAGAGATCATGTGTGCTGGGTACAGGTGCTGCAGAGATCCTGTGTGCTGGGTACTGGTGCTATAGAGATCTTGTGTGCTGGGTTCATGTGCTATAGAGATCTTGTGTGCTGGGTACAGGTGCTGCAGAGATCGTGTGTGCTGGGTACATGTGCTCTGGAGACCTTGTGTGCTGGGTTCAGGTGCTATAGAGATCATGTGTGCTGGGTACATGTGCTATAGAGACCTTGTGTGCTGGGTTCAGGTGCTATAGAGATCTTGTGTGCTGGGTACATGTGCTATAGAGACCTTGTGTGCTGGGTTCAGGTGCTATAGAGATCATGTGTGCTGGGTACAGGTGCTATAGAGATCTTGTGTGCTGGGTACAGGTGCTATAGAGATCTTGTGTGCTGGGTACAGGTGCTATAGAGATCTTGTGTATTGGTACAGGTGCTATAGAGATCTTGTGTGCTGGGTACAGGTGCTATAGAGATCTTGTGTGCTGGGTACTGGTGCTACAGAGATCATGTGTGCTGGGTACAGGTGCTGCAGAGATCATGTGTGCTGGGTACAGGTGCTGCAGAGATCTTGTGTGCTGGGTACAGGTGCTGCAGAGATCTTGTGTGCTGGGTACTGGTGCTATAGAGATCTTGTGTGCTGGGTTCAGGTGCTATAGAGATCTTGTGTGCTGGGTACAGGTGCTGCATAGATCGTGTGTGCTGGGTACATGTGCTATAGAGACCTTGTGTGCTGGGTTCAGGTGCTATAGAGATCATGTGTGCTGGGTACATGTGCTATAGAGACCTTGTGTGCTGGGTTCAGGTGCTATAGAGATCGTGTGTGCTGGGTACATTTGCTATAGAGATCTTGTGTGCTGGGTTCAGGTGCTATAGAGATCATGTGTGCTGGGTACAGGTGCTGTAGAGACCTTGTGTGCTGGGTTCAGGTGCTATAGAGACCTTGTGTGTCGGGTTCAGGTGCTATAGAGACCTTGTGTGCTGGGTTCAGGTGCTATAGAGATCTTGTGTGCTGGGTACATTTGCTATAGAGATCTTGTGTGCTGGGTTCAGGTGCTATAGAGATCATGTGTGCTGGGTACAGGTGCTGTAGAGACCTTGTGTGCTGGGTACAGGTGCTATAGAGATCTTGTGTGCTGGGTACAGGTGCTATAGAGATCTTGTGTGCTGGGTACAGGTGCTATAGAGATCTTGTGTGCTGGGTACTGGTGCTGCAGAGATCTTGTGTGCTGGGTACAGGTGCTATAGAGATCTTGTGTGCTGGGTACAGGTGCTATAGAGATCTTGTGTGCTGGGTACAGGTGCTATAGAGATCTTGTGTGCTGGGTACAGGTGCTACAGAGATCTTGTGTGCTGGGTACAGGTGCTATAGAGATCTTGTGTGCTGGGTACAGGTGCTATAGAGATCTTGTGTGCTGGGTACAGGTGCTATAGAGATCTTGTGTGCTGGGTACAGGTGCTATAGAGATCTTGTGTGCTGGGTACAGGTGCTATAGAGATCTTGTGTGCTGGGTACTGGTGCTGCAGAGATCTTGTTTGCTGGGTACAGGTGCTATAGAGATCTTGTGTGCTGGGTACAGGTGCTATAGAGATCATGTGTGCTGGGTACAGGTGCTATAGAGATCTTGTGTATTAGTACAGGTGCTATAGAGATCTTGTGTGCTGGGTACAGGTGCTATGGAGATCTTGTGTGCTGGGTACAGGTGCTATAGAGATCTTGTGTGCTGGGTACATGTGCTATAGAGACCTTGTGTGCTGGGTACATGTGCTTTAGAGATCTTGTGTGCTGGGTACAGGTGCTATAGAGATCATGTGTGCTGGGTACATGTGCTATAGAGATCTTGTGTGCTGGGTACATGTGCTATAGAGATCTTGTGTGCTGGGTACAGGTGCTATAGAGATCATGTGTGGTGGGTACAGGTGCTATAGAGATCTTGTGTGCTGGGTACATGTGCTATAGAGATCTTGTGTGCTGGGTACAGGTGCTATAGAGATCTTGTGTGCTGGGTACAGGTGCTATAGAGATCGTGTGTGCTGGGTACATTTGCTATAGAGATCTTGTGTGCTGGGTTCAGGTGCTATAGAGATCATGTGTGCTGGGTACAGGTGCTGTAGAGACCTTGTGTGCTGGGTTCAGGTGCTATAGAGACCTTGTGTGTCGGGTTCAGGTGCTATAGAGACCTTGTGTGCTGGGTTCAGGTGCTATAGAGATCTTGTGTGCTGGGTACATTTGCTATAGAGATCTTGTGTGCTGGGTTCAGGTGCTATAGAGATCATGTGTGCTGGGTACAGGTGCTGTAGAGACCTTGTGTGCTGGGTACAGGTGCTATAGAGATCTTGTGTGCTGGGTACAGGTGCTATAGAGATCTTGTGTGCTGGGTACAGGTGCTATAGAGATCTTGTGTGCTGGGTACTGGTGCTGCAGAGATCTTGTGTGCTGGGTACAGGTGCTATAGAGATCTTGTGTGCTGGGTACAGGTGCTATAGAGATCTTGTGTGCTGGGTACAGGTGCTATAGAGATCTTGTGTGCTGGGTACAGGTGCTACAGAGATCTTGTGTGCTGGGTACAGGTGCTATAGAGATCTTGTGTGCTGGGTACAGGTGCTATAGAGATCTTGTGTGCTGGGTACAGGTGCTATAGAGATCTTGTGTGCTGGGTACAGGTGCTATAGAGATCTTGTGTGCTGGGTACAGGTGCTATAGAGATCTTGTGTGCTGGGTACTGGTGCTGCAGAGATCTTGTTTGCTGGGTACAGGTGCTATAGAGATCTTGTGTGCTGGGTACAGGTGCTATAGAGATCATGTGTGCTGGGTACAGGTGCTATAGAGATCTTGTGTATTAGTACAGGTGCTATAGAGATCTTGTGTGCTGGGTACAGGTGCTATGGAGATCTTGTGTGCTGGGTACAGGTGCTATAGAGATCTTGTGTGCTGGGTACATGTGCTATAGAGACCTTGTGTGCTGGGTACATGTGCTTTAGAGATCTTGTGTGCTGGGTACAGGTGCTATAGAGATCATGTGTGGTGGGTACATGTGCTATAGAGATCTTGTGTGCTGGGTACATGTGCTATAGAGATCTTGTGTGCTGGGTACAGGTGCTATAGAGATCATGTGTGGTGGGTACAGGTGCTATAGAGATCTTGTGTGCTGGGTACATGTGCTATAGAGATCTTGTGTGCTGGGTACAGGTGCTATAGAGATCTTGTGTGCTGGGTACAGGTGCTATAGAGATCTTGTGTGCTGGGTACAGGTGCTATAGAGATCATGTGTGGTGGGTACAGGTGCTATAGAGATCTTGTGTGCTGGGTACAGGTGCTATAGAGATCGTGTGTGCTGGGTACAGGTGCTATAGAGATCATGTGTGCTGGGTACAGGTGCTATAGAGACCTTGTGTGCTGGGTTCAGGTGCTATAGAGATCATGTGTGCTGGGTACAGGTGCTATAGAGACCTTGTGTGCTGGGTTCAGGTGCTATAGAGATCTTGTGTGCTGGGTACAGGTGCTATAGAGATCTTGTGTGCTGGGTACAGGTGCTATAGAGATCATGTGTGCTGGGTACAGGTGCTATAGAGATCATGTGTGGTGGGTACATGTGCTATAGAGATCATGTGTGGTGGGTACAGGTGTTTTCATAGATGGCTAGAAGTATAGTTTGATGCCAATAGTTGTAGCAGTAGTGTCACATTGGTTGGAAGAGTGTGTAGGTATGGTATGTGATAGGATGATTCACCCTGGTCGTTGTTGGTATGCCGGTATGTCCACATTGAAGATACACAGTTATATCTGTATCTGAACCTGTGTGTGTCACTACAGTACTACAGTACTCCGCCTGTTTAAGGATTGAAGTTTTGTTTTATCCTCTACTCTAGCTCCTGAGCTGATGACGTCCATGTCCCAGCTTGCTCTCTACATCAGGCGATGGCACCCATCAACGTACGAAATTGATCCATTCCAAGAAATAGTTCTCAACCAGCAGACAGTGGAGGAACTCAAACTTAGGGTAAATATCACTCACTCGCTCACTCGCCCACTCACTCACTCCCTCTCCCACTCACTCACTCACTCACTCGCCCACTCACTCACTCCCTCTCCCACTCACTCACTCACTCGCCCACTCACTCGCCTACTCACTCACTCACTCACTCACTCACTCACTCACTCACTCACTCACTCACTCACTCACTCACTCACCCACTCACTCACTCATGCCCTCACTCACTCACTCACTCACTCACTCACTCACCCACTCACCCACTCATGCCCTCACTCACTCACCCACCCAAACACTTACTCACTCTCTCACTCTCTCACTCACTCACTCACTCACTCACTCACTCACCTTCATACATGGAACTCAGGTGAGTCGGTTGGTCAGCTGTCCAGTGGTTCTTCATCAGGTCATACACAGAGCTTGCCGTTCTTCCTTACATCCTTCCGCCCACCCAAACCTCACTCAATCACCCGTTCATTATAAGCATATTTGGATAACATTTATTGTATCTTCACCATTCTGACATTGAAGATGTCGTACGAGGTGAGTTAATGGATTGGATGGTCTGACAACATACTCTGACCACTGTCAGAATTCCGGGTGAGAATTTGTCTCAATCAACCTCAGCTTGTTGTACAAGGTGACTTGATTATTTACAGGCCGTCATCTTACAGCTGGAAGATTGTTGAGTGCAGCATTAGACAACAAACATGTAAACTCTACTGCAACAGTTCTCAGCTCCCTGGGGAATATACAACCTAAGCCGCCTGTTTGGTGCTAGAAGGTTAATTACATTGCGATCTCATCCTACCGGGTACCCATTCACTGCTGGGTGAACAGAGGCACATTTCGAACAAATCCACTTGCCCAAGGAGACAACACCTGTGGTACATGTGGTTCAGTGTGGGGCAGGACTGAAGCCCTAGAAACTTGCAGGAAACAAGCTGCCTACCACGGACACCCATCCAAGGACTCTCCGTGACCGAAGTTGCTTAACTTCACCGGATTTGTTACCTGTGACCTGTGCATAGGACCATATGCCAACTACAACAGCCCCTTGGGCATGCCAGAAACCTATGATAGTGGGTTCGAATCCCGGTTTACCCCAATTATGTTTCTAGGTTTGTCAGCACCATACCCGTGCTCATGGGTTTCACTGAAGTGGTAAACGTCTGAGACCTGCATCACTTTAGGCTTTCCTCCCACATTAAACTGACACGCTATGATATAACTGGAATACTGTTTAAAGCGGCGTCAAACCCAACTCACTCACTCACCCATAGTGTTGGTACGAGTATATTACTTAATCAAGTCTGTTTGTACAGCCTTTTGCTTCATGTTCCAGATAGCCGAGAAGAGTCTTGTCCCAGGAGAAAACGTGGACTTTGCCAAGGTAAGGACAGTACATGTATAAGCTTGTTACCATCCTTCGTGTCATAATGTCACAGAACTCTGAGTGAGACCAGGTCGGCATGCTTGTTGTATGAGCTGACTAAGATGGAGATCGTGTTCTGATGGCAGTCGGCAGCCCCTGATGGCATGGACCTAGGCTCATGCTGTCAATCGTTGTTTGCCTAATCCAGACTGGATTATTTGGCTGAAATATTGCTGAGTAAGCAGTCTTTAACATAGGCCTTTGTACCTGTTCTGTAACTTGCAGTTCAGAGTTCAATACATAGTTTAAATGAATATTCTGCCATGAATTTGGAAATTACTTGATTACTGGTTAAATCACATTAACCTCTTCTAACTAAAACAGCCCATTTGACAGCCGCATCACTGCATAAGCTAATATTCAAAGAATAGTTCCCTTTTTTACTCATTGTAGGCATATTTAAATAATTTTATCTACAATTATAGGTTACAAAATGCAAAGTTGCAGTTACTGCACTATTCAAAGGATTTGTGACAATACATTTTTCTGTAGAAAACACTATAGAAACTACAAAGAGAATGTATTTTAAGTTTGGGGGACAACAGAGAGTTTGGAATTTGGTGCTTTTCTATATACGACTGTGATGTCTTATCTTTTGCATCACAATGAGCAATATGATGTCATAACGGTGACGTGCGGTGTAGAACAAAAGCTTTGCAAAGCTTGCTCATGCTGAGCGTTCGGTTCCAAATTCAATTAAACACGGTTAAATCTACAGGTTACCTAGCTCTACATTGAAAACACAATATGTCTCCTAAGTAGAGCTGTGTTGGAGTCGGTGGGTAGAGCCTCTTTGTGGTCCTCATATTGTTGATTAAGTCAGATGCTAGGTGTGGCCGTGGTGTGAGGTACTCATGCTTCCTGTTGACAGGGCAAGGGCACGTTCCCGTGTGAGACATCGGTACTGGAGATACAACAAGATCTCGACTGGAACCCTCAGGTCTCCACCCTCAACGTGTGGCCTCTCTATATCTGTGATGATGGACATGTGATATTTTACAGGTGAGATGGGATAAGTAATTACATGTGAGATGGGATAAGTAATTACAGGTTGAGATGGGATAAGTAGAGGCATGTGATGTAATTTCAGGTGTGATTAAATGAGTACAGGTGAAACATATGATTCAATTACAGGTGTACCCGTGAAGATCCGGGGTAAAATAGGTCTTCAGCAACCCATGTCTGCCGTAAAAGGCGAATATGTTTGTTGCTAGAGGCAACTAACGGGATCGGGTGGTCAGGCTTGGTGACTTGGTTGATGCATGTCATCGTATCTCAATTACGTGGATCGATGCATGGATGAATAGAAGCATCAATATTAAGAATGGAAGTTAATGAATCCTTGACATAACCCAAATGTATTTTATAAATATGTCTGACAGTGTGGACTTACAGGGTCTAAATACTTGTAAAACATGACTGTTTCTTTCTCTGCTGCCAAAAGGACTTCCCTTTAATGACACAAGCTCACTGTATAATGTGTTCTATACACACAAGGTTTAAACTCACCCCCCAACAGAATCACAAGTCCATCCTTGCTGCCCTTTCTTCACGTGGAAGTGAAACTCAGGTGCCATTCTCATAAGCTGTCATGACTTCCTGTTTCAGGGATAAAACTGAAGAAATAATGGAGCTCTCGGAAGAAAAGAAGAAGGAAATTCAGCAGAAAGAAAATATCAGGTATTGTTATGTAGTTAGTGGTAAAATTTAAATATAACTGATCACTCAATGTCATGTTATGAGATAAATACAACATGACTTGACAGATTAACTGTAGTCATAAAAAATAATTGTGTTTGAGTGGTATGTGTTATTTGACACGAAAGGACAATTATCCTCCATTATTAAAACTTTATGAGCAAGATAAATGAAGCAAAAATGTCTTTTAAAGTATCTTCTGAAAAAAAAAAACAATTACAACAAATCACTTGTTAATTGAACCTAACTTTGGTTTGTTCTTTTATAGAATATCTCGCTCCAGTCAAAGGCTGACTTACTCACCTCGTAAAGAGAAAGCTCTGAAGATCTACACAGGAGAAGATAACCCTCCTTCCAGCAGCAAGTCCTCGCCAGATCTTGACTGATTGTGTCCCCTTGATTCTCAGTAATAGTTCCTATAATCGACCGTTTGTGCCCTCCGTGTGTGTGGATGTTAGGTCTCCCTGTGGAACGTCCTTGTTATACCTGTAAACCAACAAACTCCAGGCTTCAGAGGGTTCTGTCATCTTCACAATGATGGCATTTTTATGTAGTTATATGATTCAACCAAAAGTATGATGGCATCACAATATTGAATTAGCTGTCATAGAGTTCATTCAGCAAGTGTGAAGTTTCCCCAAGTTGTTCATTTGGAGATTTTAATGATGTTGATGAATTGTATTGCTGACCCCCACAGTTCAACTTATGACCTTGAGAATTTTCTGCTGCAGTGCCCTTCATGGAGGCATAAGTATCTATCAAGTCTGAAGTTCTTTTTATTTGTCCTTTCAAACATGAAATCATTTGTGTCTTGGCTGTATTTCGCTATATGTTGCTTACGAGGGGGTTGGTTCTGAAGTTGATGAGCCAGCATCAGGCCAAATGCCCAATACACTGATGTAATAATACACTAATGTAAGGACAGGCATCATGGTATGCAAGTCCACAGTGAAGCATCATCTGATGGCTGTGCTGAAACAGGAGGCAGGCCATGATGTGTGCTTACAGATGCCGTCTGTTTAAATGTTGATAGAAACATTGCAACAAGTTATCTCATAAGTAGTGGAGTACCAATAACACTTGTGGAGGATCATTTCAAGGATGGCTGACAGTCCTCGGGGAAGACAAAGGATCATCAGAGTCATTCTTCTTAGCCAGTTCTGAAGTGAAACCAGGCACGTGGGGAGAAGTCTGCTAGCTATGTTGTCAGTCAGCAAATTGTCAGGGAAGTGGTATATCTACTGTGGCTGCCTTCTTGTCCAGATGTGAGGTGAGAAGTCTTCTGCTTTTGTTGTCAGATAGTAAGTTGTCAAGGAAATGGTATACCTACAGTCTGACTTCTTGTCCAGATGTGAGGTAAAGCCAGGCACTTTGTTGAGAAATCTTCTGTCCGTGTTGTCAGGGAAGCAGTATAAGTCTTCAGACTGATTCTATGTAGCCAAGCACTCTGTGGAGAAGTCTTCTGCCCATATTGTCAAGGAAGAAGTACAAGTCTTTAGACAGATTCTATGTTGCCAAGCACTGATTCTGGTGTTGCCAAGTGTTTTGTGGAGAAATCTTCTGCACATATTGTCGAGGAAGCAGTATAAGTCTTCAGACTGATTCTGGTGTTGCCAAGTGCTTTGTGGAGAAGTATTCTGCCCTATTGTCAATCAATAAGTTGTCAGGGTATCAGTATGAGTATTGAGGCTGACTTGTGGGGTAAAGCCAGGTACTAGGTGAAGAAGTCCTCCGTATTTGTCGTCAGGGAAGTAGTATAAATGTGTGGGACTGGTCGAGATGTGTGGTGATTGAAGCCGGAGAAGTCTTCCCATGTGTTGTCTGTCAGCAGTTGTCAGGGAAGCAGTGTATCTGCCGATGTCTGAACACATGTGATAGATGGGCTTGTTGGTGACTTGGGCTCTGAAGGAACACGTTTAAGTCAAACAGTTGGAAGGATGCAAAGTATAACAAGATATTTTTACAATGCTGTCATCATCACAGTGTATCGAAGCTTGCGGAAGATACACACACGAAGCACTGCTGCTAACACTGGGATAGTATTGTTCAGTGGGGTTTGGTAGTACCTTCCCGGACCCACCTGCACAAAGAGATCGTAGCACTAAGACTATTGTGATGCATATACTTTAAAATAGACTTACAATAGTTGTGTTCCAGGACCACTTTGTGTATGCAGACCCTGGACATGACTGAATATAGTATGGCTATACTTTTACAACAAATACTGATGTTGCTGCATCCTCAGCAGCAGCAACAACTACAACCACTGCTACTGCTTCTACAGCAACTGTTACTGCTACCATGACAGCGATGATGTCCACACACACAGGGTCAAGGCCAGGGCTCCGCCCTGAAGGTGGCAGCACATGCGAGTGTAGCTGGCCGTCTCTGCCCTGGTGCAACTATCCCGATCTCATGTGTGTCCTAGCTAGGTCTAGACATGTCTCTTGTTAATGTCCTTCTTATATCCATAATCATTATGATAAGCTGTGATGATGATGATGATGATGATGATGATGATGAGTTAGACTGGAGAGGGAAGTCATTGTCTTATAACAAATGATATACATAATTCATACCAATGATCTGGTTGATTGTGATTTTGCATCTAACCCTTATAATGGTAGCATCTGGGAGGTGTTATATAAGTCTTGGTACAAAAGTTCATCAAGTGATAACTACTGTTCTTTGTCAAATTAGTTCTGAGATGATCTACTAAACTAAATAGTGTTAACAGCTGGATTCATTACAACATACCGTATTCGACCCAATAAGCGCCCATGTCCCAATAAGCGCCTCCCCCTTCTGTCTTTATTTTAAGCGCCCTGGGCGCTTATTGGGTCGAATTCGGTAAGCATTTTCCTTTGTGCATTGCTGCTGAGGCAGTGTGAAACGGTAATCTCCGTGTTTACATCACTATGTATTATTAATCAAGTTGTCCCTGTGTTTGCTCAATACTTAACTTCTACTTATTAACCATCAGAAACCTGATTGCTTCATGCAGACTCCATAAACATTCACTCATTCTGGGGCTTCACACTTTGTTTGTATTTAGAATAAAAATGGTTAAATTTTAAGAAAGTGAACTTGTGGAAATATGAGGATAGGGAATCCCAGTCCAGCCGTAAGCTTGATGGAATCCAGGTGGTATGTGATACGTGTCCTCTATGTACAGATGATGTGTGTGACCTTTGTACTCCAGGATGGGGAAACAGGCTTCCGAGACTCACAGCCTGCGCATGTCTCTGTGGGTCTCCGACTGTGTACACCAGGACTCACAGCCTGTGCATGTCTCTGTGGGTCTCCGACTGTGTACACCAGGACTCACAGCCTGTGCATGTCTCTGTGGGTCTCCGACTGTACACCAGGACTCACAGCCTGTGCATGTCTCTTTGGGTCTCCAACTGTGTACACCAGGACTCACAGCCTGTGCAGGTCTCTGTGGGTCTCCAACTGTACACCAGGACTCACAGCCTGTGCAGGTCTCTGTGGGTCTCCGACTGTGTACACCAGGACTCACAGCCTGTGCATGTCTCTACGGGTCTCCGACTGTGTACACCAGGACTCACAGCCTGTGCATGTCTCTGTGGGTCTCCGACTGTACACCAGGACTCACAGCCTGTGCAGGTCTCTGTGGGTCTCCGACTGTGTACACCAGGACTCACAGCCTGTGCAGGTCTCTGTGGATCTCCGACTGTGTACACCAGGACTCACAGCCTGTGCATGTCTCTGTGGGTCTCCGACTGTGTACACCAGGACTGACAGCCTGTGCATGTCTCTACGGGTCTCCGACTGTGTACACCAGGACTCACAGCCTGTGCATGTCTCTGTTGGTCTCCAACTGTACACCAGGACTCACAGCCTGTGCATGTCTCTCGGGTCTCCGACTGTGTACACCAGGACTCACAGCCTGTGCATGTCTCTACGGGTCTCCGACTGTGTACACCAGGACTCACAGCCTGTGCATGTCTCTGTGGGTCTCCGACTGTAGACCAGGACTCACAGCCTGTGCAGGTCTCTGTGGGTCTCCGACTGTGTACACCAGGACTCACAGCCTGTGCAGGTCTCTGTGGGTCTCCGACTGTAGACCAGGACTCACAGCCTGTGCACGTCTCGGTGGGTCTCTGACTGTGTACACCAGGACTCACAGCCTGTGCATGTCTCTACGGGTCTCCGACTGTGTACACCAGGACTCACAGCCTGTGCATGTCTCTGTGGGTCTCCGACTGTGTACACCAGGACTCACAGCCTGTGCATGTCTCTACGGGTCTCCGACTGTGTACACCAGGACTCACAGCCTGTGCAGGTCTCTGTGGGTCTCCGACTGTAGACCAGGACTCACAGCCTGTGCACGTCTCGGTGGGTCTCTGACTGTGTACACCAGGACTCACAGCCTGTGCATGTCTCTACGGGTCTCCGACTGTGTACACCAGGACTCACAGCCTGTGCATGTCTCTGTGGGTCTCCGACTGTGTACACCAGGACTCACAGCCTGTGCATGTCTCTACGGGTCTCCGACTGTGTACACCAGGACTCACAGCCTGTGCAGGTCTCTGTGGGTCTCCGACTGTGTCCTGGACACCAACTGGTTCAAGGGTTAAAAATTCCATGTTGATTAAATCAAATAATTTTTGAGTGATTTGTGTGTTTGGATTTATGTATGTACATACTGAAATATAACCACGGAGTCTGACTTCAGGTATTGATATTTGATATTGATGCTGTAGTGTTATGTTCTGAAGGAACTTTTTGTCTTTGGAAACAAACAAGCAGTATTTTGATCCAGGTAAAGAAATGTGTTGATTTCCTGAAGAGAATTGTTTCAATGAACACCCACTATTTTATGTTGTTTAGTTAAAAAAAAATTTCAGCCACTATATAAGGCCACACTCATTCATTTCATATTAAGGTCAAATTAAGGAGGTTACAGATAAGGTCAAGGCCAGATGCAGGTTTGATCTTGTTGTACAGACAGAACCTTTGCGAAAATAAGAAATTTATTTAAATGAAGATGATGTGTTTGATTGAAACTATACTTTATTTTTCACGTTTTTGTTTTTAGTTTTGTTAAGACTCTTACCAAATTCGCCGTATAAAGACCCTGACCAACTTCTAGACCAATCTGTAGATAATCTTTATACGCCCCCTACAAAAACCAGAACTTTACAGGATAGTTCTTATTTTCATGAGTGTATTACAGATTTATTTACAGAAAACAGCAGGGGTGTGTCCTGTATATATTTGCCTTGTAACTATTATCAAAAATGTTTTAGCATCGATGTTTGAACTTAGTTCTAAACCACCTGAAATCAGATTTAACATGAGTATGGTTTCAATAACACCCTCTTTGTTAACTTACAGTGAGTATGGTTTGGTATGTTTTTGGCATTTTGACCAAGGAAATCTTTAAAACAAGAAAATATATTGATCTGGCCTAAAAAGGAAGTTTTGAAATGAAACAGTCCCCTGAAGAAGTAATTTCTCACCACAGACCCAGACTGCATCTGTCCTTCCAACCATTGCCTATTGATGGCGGTGTTTATGGAGAGGAGCGTCCTCCGTATTATGCTCCGCTGTTTATGCCAGGGATGTACATGATGGTGGATCTTGCTTCAGACAGAAATTTGTCTCATTCATGAAATCATCAACTAAATCTTTAAAAGAATGTTTTAGACCAAGTAGTAATTTCAGTAATCAAGTTGTCTTTTGTTTTGGAGTTTTTTAAGTGATTGGAATTTGTAAAATGTTTCTGATATGGATGCCTGTATACATATGCTGACACTGTTGGACACTGATGTTTCACTTTGACAAGTTTTGTATGGAACACAATAATGCTAGAACACTACACTGTCAGTTGCGTGGGTTTGTGTGCACCGACATCAAACAGGGCTTTCAGCAAAGGGACATAACTGCTGATGTTTTGATAATCCTAGTCTGAAACAAGCTTGACCACAATTTCAGTGCATTTTACCTGTTTTTGTGAAAAGAGTATCCTGTAGTGTAAAATACCATTGTTTATGCTTGAGATAAATTACGTTATGTCAACAAGAGTGCTATACCAAGTAAGTAGTCATGGTTGCAATATGTTTCTGATATCATGCTGTAATATCCATCAGGCTTGCCCTGATGTCACCCATGTTGTAGACACTGCATAGTGAGCTTGTCAATCATACATTTCCCATCTTCCCGAGGCAAGAGAGTTAACTGACTATAAAAGTCCAGTTTCCACCCTTCCGAACTAGGCTGGTATTATGGAGTTACATTTTGGCTGGACTAACGAGTCTTTGCATAGTCCAATCAAAATCGCGCACCGAAATAAAAATCCGGTTCGTAAACTGTCGTGCAGATTTCGGTCGATTGCAGGATTTGCAAAGCATGTGCACCGCCAACTCGTTGTCAGCAGATATTTTCCAAATCTTTTCATGTTTTTAATCAAGGTGCACATGTGATTTGATGCATTTCGCGATGTAAGACCCGTTTTATCACAATATAGATCTTGATTATCGATCAGATTGTCCTGACTGGGTGCCACCATTTTGTGTGAAGCAAACGCAAGTGATGGAATCTGATTGGTCCATAGGAGAGGCTTAAAAGGGACATAACTGGTAATAGCCACTGCTGGCGTTACGATCGAAACCCAGTAATTCCAGCCTAGTTCGGCAAGGGTGGAAACTGGACTTTTGAAGTCAGTTAACTCTCTTGCCTCGGGAAGATGTACATTTCCTGTGTTTGAGGTAGTTTGTAAATACACTACAAAGATGTGAAGTTTATTTTGTTGAAGACCCTGAAGTTGTTATTTTGTTGCTAAGATTTATAAGACTGTACATATGCCTGTGTACCAGCCACTGTTACTCCGTGTTGAAATAAGTGCTAAGATGTACATGTAGAGCTGCCTCGTGTGACTCGGCTGCTTGAAAACAAAACTAGTTAGCTGACAGTTGTCTATGGTGGGTGTCAGTCATTCACTCCCCTCACACCAATGTTGTCTGATGGACATACAGATTAACAACAGAGTATGATGACAGTGTATGAAAGTGTTTGTACAAGAGATCCGAGCTAGACTGACCGCTAAGGCTGTATTTATGAATTCCACTGTATCAATGGTGTCACTGGTGAATGTTGCAGGACAGGCATACATGATGCATGAAGGGTTAATTTTGTAAATGTTGCACAAAGTCTGGTGGCCCAGTTTTGTAGTTTGCCTACCCAGGGTGGATGATTGATAGTGGCATGTCCCCAACCCAGGGTGGATGATTGATATTGACATGTCCCCCACCATGGGTGGATGATTGATGTTGACATGCCCCCCACCTAAGGTAGATGATTGATATTGACATGCCCCCCACCTAAGGTGGATGATTGATAGTGGAGCTCCCTTCCCACCCAGGGTGGATGATTGATAGTGGAGCTCCCTTCCCACCCAGGGTGGATGATTGATAGTGGAGCTCCCTTCCCACCCAGGGTGGATGATTGACAGTGAAGCTCCCTTCCCACCCAGGGTGGATGATTGACAGTGGCATGTTCGCCACCAGAGTTGACAATTGACAGTGGCATGCCCTCCACCTCGGGTGGATGATTGATAGTGGCACTGCCACCCACCCAAGGTGGATTGATTGTAGGATGCCCTCCTCCCAGGGTGGATGATTGACAGTGGAGTTCCCTCATCACCCAGGCGGGTGACTGATAGTGGCATGCCCTCCATCCAGGGTGGATGATTGATAGTGGCATGCCCTCCTCCCAGGGTGGATGATTGATAGTGGAGTTCCCTTCCCACCCAGAGTTGACAATTGATAGTGGCATGCCCTCCTCCCAGGGTAGATGATTGATAGTGGCATGCCCTCCTCCCAGGGTGGATGATTGATAGTGGCATGCCCTCCTCCCAGGGTGGATGATTGATAGTGGAGTTCCCTTCCCACCCAGAGTTGACAATTGATAGTGGCATGCCCTCCTCCCAGGCGGGTGACTGATAGTGGCATGCCCTCCTCCCAGGGTGGATGATTGATAGTGGAGTTCCCATCCCACCCAGGGTGGATGATTGATAGTGGCATGCCCTCCTCCCACGCGGGTGACTGATAGTGGCATGCCCTCCTCCCAGGGTGGATGATTGATAGTGGAGTTCCCATCCCACCCAGGGTGGATGATTGATAGTGGCATGTTCCCCACCAAGAGTTGACAATTGATCGTGGCATGCCCTCCACCCAGGGTGGATGACTGATAGATTGTATAAACTTTCATGTAATGTATATAGCCACAGTTGCCCTGCAGTCACCATCACCATCAGGCGCAGGGCATAGAAACTGTCTTGTTTATACAAGCCAATAAAAATATTTGTGAAAATAGTGTTGTCACCTTATGTCCATCCACATCTCTCAGCAGCATCAAGAGTTACAACCTTGGTATTATCCAGACCAGGCAATCCAGTGACTGATATTATGGGCAAGATCCATGTTGTCAGGTATGATATTACGCTATCAACAAGACATAAAATCTTACAAGATCCATCAGGGGGCACGGGTGGCCCAGTCGTCTAAGGTGCCGTGATTCGCAGTGCAGAGTTGCGCCCCTTGGGAACGCCAGAAACCTATGATTGTGGGTTTGAATCCCGGTTCGCCCCAATTATGTTTCTAGGTTTGTCAGCACCATATCCATGCTCGTGGGTTTCACCAAAGTGGTAAACGTCTTAGACCTGTATCACTTCGGGCTTTCCTCCCACATTAAGCTGACACCGCGATATAACCAGAAAGCTGTTAAAAGCGGCGTTAAACCCAACTCACTACCAGATCCATTGAGTTGCCCCTTATGACCAGCTCAGGATGCTGGGGTCATGAATCACCAGTCTGCAGTGACAAAGACTGAACATGTGGAAACCATCATTACGTGTAGCTACTTCTCGGACTGAAACAAATTGTTTTGTTTGTTTATTGTTTAAAATCCACACTCAGCCATATTCCACCAATAAGATGGAGATCTGTAAATAATCAAGTCCGGACCAGACAATCTAGTGATTGATAGCATGAGCACTGATCCATGCAATCAGGATACGATGACATGCATCAACCAAGTCAGCGAGCCTGACCACCTGATCCCGTTAGTCGCCTCTTACGACATGCATAGTTCCTTTTACGGCAAGCATGGTTGCTGATGACATATTCTTCTAACCTGGATGTTCACAGGTCAAGACACACATTGTGCTGGAATTAAGAACAAACACAAACCTCCGAGACACAGTTTTATTTGAGTGAGACTTTGGTAGTAATTGATGCGGGATGCAGAACAGCAGTCAATCAGTCAGGATGATCACAGAGTAATTGTCATGGGGGCTGCTCTGTGGTCCCCAGTATGAAGGCAATTATAAATTCCCTCCCCATCAACACCACCCCACCACCCCACCACCCTCCCATCCTCATTCGGCATATTTGGTTTACAAATCTGCTTCTCATAAAGACATATCAACTTCAATGTGCAGTAGTGACCGTATATAATTACAAAGATTAGGCTTAAAAAAAATAATAGTCTTAGTTCCCAGGCAGCGCCCTCATCATCAAAGCCAGCCACATTGTTCGTTTTTATTTCCGTTTGTAAAACAAACAAAAATTCCTTGAATATTCCATGTCTCATTCCAACTCATTGTATGCGTGTATTATACACACACTGGTAGTCCAACGGTAGTCAAATACTGTGTTCCTGTATTTCACTCATCAAAGAATACATTTATGTAGGGAGGCCCTTTCCGAGCTTGATTGTACACAACTGTTTATTTGGTTACATACTAGTTTGAACAACAACAAAAAAACACCGCCTGCCCTCACTTTATTTTCAAAAGCCATTGCCTGAGAACCAATTCTTTTATTTTTTTAATCCCTATGATGGTACTGGATACAGTGAGTGGTATTTACAAACAGGTGGACCATGGCAGCCATCTTTGTGTAGTGAGATTTGATGACAACACCTCAGAAGATGCTGGTGATCATGTGAGTGAGTGAAAATGGTTTTATGCTGCTTTTAGCCACATCAAGCTGTAGGGACAACAAGAATGGGTTTACACATTGATCTGAATGGGGAATAAAACCCAGGTCTTGCAGCAACGTCACAGCTGGAGGGACAACAAGAATGGGTTTACACATTGATCTTAATGGGGAATAAAACCCAGGCCTTGCAGCCACATCACAGCTGTAGGGGCAACAAGAATGGGTTTACACATTGATCTTAATGGGGAATAAAACCCAGGCCTTGCAGCCACATCACAGCTGTAGGGGCAACAAGAATGGGTTTACACATTGATCTTAATGGGGAATAAAACCCAGGCTTTGCAGCCACATCACAGCTGTAGGGGCAACAAGAATGGGTTTACACATTGATCTGAATGGGGAATAAAATCCAGGTCTTGTTGCATCTTCAATATCGCCCCTGGGTTAACAAAGCGTAAATTTTGATCAGACATGATTGTCACAGTGAAAATGTAGTTTGCTCGGCCCAGTTCTGCATGCATCATCCTATTTCATTACACAGTAATTGACACTATAACAGTACACATGCAGTTTGACGTGCATTGTGATGTTGGTCACGATCTCTGTGCAGGTTGCTGATAATCCAGAGTCATGAGGCACATTAGATTTTGCCTTCTGCAAAGTTGGGGCAGTTAAGCATGTATCATTGTGTGACATACCGGTAATTAACAAGCTGTGAGGATGTTTGTTTATTAGAGACTTCTGTTATTTCTTCTGGTTGTCCTTCGTAATTTTCCTTGCATGACCTCTCTGATCTGTGAGATACTGAGCTCTATTCAAGGGAAGAAGCATGGGTTTTTCAATGTTAAGGGTGATTTGTATGGCACATGCATACATGTTGGCACTCTGTAGGTCAACTATACATCAAGAAACATTCCTAACACTGGCAACAGATTAGATTTTTAATAAATAACATGATTTTATGAAGATTGGCCGGCAGACAGTTGAGAGATCGCATTCAATAATAAGACCAAGGTCCCCGACAAGGAGTGTGTTAGATCATCTACCCAACCACACCAGGGAACAGAATCTTCCTGTGACAAAAGATTGCATGACATTTCCAACCATGACATTTTCACTTATCTTTATTGTCAACAGGACAAAATCTTGCCCCACTTCTGTGAGGAGTTACACCCACCTGGACCCCGTTCCACATAGCGATCTTAGCGCTACGACTGTCGTAAATCTATGTTCAAGTATGGGAGTTACGATCATCTTAGTGATATGATTGCCTTGTGGAACGGGCCCTGGCTTATTGTGATCATGTTGCAGCATGAATGTCAACATAATTAAATCTACTGGGTAAAGGTCATTTATTATGGCTTCTTTTTTATTATTTTCACTTCAGTTCCTGTGTTATTGCATATTCATCACACTTAATAAGGATTGACCAAATAAATGGTACTAAGAACATGAATTAATGAGCCAAACTAATAATTCCAATACTTCAGCATAACTTCAAGATAGACATTGACATATGAAGTTTGAACATCATGGCATTGTTCTTTGGATCTTACAGGATAAAGATGTTGATATGGAATGTGACTAGATTGAAGTGGTACAAGATTGCAGCATGATTAAAAGTCAAAATATGCACCAAACTGTTATTTCGTACACTTTATAATAAATAAGGATTGCGCAAAATAAATTTCGCGTTGAACATAAATCAACGAGCCAGGGTGATAATTTCAATGATAATGTGATAATCAGTTAGGATTTCTAAAAAATCCTGCATTTATTAAACAGATTCATAAAAGCCCTACAATGGACGGATTGGCAGAGGACTGATAGATGCCTTCAGGTGATACAGGCGGAATTTTGTTTGAAGATGACATGCAAAGTTTTGTCACAGCCCTGATGTGGTCCACTACCATCCGCTCTCACACACAGAGTAAACAGTCAAAACATTTACAGGTGAAAATATACACATGTAATAAAGAGCTACAAAAGGTAACATTCTTAAAAGATATGTAACGAAACATCTTCGCTCCTTTCCCAGAACATCCTGCGTGTCAGCTGGTCTGATACTGCATCGCATAGGGCACCATTGGGAGCTTATACACCATCATCCATATGGCCGACATCAGCCCGTACGTGGCTACGGTCCAGATGGTGTAAGTGGTCCCTACTAAGTACATGAAGCCATTCAATGGCATGGCGAAAACGACCATGTTCTCCGAGATGATTTCGTTCTTCCAGAGAACTCCCCACAGCACTATGTACACTGGGATTGTGGAAATGAGGAGGAGTATTTCCGAGCACCCCCACAAGATGTTGACGACATCCCCCTGCCACAAACTGCTTCTGTAGATGGAGGCGAGGATGAGGACTGCTATGGAGGAGAGGATTGTGGGAGTTCTGTGGTTGTGGTCTCGCAGACTGAGGAGGAACTGAAAGTCTCGTTGTAGGCAGAAGAATATAAGCGAGGCGCCGCAGCACTGAAAACATACATTGGAACAGGACGTAGGAACAATGAAGCAAATTTTGTAGCTGGGGTACTTTGGAACGTGACAAATCAGAAAAGTAGTATTGGAAGACCGTCTAATTGAAAGTAGATACATGTTCGTATTTCATTTCCTTATTTTATTCCTGTCATCTTCAGTGGGCCCTTACTCACCCACATATCATGAGGAAAACTCTCAGAGGGCCCCCTACTCACACACATATCATAAGGAAAACCCACAGAGGGCCCCTACTTACCCACATATCATGAAGAAAACCCTCAGTGGGCCCCTACTCACCCACATATCATGAAGAAAACCCTCAGAGGGCCCCTACTCACCCACATATCATGAAGAAAACCCTCAGAGGGCCCCTACTCACACACATATCATGAAGAAAACCCTCAGAGGGCCTCTACTTACCCACATATCATGAGGAAGACCTTCAGATGGCCCCTACTCACCCACATATCATGAAGAAAACCCTCAGAGGGCCCCTACTCACCCACATATCATGAAGAAAACCCTCTGAGGGCCCCTACTCACCCACATATCATGAACATGAAGAAAACCCTCAGAGGGCCCCTACTCACCCACATATCATGAAGAAAACCCTCAGAGGGCCTCTACTCACCCACATATCATGAAGAAAACCCTCAGAGGGCCTCTACTCACCCACATATCATGAAGAAAACCCTCAGAGGGCCCCTACTCACCCACATATCATGAAGAAAACCCTCAGAGGGCCCCTACTCACCCACATATCATGAAGAAAACCCTCAGAGGGCCCCTGCAGACAGAGCAGAAGGAAGGCGGCGACAGTGACCACGTTGCTCACCAGGGGAAGCAGTGGCTTCTCCTTGGTATCCTTTGTGTGCGTCGCCACTGGGATAAAGTCTGGACCCTGCAACAAACTCCCCTCACTCAGTATCTACAGAACACATCATTACATCATCCATGTGTTTCAATAATGATGTGCACATCCTTTGTAATTACTTACCTGCTTCGTGACCAGCAGCTTCATCAGAATACTGAGACTCACTGTTGTTCCCATCATGCCTTTCAACACAGGAAGTGAAGAGGTTGTGACCTTGGTTTGTAAGAGAGCAAGGTCAAGGCCAAGAAGTAAAGCCATGGCGACAGCAGACAGAATACAGCTGGGGGAGAAACAGAAAAACATGAGTTTTAATGTTTCATATCACTAAATATGGGTGAAATTTAGGGCTGGGACGGGTAACTCGGGTACCCGGGTCGGGTGGGTACTGAGTAGGACCCGGGTACCCACAGGACTACCCTGATCCGTGGTTAGTCACGTGATATATTGTTTAATGACAAATATTATCTGGAACTCTATGTCACTAATGTTCGCATTTCATTCTGACTGGGCACCCATTCCTTCCGATTTTTCATATGGTTGAATAAAGATATACCTTAATTCAACTTCAGTGTATGAATGACCAGATTGTACTAAAAACGTTTTGCCAGGGCTAAGCTAAAGATGTTCCTAATCGGACATTTTGAGACCTACAGTGGGTACCCGGGTAGGATCGGGTAATTGGGAGGTGGGTACCCAGGTAGTAAATTTGGACTCGTCCCAGCCCAAGTGAAATTGTTTGCAAAAATTTATAATTTTTTATCTAGACCTGTTTGTTTGTTTGTTTGTTGTTTGCTGCACGCAGCAATATTCCAGATATATGACAGCAGCTTGTAAATATTTAAGTCAGACAATCTTGTGGTGATATTGTGTGCAAGGATCCACATTGAGGTACGATGACATGCAATGAACGAAGTTACCGAGCCAGACTGCCCAATCCATTTGGTCGCCTCTTACAACCAGCATAGGTTGCTGGGGACCTGTTCTAACCTTGAGGTATTTTGGAATTATGAATGACACTGACCTGCCCATGACAGTGTTATCTGTTTGCTGGACAATAGTATCTGCCTTGCTGTAGAGGATGAGTACGGTGACGATGGAGGCAGACAGGACCAGGTAGAGCGGGACGTGCACGGCAGACGGAATGTCCCCATACAGCTGGAACACACAAAACAGTAGGCTTGGTTGGTTGGTTTCTTGTTTTACACCGCACTCAGCAATATTCCAGCTATGTGACGGCGGTCTGTAAATAATTGAGTCTGGACCAGACAATCCAGTGATTAATATCATGAGCATCGATCCACGCAATTGGGATCGATAACATGCATCAACCAATTCAGCAAGCCTGACCACCCGATCCCGTTAGTCGCCTTTTACGAAAAGCATAGTCGCCTTTTATGGCAAGCATGAGTTGCTGAAGACCTACTTTTCCCCGGATCTTCACGGGTCACAAAACAGTAGGCAGCCATGTCTCATACACAATACATACTATACAATTAGCAGATAAAACGATCACTGGAATTATTCTCATGTTTAATTCTTAACAAAACTAAACTCATAAAGTCATGAAAGTTAATATTTGTGATAAATACAATACGGTCAGAGAGAAAAGGAGAGACAATTTATAGTGAGTGCGTATTGTTTTATGTCCCTTTTAGCAATATTCCAGCAATATCACAGCGGGGAACACCAGAAATGGCTTCATATACTGTACCCAAGTGGGAATCAAACCCAGGTTTTCAGTGTGACAAGCGAACGCCTTACCCACTAGGCTACCCCACCGCTCAATAATTTATACACCTGAGCAAGCAGTGTCATACTTGGATGACATATAATGAATCTCACCATGAACACAGTTCTGACGCTGGGCGACATGCCAGTGATGACAGCAATGATGACTGCTTGTCTGACAGTCACCCCACAGCTGGTTGTGAGGATCACCATGACAACCAGGATATTAACAATCTCGCTCCACTGGAACAGTGCATACCTGCAGGAGGAAGTAAAACTGGGGTCATCTGAGTGCGGGGGGACAGTCCTCACATGATATCAGTGTTCAGCATCAGAGAGAGGAAGCATAATTCTGTCTACTCATGCGAGCTATACTAATCATGACAGATTAACTATAGCAACATGAAAGAATTACCTTTCCTTCAGTAGTATATATATGCTAGACATTTGCCAGACATTTGCATTTCATGTTAAAGTATTCGACGTAATAAGCGCCCTGCTCTAATAAGCGCCCACGGCGATATTTACTAATATATTTGCTGGTGAACAATCCCAATTAGCACCCCTTCCGATTGAGCAAAGTACAAAAGACTTATTTATTCTCGTATAATACACAATTAAATTCTGGGAAAATATATCCGTCGTATATAAACATTTCAGGCTGTCAGCATAAACCACAAAATTTATCTTTCAAGGCTGTTTTTTATCTCACCAAAATAACATTCTATTAAGTGCCCCCCATTTCTAATTTTGATAGCACCCTGGGCGCTTATTACGTCGAATACGGTAACAGTATTTATGTGAATTTCTTTCACAAACTGTGTCACGATGACTCATGTTAAAGTACAAGGCCCACTCACAATAGCAAGTGACTTTGTGCAAATGTGCCTCTGTTCACCTAATGGGTGCCTGATATGCACCCATTAGACAGCTTGGGTTGTATACTCCCCAAGGAGTTGAGAATGATATACAAACGGAACCACTGGTTTGGAAACAAATAAAACCGCATTTGAGCAGATACTAGTGCCTGGATACCTGTGGTATATAAATGTATGATATATAAAGTACCTGGATACCTGTGGTATATAAATGTATGATATATAAAGTACCTGGATACCTGTGGTATGTAAATGTATAATATATAAAGGGCCTGGATACCTGTGGTATATAAATGTATAATATATAAAGTGCCTGGATACCTGTGGTATATAAATGTATAATATATAAAGTGCCTGGATACCTGCGGTATATACATGTATAATATATAAAGTACCTGGATACCTGTGGTATATAAATGTATAATATATAAAGTACCTGGATACCTGTGGTATATAAATGTATAATATATAAAGTACCTGGATACCTGTGGTATATAAATGTATAATATATAAAGTGCCTGGATACCCGTTGTATATACATGTATAATATATAAAGTGCCTGGATACCTGTGGGATATAAATGTATAATATTTAAAGTACCTGGATACCTGTGGTATATAAATGTATAATATATAAAGTGCCTGGATACCTGTTGTATATACATGTATAATATATAAAGTGCCTGGATACCTGTGGTATATAAATGTATAATATATAAAGTGCCTGGATACCTGCGGTATATACATGTATAATATATAAAGTACCTGGATACCTGTGGTATATAAATGTATAATATATAAAGTACCTGGATACCTGTGGTATATAAATGTATAATATATAAAGTACCTGGATACCTGTGGTATATAAATGTATAATATATAAAGTGCCTGGATACCCGTTGTATATACATGTATAATATATAAAGTGCCTGGATACCTGTGGGATATAAATGTATAATATTTAAAGTACCTGGATACCTGTGGTATATAAATGTATAATATATAAAGTGCCTGGATACCTGTTGTATATACATGTATAATATATAAAGTGCCTGGATACCTGTGGGATATAAATGTATAATATTTAAAGTACCTGGATACCTGTGGGATATAAATGTATAATATTTAAAGTACCTGGATACCTGTGGGATATAAATGTATAATATATAAAGTACCTGGATACCTGTGGTATATACATGTATAATATATATGGATGGATGGATGGATGGATGGATGGATGAATACAGGCCCCACTCACATTGACAGCTGGAACTGTGGTTGTAGTGTCAGGATGATACCGCCCACCATGGACATGAGGAGGCCGGTGAGGCGGATCTCGGACACCACCTCGCTGTGCACCTGGGCAAACAGCAGCACCAGCAGGCCGCCCACCAGCGCCCACATACCTACAACATAAGGACACACATACAGGGGGTGGATGGATGTATGCTTGATGTGTGGGTGGAGGTGTAAGTGGATGGGTTGATGCCATGGGTGGATAGAAGAATGGATGTCAGACTGAGTAATATTTCAGCAATATCATGAAGCGGGACACCAGAAATGGGCTTCACAAATTGTACCATGTTGGGAATTGAACCCGGGTCTCCGTCATGACAAGCAAACACTTTAACCACTAGGCTACTCTACCGCCCCAGTGGATGATAGATCCATGGAGGGATGAAAGGATGAATGGAGTAGTGTGTGGATGGAGTGAGTGAGTGGGTTGGGTTTTGAAGTGTGGATGGATGGATGGATGGATGGATTGGTGTGTGGATTGGTGTGTGGATTGGTGTGTGGACTGGTGTGTGGGTTGATGCGTAAGTTGGTGGATGGCTGGCTTGGTGGAAGGGAACATGGATGGATGACAGGATGATGGATTGACGGATGGATGGACGGATGGATGGATGACAGGATGGATGGATAGATGGATGGATGACAGATTGGATGGATGGATGGACAGACGGACTGATAGGTGTGTGAATGGAGGGATGGCTTTGTTGATGGGTAGATGGATGGATGAGTGGACGTGGAAAAGAAAGGCTAGCTCTGTGGGTAGGTGGGTGTGAGAATGGATGGAAAGATGGAAAGCAGATGAATGGATAGGTGGTCACTGATGGATATGAAAATACATCGATGGATGGGTAGTTGGGTGAACGGGTGGTTGAGTGAGGTTTGGGTGGGTGGAAGGATGTAAGGAAGAATTGCAAGCTCTGTGTATGACCTGTTGTAGACACTGGACAGCTGACCAACCGACTCACCTATGAGCTCTGTGTATGAAGGCATGTCCTGCCACAGGTTGTAGCACAGCACGGTGAGGACCGGGAACGTGTTCATGGCCAGAGACACCAGCAGGAACACCAGGTTCCTGGCAGCCTGGAACGACAAAACACCTTCAGTCTGCCGGTGGACAACACTCCAAGACTGCACTCCACACCTTCAGTCTGCCGGTGGACAACACTCCAACACAGTATGCAAGTGCGACTGTGTATGTGGCTGTTTGTTCTAGTCCAGACCAAAGCCAATTTCATAGTGCTAGCCCAACAAGATACCATGCCATTTATCATGGATATGCCACTCCTACACAGGATACTGACTTTGAGCCATGGCGTGGCAGGGTAACAACAAGTATCATCTTTTAACGTCTTATGGTATGATGCAGCCAGGGATCAAACCACAGACCTTCCGTTCTCCGGGCAGATACTCTATCCACTAACCACGGAGGCCAATTTTGGGTTGAACATACATGATTGCAAAATAATGAATTTTCAGTTTGGAGAATATTACTTTGCGATATATCAGACACATTTGATTTGAAATCACTTTAGAATTATTCTGTTTTCAATCCAGAGTGTTCACATATTGTACCTCATTTAGGGGAACTGCTTCTCGGGGTTCGTACACAAAACTTTGTAAGATGGCGAAGGTGAGCAGAAAGAGTCCGGCATGGTTCAGCAGTCCCAGTTTGTCCTTGAGAACGAGTTCCGTCAGCAGACATGACACCCCCTTGGTGATGTGGACAGACGAACAGAACAGCACCGAGCCCAGCCACAGCTTGTCGGAGTGGTGCAGTCTGGGAAGAGACGACCATGACAACATATACAGAGAAACCAACGAACTAGGAGGGATGTGTGGGGTAATGATTGATTGAACTACTGATGCACTGGCCTCACTCCAATACAATACATCAGAGGAAAGTTAGAATATCAACAGGTAACACTGATGCAGTCCTACACTATTTTGAAAGATGTAACAAACCAGAAAAGAAGGAAAACATCACTTTACAGTTTGTTTACCCAATTATATTTTTAAAGGGACTTTTGAGAATCCATTCAGGTCAATTCAGAACTTTCTATTGCACAATAATTAGAACTATCTCTTCTAACTCCTGACAACTTTCCATGGCAGCTTTAAGCTTTAGAATCATGGAGCATGCTGGCAAGAACCAGACATAAACTGAAGGTGGAGTAGCCCTGTACAGTGAGGGAGCGGGTATGGGTTTACACCACTTTCAGCAATGTTCCAGCAATATCAACCATGTGGGGAATCAAACCTGACACTTTGTGTGTAGAGCGAACACATTATCCTCTAGGCTATCCTAACTGCCCCAGCTCAATACAGAGGAACATTGATAATACACACGGACATAAACTATTTAGAGAGTCCTGACTGACGGTCTATATATTATCATATAATATAAGTCAGCTACGCGATATATCAAAAAGAACAATGAAGAACGAAGTGTGGTGTATGTCATGATGAAACATTGTTCTGTTATGACGTCAATTCTGGAGATTCAAACATGTGCTTGCAGCTTGATTACGTTGTACATTGGACGACATTATTTTTAAGCGGGGAGCCTCCAGTGAGTTGTTACCCACAGATGAAGCTGGGCAACGCAGATAAACGATGAATGCATCCAAAAGCAGGAGAGATATGACAATCGGTATTGGGAGAAAAGTTACGGGTTATCAAGGTGAGAATTGTGAGGATATGTGGAAAATACCCACCTGTGCATAAAATGGACTTTTCCGACATTGCAAGAGGTCGGATTCTATTGAGGGAGTCATCATTATTAGAATACAGGTATCTGGTAAATGTTGTTAAAGCTTGTACATCTTTGTACAGGCTGTACAAAATGTTGATATCTCACATAAGAAATTAATGATGAGTGGTAGTTGTTTATCGCACAATAATTTGTGAGTTGTGTTTAACGCCGCTTTTAACAGTATTAAAAGTGATGCAGGTCTCAGGCATTTACCACTTCGGTGAAACCAGTGAGCACGGGTATGGTGCTGACAAACTTAGAAACATTATCAGGAGGAACCCGGATTTGAACCCACAATCATAGGTTTCTGGCATGTCCAAGGAAAGCAACTCTGTACAGCGAATAGTGTTGCCTTTAACGACTGGGCCACCCGTGCCCCCAATTGTGAATATAACCTTATAATTATGATAACATGACATTTTTGTCTCCCCTGTTTTATCCAGCAGCCTCACCTCTGCAGCATGTAGGTAGCCAGCACTGTGGTCATCACACACAGGGAGAGGCTGTAGAGTCCGGCACCATGGAGGGCAGTCTCACACACTGTCAGCACTGAAACACCAACATCACCGTCAGCACTGAAACACCAACACCACTGTCACAACACAATATCACTGTCTCACACACCGTCAGCACTGAAACACCAACACCACCATCAGCACTGAAACATCAACATCACCGTCAGCACTGAAACACCAACACCACCATCAGCACTGAAACATCAACATCACCATCAGCACTGAAACACCAACATCACCGTCAGCAATGAAACACCAACACCACCGTCAGCACTGAAAAACCAACATCACCGTCAGCACTGAAACACCAACACCACTGTCAGCACTGAAATACCAACACCACCGTCATAAACACACCATCACTGTCTCACACACCGTATGCACTGAAACACCAACATCACTGTAAGCACTGAAACACCAACACCACTGTCAGCACTGAAATACCAACACCACCGTCATAAACACACCATCACTGTCTCACACACCGTATGCACTGAAACACAAACATCACTGTAAGCACTGAAATACCAACACCACCGTCAGCACTGAAATACCAACACCACCGTCATAAACACACCATCACTGTCTCACACACCGTCAGCACTGAAACACCAACATCACCGTCAGCACTGAAATACCAACACCACCGTCAGCACTGAAATACCAACACCACCGTCATAAACACACCATCACTGTCTCACACACCGTCAGCACTGAAACACCAACATCACCGTCAGCACTGAAACACCAACACCACCGTCACAACACACGGTCAGCATTGAAACACCAACACCACCTTCACAACACACCATCTCTGTCACACCATCTCTGTCTCACACACCGTCAGCACTGAAACACCAACATCACCGTCAGCACTGAAACACCAACATCACCGTCAGCACTGAAACACCAACACCACCGTCACAACACACGGTCAGCATTGAAACACCAACACCACCTTCACAACACACCATCTCTGTCACACCATCTCTGTCTCACACACCGTCAGCACTGAAACACCAACATCACCGTCAGCACTGAAACACCAACATCACCGTCAGCACTGAAACACCAACACCACCGTCACAACACACGGTCAGCATTGAAACACCAACATCACCTTCACAACACACCATCTCTGTCACACCATCTCTGTCTCACACACCGTCAGCACTGAAACACCAACATCACCGTCAGCACTGAAACACCAACACCACCGTCACAACACACGGTCAGCATTGAAACACCAACACCACCTTCACAACACACCATCTCTGTCACACCATCTCTGTCTCACACACCGTCAGCACTGAAACACCAACATCACCGTCAGCACTGAAACACCAACACCACCGTCACAACACACGGTCAGCATTGAAACACCAACATCACCTTCACAACACACCATCTCTGTCACACCATCTCTGTCTCACACACCGTCAGCACTGAAACACCAACATCACCGTCAGCACTGAAACACCAACACCACCGTCACAACACACGGTCAGCATTGAAACACCAACACCACCTTCACAACACACCATCTCTGTCACACCATCTCTGTCTCACACACCGTCAGCACTGAAACACCAACACCACCTTCACAACACACCATCTCTGTCACACCATCTCTGTCTCACACACCGTCAGCACTGAAACACCAACATCACCGTCAGCACTGAAACACCAACATCACCGTCACAACACACCATCACTGTCACAAAGCTGTGAATACAAAGCAGGATATGTCTAGCTTGGATACTTACACACGGACTGAAGACACAGCAGGAAGCCAAACAACTCCTTGTTGCCATGGGAACCAATGTACATGCACACAAGGCAGACAGCAAAGTTCCCACACAGGACCACGTAGAAGATGTTGAGATGAACGCTGTGTAGCAGATAGAAGCTGGACCCATCAAGGAGAAACACAACAGGATTAGAATGACTAAGACAGTGATGACTAATACTGACCCTGACTCCAATGTCAACCAATCATTGCACAGATACCTCATGTTCACTGCAACGATCTTCATGCTCATAGCTCTAACTCGAACTGTAACGTTGCAGAGAAGTTTTCTGAATACTTTAGAGGATGATACACAGAACCTCCCCCGAGTGTCTTTTGAAATGATACACAGCCAAACACTGTTGTGTCGACCTCGGATAACTCGAAGTGTTTCCCTTTAACTTAGACACAACAGTGTTTTAAATCAATCAACACGATCTGAAAAACTTTAAAAAACTCCCAGGTCGCATCAGGTGAACTCAAAGGATGTACACTTCTGTTTTAGCCAATCAGATGTGAGCTTTCTAAAGTGATTCAGCTCCATTACGGTTTAAATAATGTCAACACAACCTGCCGTCAGTCCTGTCTGGTACATAAAGAATCCGTCCCCTGTCTTTTGATATCAAACAGATTTCAACGTTTTCAGTTTGTAAACAGTAATAAGAACTGTCTTGTGTGTGAAATGTACAGCTAACCAACCTCAGTGGCGAGTGAGTAGTGATGTCATGACGGTAACCGATGACATCACAATGGTCTGCAAAGCATTGTAATGCAATTCATAGTGATATCCCCTAGGAAATATTGCTTGATCTCACCCAAGCGATATGTCCTGTGGAGGACAGTTTTGTGTGATAAAATTTTTTCTTGTGAATGAGAATGATGAAGATGAGAATAGAAGTGGCTGTCTCCGTCAGAAGGATACGTGAGATGCCACGGTAGCACCATCATCCAGAAGCCCAGCAGGGAGGCAAGGCCGGCCATTAGAACCACGGCTGGAATCTGAAATGAATGACTTGTCATGAGCACACCGCATCAGGTCCCGAACAGCAGGAGGATAAACACTCGTTATCTTCCAGTTGGAACATCACGAAAATGATTCTTGAAAAAATTAATAATTAAATATAAAGTATATTCAAAAATATTTAGTAAATGGTTCTTGAAAAAATTAATAATTAAATATAAAGTATATTCAAAAATATTTAGTAAATGGTGTCCCTTCCTTCCCTATTTACACCATCCCTCACACATTCCCTACCTTAATCCTTCAATTCATCACTCATTCCACATCACTCACTCACTCATTCATCCTTCCTCACCCAACCACCTATCCATCGACTCATTCCAGTCACTCAACAGCCCTGTCAGCCAGTCATGCACTCCTTTAATATCTTACTCAATTCATTCCATCATTCGCTCATTTCACCTCTCACTCATTTCTCCTCTCACCCATTCCATCTACTCCCACTTCCATCTACTCACCCATCCTTCATCTACTCATCCATCTACTCAACCATCCTTCCATCTGCTCACCCATCTACTCACCCATCCTTCCATCTACTCAACCATCCTTCCATCTGCTCACTCATCCTTCCATCTACTCAACCATCTACTCACCCATCCTTCCATCTACTCACCCATCCTTCCATCTACTCAACCATCCTTCCATCTGCTCACTCATCCTTCCATCTACTCAACCATCTACTCACCCATCCTTCCATCTACTCACCCATCCTTCCATCTACTCAACCATCCTTCCATCTGCTCACCCATCCTTCCATCTACTTATCCATCTACTCACCCATCCTTCCATCTACTCATCCATCTACTCAACCATCCTTCAATCTACTCACCCATCCTTCCATCTACTCACCAATCCTTCCATCTACTCACCCATCCTTCCATCTACTCACCCATCCTTCCATCTTTTGTTTATTTGTTTGTTTATTTTGTTGTTTAACGCCGCATTCAGCAATATTCCAACTATATGATGGCGGTCTGTAAATAATTGAGTCTAGACCAGACAATCCAGTGATTGACATCATGAGGATCGATCCACGCAATTGGGATACGATGACTTGCATCAACCAAGTCAACAAGCCTGACCACCCGATGCTGTTAGTCGCCTTTTATGGCAAGCTTGTGTTGCTGAAGACCTTTTCTACCCCGGATCTTCACGGGTCTCCTTCCATCTAGCATCACACAGTCCCTCTGTCACCCTCACAGTCACCCTCCCCTCCAATTTCCCACTGACTCCACTCATTCCATCACTTACTCATCATTCCTTCTCCTTACTCACTCACTCAACTACTCACGCTGTCAGCAATCTTTCAGCCCTATGAGATGCGCCACAGTAAAGGTGTCAGTTCCATGATGTGTCAACTACACTCACCCAATATTTCTTGACGCCCAGGAAAAGACCTAACACTGCAAATGCGACGATGGCGATGGGCAGCCATGGCAGGAAGTGGGACGAGAGTCGATACTGCTGCAGCACTGGGTAACAGAGCAACGTCGCCAACATCCCACACACCCAGCGAGCCCGCGTCACAATGGTATACGGATAGCCTAAGTCAAGAAACCATTCTCAAATTGGCAGCAGGATAACAGTTGTCAAGAAATTACTAGGGCTGGGACGATACACCCACTGTGCGATGTGATACATATCACGATACCTTACTCACGATCCGATATGTAACACCATACTTGCATGTGCTCTTATCTGTGGTGTGTAAGCCATCTTTTTCATAGACAGGATGTCAAAATACCTGGCACACTGACCCTCTACAGTTGGCAGTGTTGGCGCAACAAATGAAAATATGTATGTTTTCACTATTAACTTACGCTACTGATTAGTGGAACAGTTATTAAAGCAAACATTTAAGGTCAGAATAGATATTTTTACCTAGTGTGTGACTGTGATCGATACTTGTATCGAGAAATAAAAAATCACGATCCACCGATGCATTTGCGTATCGTTCCACCACTAGAAACCACCACATATTTATAGCACAGGTATGGTCTCAATCTTCCACCTGTGTAACAACCAATCACTATCTGACATCGCAAATGTCTGGGCAGGTCATTAACCAGCTTGCTATGATGTTGGAGGGAGTCACGGGTGGCCCAGTCGTCTAAGGCGCCGCGATTCGCTGTGCAGAGTTGTGTCCCTTGGGCACGCCAGAAACCTATGATTGTGGGTTCGAGTCCCGGTTCGCCCCAATTTTGTTTATAGGTTTGTCAGCAACATACCCGTGCTCGTGGGTTTCACCGAAGTGGTAAACATCTGAGACCTGCATCACTTTGGGTTTTCCTCCCACATTAAGCTGACACACCGTGATATAACTGGTATACTGTTAAAAGCGGCGTTAAACCCAACTCACTCACTCACTCACTCCACCTGTGTAACAACCAATCAATATCTGACATCGCAAATGTCTGAGCAGGTCACATGATGTCCACAGATAAACACGGGGGAGACATCAACTTTGGAGAATCAAAGTGAACACACGAGACGCAGGAGGAGCATTGATACACTTTGAATATCCAACATGAGAGTTGACCACAGGAAATGTGTCTGTACTAAATAATAAACATGACTAATCCTATAATCAAAGTCTGAATGAGTAACGCTCCAATATGTTAATCCTGCATCAGTCATTAGAACTTTTTTTTGTTAAGGTCACATTCAGTAATATTTCATCCTGTAAATAATCAAGTCTGGACCAGACAATCCAGTGATCAATATTGTGAGCAACAATCCATGCTGTTGGAGGACAATGACATGCTTTAAACTAATACCCCCTTCATATGCACAACATTTATTAACGTAAGTAATTTTGCACATGTGTAACTATACATACGTGCATATTTGTAAATTTACTATACGTTCACATGAAAAGCATCTAAGGTGTGTAAATAAAGTATGTAAATTGTGTAAGACACACATATTCGTCAGTCTGTTTACGACTTTCAACACAAAACAGGCTTTTTTCCAATCAAAGTTGAGTTACTTTACCAAAAAATGTTCGCGTGAAGCAACATGTGTTTGATTTAATTTGTACACAACGTTTTGACTGCTTGAAACCAAAAGAAAACACTGTCCGCTCAAATCTGTATATACACATAAAAGTTTGTTTGGTGCTGGCAAAAGAACAGATATTAATTAGATCATCCTCTTACGTTGACATAAACGTTCACATTGCAACATATACACACAGTGCAAATTTACATTTAAATTTGCACCTGCTCCAGACATGATGTAAATTTGTTCCTGGTGTAAATATAACACATGAGTAAACGTGTTCACAAGTGTACTCACGTATGTATTTCTACACACGTATGCACATGTACACACATATGTATAGAGGGGCATGTGAACGGGGTATAAGACAGGTGTGCTCCCGCTTACCTGCGTACTCAAACAGTTGCCTGACACTCAGCAGCGTGGCCAGGAACAGACTCAGTGACACCACCAGGCCTAGCTCCAGCTGGAACAAGCATCACCAGAATACAGAATGGAAATACACAAGTTAGTCGTCTCAGGCTAGAGTTTTCTTTGTTTGTTTGTTGTTTAATGCCGCACTCTCAGGCTGGTGGACAGGCGTGAACTTTGAAGGCTGAGTTCCAAGATAAAAATTATGTGACTGAAATTAGTTAGTTACTAGAGTTACCTGCCCTTGGTATGTGCACCTAAGAGTGGCATAATAAACATAATACATTTTTTACATAACTGTACATCAAGAATTCTATTTTGATGGTGAGGCTGACAGATAATTCTGTTGTTTGTTTCAATCCATGCCTTCTTCCTGCCAGCATGCTGGACCTGTTTATGGAATTTTTGCATGCAACAATTTACACAAAGCTGAAGTAGAGGACTTACAAAATTAATTCACTCAGGACAGTGAGTGAGAGAGTGAGTACGGTTTTACACCACTGTTAGCAATTTTCCAGCAATATCAAGGTGGGGAACACCAGAAATGGGATTCATACATTGTACCCATATGAGGAATACAACCCAGGTCTTGATGAGTGATTGCCTTATCCACTAAGCTAACCCACCGCCTCCATACTTTATAGACCCGAGTAAGCAGTGTCATGTTTCGATGAATGCTTGAACGAATCACTAGGCTAACCTACTGCCTCCATACTTTATAGACCCGAGTAAGCAGTGTCATGTTTCCATGAATGCTTGAACGAATCACAAGGCTAACCTACTGCCTCCATACTTTATAGACCCGAGTAAGCAGTGTCATGTTTCCATGAATGCTTGAACGAATCACTAGGCTAACCTACTGCCTCCATACTTTATAGACCCGAGTAAGCAGTGTCATGTTTCGATGAATGCTTGAACGAATCACTAGGCTAACCTACTGCCTCCATACTTTATAGACCCGAGTAAGCAGTGTCATGTTTCGATGAATGCTTGAACGAATCACTAGGCTAACCTACTGCCTCCATACTTTATAGACCCGAGTAAGCAGTGTCATGTTTCGATGAATGCTTGAACGAATCACTAGGCTAACCTACTGCCTCTATACTTTATAGACCCGAGTAAGCAATGTCATGTTTCGATGAATGCTTGAACGAATCACTAGGCTAACCTACTGCCTCCATACTTTATAGACCCGAGTAAGCAGTGTCATGTTTCGATGGATGCTTGAACGAATCACTAGGCTAACCCACTGCCTCCATACTTTATAGACCCGAGTAAGCAGTGTCATGTTTCGATGAATGCTTGAACGAATCACTAGGCTAACCTACTGCCTCCATACTTTATAGACCCGAGTAAGCAGTGTCATGTTGCGATGAATGCTTGAATGAAGATACACTTCAACCACTAGGCTACCCCAGCGCCCTTACTCAGGACAGATTTGTGGAACTGCAAAAACAGTGATTATCTAATACTGTACCATACCAAAATGGAAGAATAAGAATTGGCCTAAACCACAGAACCACTTTTTCAGCCAATCATTGGACTGTGGTACTATACTCTGTTCAAGCACTTCATCAGTACATCTTACCGACACATCTTCTATAAAAACATGACTGTATGAACTGAGGTTTTATATAGGAACAAGGTCAACCATAAAACAGAAACTAATACACATAAATAACACACATGTGGAGTTGTTTCCCAGCCATTGTTCCACTGACAACCAATGGTGTGTCAACTCTGTGGAGGAGGACTGACCAAGGCTGAAGATTCTATCAAGGATCTCTGGCTGAAGATACTTTCAAGGATCTCTGGCTGAAGATACTTTCAAGGATATCTAGCTGAAGATGCTAACAAGGATTTCTGGCTGAAGATGCTATCAAAGATCTCTGGCTGAAGATGATAACAAGGATCTCTGGCTGAAAATACTATCAAGGATCTCTGGCTGAAGATGCTATCAAGGATCTCTGGTTGAAGGTGTTATCAAGGATCTCTGGCTGAAGATGCTATCAAGGAACTTTGACTGAAGATGTTATCAAGGATCTCTAGCTGAAGATGCTATCAGGATCTCTATCTGAAGATGTTATCAAGGATCTCTGGCTGAAGATGGTACCTTTACTGGCTGAAGATGCTATCGGTGGTTGAGGAAGCTATACAGTGAATGACTTACCAAAGATCTCTGGCTGAAGATGCTATCGGTGGTTGATGAAGCTTTACAGTGAATGACTTACCAAAGATCTCTGAAGATGCTATCGGTGGTTGAGGAAGCTATACAGTGAATGACTTACCAAAGATCTCTGACTGAAGATGCTATCGGTGGTTGATGAAGCTATACAGTGAATGACTTACCAAAGATCTCTGACTGAAGATGCTATCGGTGGTTGATGAAGCTGAACAGAGGATGACTTACCAAAGATCTCTGACTGAAGATGCTATCGGTGGTTGATGAAGCTATACAGTGAATGACTTACCAAAGATCTCTGACTGAAGACTCTATCGGTGGTTGATGAAGCTATACAGAGAATGACTTACCAAAGATCTTTGACTGAAGATGCTATCGGTGGTTGATGAAGCTATACAGTGAATGACTTACCAAAGATCTCTGACTGAAGATGCTATCGGTGGTTGATAAAGCTATACAGTGAATGACTTACCAAAGATCTCTGACTGAAGATGCTATCGGTGGTTGATGAAGCTATACAGAGAATGACTTACCAAAGATCTTTGACTGAAGATGCTATCGGTGGTTGATGAAGCTATACAGTGAATGACTTACCAAAGATCTCTGACTGAAGATGCTATCGGTGGTTGATAAAGCTATACAGTGAATGACTTACCAAAGATCTCTGACTGAAGATGCTATCGGTGGTTGATGAAGCTGAACAGAGGATGACTTACCAAAGATCTCTGACTGAAGATGCTATCGGTGGTTGATGAAGCTATACAGTGAATGACTTACCAAAGATCTCTGACTGAAGACTCTATCGGTGGTTGATGAAGCTATACAGAGAATGACTTACCAAAGATCTTTGACTGAAGATGCTATCGGTGGTTGATAAAGCTATACAGTGAATGACTTACCAAAGATCTCTGACTGAAGATGCTATCGGTGGTTGATGAAGCTATACAGTGAATGACTTACCAAAGATCTCTGACTGAAGACGCTATCGGAGGTTGATGAAGCTATACAGAGAATGACTTACCAAAGATCTTTGACTGAAGATGCTATCGGTGGTTGATAAAGCTATACAGTGAATGACTTACCAAAGATCTCTGACTGAAGATGCTATCAAGGATCTCTGGTTGAAGGTGTTATCAAGGATCTCTGGCTGAAGATGCTATCAAGGAACTTTGACTGAAGATGTTATCAAGGATCTCTAGCTGAAGATGCTATCAGGATCTCTATCTGAAGATGTTATCAAGGATCTCTGGCTGAAGATGGTACCTTTACTGGCTGAAGATGCTATCGGTGGTTGAGGAAGCTATACAGTGAATGACTTACCAAAGATCTCTGGCTGAAGATGCTATCGGTGGTTGATGAAGCTTTACAGTGAATGACTTACCAAAGATCTCTGAAGATGCTATCGGTGGTTGAGGAAGCTATACAGTGAATGACTTACCAAAGATCTCTGACTGAAGATGCTATCGGTGGTTGATGAAGCTATACAGTGAATGACTTACCAAAGATCTCTGACTGAAGATGCTATCGGTGGTTGATGAAGCTGAACAGAGGATGACTTACCAAAGATCTCTGACTGAAGATGCTATCGGTGGTTGATGAAGCTATACAGTGAATGACTTACCAAAGATCTCTGACTGAAGACTCTATCGGTGGTTGATGAAGCTGAACAGAGAATGACTTACCAAAGATCTTTGACTGAAGATGCTATCGGTGGTTGATGAAGCTATACAGTGAATGACTTACCAAAGATCTCTGACTGAAGATGCTATCGGTGGTTGATAAAGCTATACAGTGAATGACTTACCAAAGATCTCTGACTGAAGATGCTATCGGTGGTTGATGAAGCTGAACAGAGGATGACTTACCAAAGATCTCTGACTGAAGATGCTATCGGTGGTTGATGAAGCTATACAGTGAATGACTTACCAAAGATCTCTGACTGAAGACTCTATCGGTGGTTGATGAAGCTATACAGAGAATGACTTACCAAAGATCTTTGACTGAAGATGCTATCGGTGGTTGATAAAGCTATACAGTGAATGACTTACCAAAGATCTCTGACTGAAGATGCTATCGGTGGTTGATGAAGCTATACAGTGAATGACTTACCAAAGATCTCTGACTGAAGACGCTATCGGTGGTTGATGAAGCTATACAGAGAATGACTTACCAAAGATCTTTGACTGAAGATGCTCTCGGTGGTTGATAAAGCTATACAGTGAATGACTTACCAAAGATCTCTGACTGAAGATGCTATCGGTGGTTGATGAAGCTATACAGAGAATGACTTACCAAAGATCTCTGACTGAAGATGCTATCGGTGGTTGTTGAAGCTATACAGAGAATGACTTACCAAAGATCTTTGACTGAAGATGCTATCAGTGGTTGATGAAGCTATACAGAGAATGACTTACCAAAGATCTCTGACTGAAGATGCTATCGGTGGTTGTTGAAGCTATACAGAGGATGACTTACCAAAGATCTCTGACTGAAGATGCTATCAGTGGTTGATGAAGCTATACAGAGAATGACTTACCAAAGATCTCTGACTGAAGATGCTATCGGTGGTTGTTGAAGCTATACAGAGGATGACATGGAGCATGGATGGCAGGAAGCAAAAGGACAGCGTCATGACCAACACAATGGGCTGTTGGAGGACATTGAGATCCTCGTCCGCTGACGTCTTCAGTTTGAAAGAGGACACAGCGGGTGTCAGGAAGACTTGAAGCAGCACAAACCTAATGATAAAGAAATATTTATGTCCACATTGTTGTACAACACATCCTGCAGTTTTATATGAAGTTTGCTATGATTGCCCACTATTAAAAGAATATACATATGAGCAAAAAACACCCTGATTGAAAGCTAAATAGGCCTGTTGACACCCAAGGATGTCATACACGATTTCTGTCCTCATCAAATTTTGGAAATACATTGCATGTGAAAAAAGATTATCTTGTATGGAGTGAGTGAGTGTGAGTGAGTTGGGTTTAACGCCGCTTTTAACAGTATTCCAGTTATATCACGGCGTGTCAGCTTAATGTGGGAGGAAAGCCCGAAGTGATGCAGGTCTCAGATGTTTCCCACTTTGGTGAAACCCACGGGTATGGTGCTGACAAACCTAGAAACATAATCGGGGCGAACCGGGATTCGAACCCACAATCATAGGTTTCTGGCGTGTTCAAGGGACGCAACTCTGCTCAGCGAGTCGCGGCGCTTTAGATGACTGGGCCACCCGTGCACCCTTATCTTGTATGGATAGAGACAATTCTGCATCTTAAATCAAATCTTCACATGTTATACAAAGGATCAGACACAGAGTAAAAGCAAAGCATCACATTCTCAACAACCTGACTGCCAGGTAAAATGGGTGTCTTGGGGGTCGAAGCAATTCCCCCAACTTACGAGATTGCCATGATGATGAGCGGTGCCATGGAGACAGGTGTGATGGTGGTGAGGATCCAGGTGACGAGGACGCTGCACACAGCCGGGTAGGCCGAGAACAACAGCTGCTCAATCATCTACAACATGGGAGGACATCACATACACTCTCACGAGGAGAGACAACAAACTTGATGCATCATCAGGAGTGAGATGTCCCTGGCATTGACCCCTATTATTATAACCCTACTGCCACTTTTGCCAGTAGTATTGTAGGTATCTTGTCATCTCAAAGAAACCTTGTGAGAGGTACTACTTTTAAGTGAGACCTGCCGAGAGGCTTTACATTTGAACTATAAGACCTGCTTGGAGGCTTTACATTTGAACTATAAGACCTCCTTGGAGGCCTTACATTTGAACTATAAGACCTGCTTGGAGGCTTTACATTTGAGTCGTAAGACCTGCTTGGAGGCTTTACATTTGAGTTGTAAGACCTGCTTGGAGGCCTTACATTTGAACTATAAGACCTCCTTGGAGGCTTTACATTTGAACTATAAGACCTGCTTGGAGGCTTTACATTTGAGTCGTAAGACCTGCTTGGAGGCCTTACATTTGAACTATAAGACCTCCTTGGAGGCTTTACATTTGAACTATAAGACCTGCTTGGAGGCTTTACATTTGAGTCGTAAGACCTGCTTGGAGGCTTTACATTTGAGTCGTAAGACCTGCTTGGAGGCTTTATATTTGAACTGTAAGACCTCCTTGTTGGAGGCTTTACATTTGAACTGTAAGACGTGCTTGGAGGCTTCATATTTGAACTGTAAGACCTCCTTGGAGGCTTTACATTTGAACTGTAAGACGTGCTTGGAGGCTTCATATTTGAACTGTAAGACCTCCTTGGAGGCTTTACATTTGAATTGTGAAACCTGCTACAAGGCATTACATTTAAGTTGTAAGAATTGTAAGATTTTACAGGTGAAATGTATAAACAGCCTTTTCAATCTGCATATAATGGTGATTTTTGGCAAGTTAAAAGTCACAATTTTTTTACATAAATATTCCATGATGTGAATTGAACCTCAAACCTCACGACATGTTTGGTTTTGTAGCCCAATGTTTTCCCATGCAGCCACCAGGGCAGGTGATGAAAGGGTGTTCAATCTTACATGTCATGACATCAGTTGTCTACATTCTGCATGTGGTCTTTCTCTCGTCCACTGTCACTGCTATAACTGTGTTTTTTCACCATAAGGAATCCTGATGTGTTTTAATTCTTTCTCGTACGAGCTTGTATTTATTGAATTGAGACGGTTCATAAGTTGGTTAAAACAATCCTCCGAGGTTTTGGTTGGAAATGTTCAACCTCAAGTGAGGAAAAAAATCTTTACCCTCAATCCAAATCTCATTAAAATCAGACCTTAGTTCTTGCTACAGCTAAACAAATATCTGAGGACATCAAATTACGGATCACGTCAGAACCTTTCATCTGACCAATCAAAACGTTGCTTACCAGATTGGGGAAGTGACAGTTGGAATGTGTTTTCGAATCATTCAACCTCAAAAAGATTAATACAAGATAATCCAAACAGCTGTACAGCTGATTCCTTCCAAGTCATCTGCTCTGGCTTTAATGGGATGAACAATTGAAACGGAAGACACTTTGCATAGCCAGTGGGAAGTACCCCACCACAATCTCAGTCATCTATTAGACATCCCAGAAATTTCTGTGTTCAGTTTTCAAACCTTGAAATAAGAACATCGTCAAAATAGTCTGGAAGGGACATCACCAATTTGAAGTCCTGTAAAGCTAGAGAAAGCAGCTTTCTGATTAGCTAATGCCAACTTCTTGTAAGTCATCAAATTGACAGACAAAGTTCACTACAGGTTGTTCTGACGTGACCTGTAATGGGACGTCCTCAGATCTATGTATAGCGGCAACGAGAACTACGATCTGACTTTAATGAGACTGCCCTCACTCCAGGTTTTACATTTTCAACCCAAACCTTGGAGTTGTGCATAACCTGAACAATACCCGCTATGTTTAAGTATGGGCCACATTGACTTACAATTCTTTAACTACGCCCATTGTTTCCATAGTTTAATATAAAGCTCAGCTCTCGTTTATAAGTATCAGAAGGGGTATTTCCCTACCTGAGCAAGCAGTGGTTCTTCAGTGCGGAAGGCAACAAACAGAAGAATGATCCAGCCTCCTGTCAGTATGACGTAAGCGTTGATAGCACCAATCAGGAAGACATTCCACAGTGATAACCTGGAACAAAGTGAAAAGGTTTGTCTACCAGCTCATGTGGAAAGTTTGAAATATGATTTGCTTTTTCAGTGACGATAAATTTGTTGCAGGAAGATAGCGAATGAACAGTGTTTTACTGCATAGACACTGTTTTAGTCCGTAATATTGCATTAATGTCAGTAAAGGGGGTTTAGATCTGGAGCTCACGAACCACTGGTCGATGGAGTGAGCAGCGACAGGTTTAAAATGTTGGGGGTATGTTACAGGCTGTAACACACTACACCAGCCAAGCAGGAAGGGTATTTGCTAATCATGAGTAGCCACTAGGTGTGTCAATCACTGGATTGTCCAGTCCAGACACGACTTCTTACTCACCGCAGTCATATAGCTGGAGTATTGCTGAGTGCGGCATTAAACTAACAAAAAACAAAACACTAGGTGTGTCATAAGGGATGCACTGCAAATTTACACCTGATATATACATATGCCTACCCATGTATTGATCTTATGTTTTGTACTGATCTATGCGTGTCAGGAAAGACAATGACTCAGTATCATCGAGGGTGTTTATTCAGCAGCCTTGCACACGGTTTGAAGTGACACAAAACGTATACAAGCATGTTATAGAAACTGTTATACATAAAGGTGAGGTGAGGTGAAATTGGGTTTAACGTCACTTCCAAGATTATTGCACTTATATAGCGACGTGCATGCGTGTGTGTGCTAGTCCAAACTGATGCCGATTGAGATTCCATGCCGAGGTTAACACAAATACCCCACTCAGACACATATACTGACTCTAAGCCAAACAGTTCCTGTTTTAGTCCCTAATGCCGAGCGCCAGACAGGTTAACAACAAGTACCACCTTTTAACGTCTTTTGATATGACGCGGCCGGGGATTGAACACTGGACCTTTCGCTCCCTGGGCGGACGCTCTACCACTAGACCACAGAGGCGGTCTCGTCATCTAAAATGATTATCTGACATAATTACATAATCAGAGTATCATGTCTATTTTAGATACTTATCCAGCATTACATATTGCATATTGCTCTTAGTAACAAAGTCCTAACTGGAAATAATTAAATTTTCGTTGTGTTCATTGAAATTCCTGCACTCTGATTAGCTGAATTGGTAACGTGTTATTGCATTCATTTCCCAATGAATGTAAAAAATTAAGCCACGCCCACTGAGGCGCACTACTTTTATTACTGCAGAATGTCGGGGAATCCCAATATTACAGTCTGGGGAATTCCCTTTCTGCTCACGTATATATCGACACAGGACATTTAGCGATATTCATGCATATTCATTGTCCAAACTACCCTTTGAAACCGAAGGCCGAGAAGGAATGAAATAGCAAACGTGCAGGCTCGCTTGCCTGGGTTTTTTTCCCGCTCACCTCGGTTCCACAACTTCATGTCTTCTAGCATAAATTAAACAATCACAATTCATGTCACACCACAGTATGTATTCCTACACCTGGAATGTTTATCAGTCTCGTCATTTTTGTCTCCTTTGATATATACAACTGTTTTGGGTTAAACTATTGTAGATATAATTAAATTCAACAATGAAAATATGTTATAAGCACTGACTTTATAGTTTTCGGATTCTTACAAATTTTTTTTGCACATTGATTTTTTTATTCATACCTCGATGAACCGAAAAAAATACACAGTCAATGCTTAAATGAATATATGACCATGATGTTGCAGAAACTCGGACAGATAACCACTTGGACTACCTTACCTAGCCTTAACTTACCCTCTATCACAGAACTAAACGTTAAATCTGATGTCTGTTGAACATAGCTATACTCACCAGATCAGAAGAAGAACGGACACGGACATCAGGATTTTGGTTGGTTGGTTTGTTGTTTAACGCCGCACTCAGCAATATTCCAGCTTTATGACGGCGGTCTGTAAATAATCGAGTCTGGGCCAGACAATCCAGTGATTGATATCATGAGCATCGATCCACGCAATTGGGATTAATGACATGCATCAACCAAGTCAGTGAGCCTGACCCCCCTGATCCCTCTGAAGACCTATTCTACCCCGGATCTTCACGGGTCTGAACACCAGGATGTGACATGTCTATTGAACAACGCTATACTCACCAGATCAGAGGAAGAACGGACACAAACACCAGGATGTGACATGTCTGTTGGACATAGCTATACTCACCAGATCAGAGGAAGAACGGACACAAACACCAGGATGTGACATGTCTGTTGGACAACGCTATACTCACCAGATCAGAGGAAGAACGGACACAAACACCAGGATGTGACAAGGAATGAAGAACAGAGTGAAGATGATCACAGACCTGGAACAAGCAACAACAGCGACATGAAAGTTGATGCTGATATCATTTCATCAACACATCACTGATTTTCAGTCATCCAACTCTGTAATTTTCACTGCCATTTTGCCTTATGATACGATGGGATACGATGACATGCATCAACCAAGTCAGCAAGTCTGACCACCCAATCCTGTTTGTCACCTTTTACGATAAGCATGGGTTCCTGAGGGAATCATTAACTACTACACATAACAATCACAAAATTAAGTAGACTTTGAATGAAGCTCCTATGATAGCCAACTCAAGTCTAGGAGTGAGTGAGTGAGTGAGTAAGGTTTTAAGCCGCTTTTAGCAATATTCCAGCAATATCACGGCAGGGGACACTAGAAATGGGCTTCACACATTGTATCCATGTCAGGAATCGAACCTGGGTCATCGGCATGACGAGCGAACACTTTAACCACTAGGCTACCCGACCACCCCCTCGAGTCGGGGAGACAAACAATGTGTGTTAATGTAGAGTACCTGTAGTTTTAACCATGCTATTTCGATCTGACTGCAGGGCTAGTGGTTTCATACATTTAACTCAGCATATTGCTAAATGTACAGGTAAGCTGGATCTACATTAAAAACACAGTTTGTTTGTCTCTATTGTGCCATGACAAAATTAAACATGACATTTACTATGAGCGAAAATACTGAGTCAAGTGAAACAGGCTGAGTCTAATGTTTAGAGTGGATTGTCAATGTGCATTAAGGAAACAGCCTTTGATTAAATAGTGATCCTCTGGGGGGGGGGGGGAAGTCCCATCATCATACGTCACTTTCACACGCACTGAAAGTGTTTAGCACGGCTATTTCGTAGAGCAACATGGAGTGGACACCATTTATATAAAATGAACCAAGTCCTACAAGATTCAGTTCACCAGCAAACACTACTACTATGATGTTACATCGCTCATTGTGACGCAAAAGATTCGACTTCACACTCAGATAAAGATACGTCACATTCAGACATAGCAAAAGGCAAAATCTCACTGCTGTCCCCAAAAGAAATACTGTATTCAAAATAATAAGCGCCCCGCTCTAATAAGCGCCCACAGTGATATTCGCTAATATGTTGGCTAGTGAACAATCCCAATTAGTTTGATCAATGTACACAAGACTTATTTATTCGTGTATAATACGCACTCGTGTGTTATATGCACCCTTAATTATGGGCAATAAAATTCTGGAAAGATATATAAACATTTCAGGCTGTCAGCATAAACCACGAAATTTACAATCTTTCAACACCTTGGGTACTTATTACTCTTAGTTAATATCTTCTGTATTTCCAGCAAAACATGTTTTGCTACACACGTTATGAATTTTGTCGTAACCGCAATTCTGCATTTAGTAGCCTTTTATTGGACACATCATGATTTCAAAATGTCAACTGACTATGACTGAGAAAAAAGTAGACTTGTTAAACTACATGTATTGGTGATGTGGCCTTTGAAATCAGCCGTTTCAATCAGAGGTAGTTATTGTGATTTGAAACCTATGATTTTCCAACCAAAGTCCTAGTAGAATTCCTCTAAGCCTCACCTCCTCCTCTCTCCCATCCGATCCAGCAGAATCAGCAGCACTGTGCCCACAGTCATCATTGTCAGCATGCTGCAACACACAACACATGCTGTAGAACTCTCCAACAGAGTCTTCTCCAGACACAGACTGAATCTAAGGGGCAGTGTCCGAAAAAAAATGCCTGCCCGTGGCTGGTAACTTTTCTGTCAGGCTGCATGAAATTTTCAGCCGCCTGCCCGATTATCTAGCAAATAAATTTAGAACTACTTTATATTCAGGTTTATTATAACTCCTCGTAGATTCTCAAGTGATTGATTGCAATATTTCAACTGAATCAAGACATGATTTGTCTCTTTGTTTTTGTGATTTTTCAATATTTATAATGTCTGAATGCAGGCAGGTAACTTTGAAGATGGGGAGGCAACACTTATGAGTCACCTGCCCATTTGTCTTGTTTGGCTTTAAAATTATTTCATACACTGCTAAGGGGAAGAGTGCAAATGGTTCTCACAATTCTCCAACAAATCCGATGACAATGAGGAAGCAGGGGAGGGCGGCAGCACAGATCCGCTTGTGATATCGGAAAGGTCCAGGATCCACCAGCTTCTCCTCCTCCTCGGAAGAACTGTCCATAACCTGCCTCCTGTCATCTTCATCTTCGCTTTCCGAAACATCGGATTCTGTCTCGGTTGATACCTGGTGATGTACTCTTCGATGATGGAGTTGCTCCAGATCCAAGTCCATTTTACTTCTGAAATGCAACACAATAACTTTGCCCTTCTTTTCAGAAAGTGTCCTACCTCATACAACTGTCAGGATACAGCTGTGTAGAATGCCCTATCAGAGTTCTGAGTCAACCGGATGAAGGCCACAAAGACTTCAATCAGAATATATCTCAATAACTTTTTAAACGGCATTTGGAATGATGAACAAGGGAAATTGTTCTATGGAAATACAACTTCTTTATTACAATGAATGCGGTGTTTCAGTGAAGATACAACACTTGCTTGGTAACCTACACCAAAAGTTTGCATACATTATAATAAAGAGTGAGTGAGTGAGTGAGTGAGTGTGTGAGTTGGATTTAATGCCGCTTTTAACAGTATTCCAGTTATATCATGGCGTGTTAGCTTAATGTGGGAGGAAAGCCCAAAGTGATGCAGGTCTCAGACGTTTACCACTTCGGTGAAACCCACGGGCACGGGTATGGTGCTGACAAACCTAGAAACATAATCGGGGCGAACCGGGATTCGAACCCACAATCATAGGTTTCTGGCGTGCGAATCATAGGTTTCTGCACAGCGAATCGCGGCACCTTAGACGACTGGGCCACCCATGCCTAAGACAAATCCAGTCTTGCTTGACAACAGTATAAGGATCTTTACCAAAATGCCGCTATTACAGTATAATAACGATGGCTTTGTCCATAAACTTTTCTCTGCTTTGTGAAAATATTTTATTATGGCCTCATAGATGTGTGTAAAACAGTAATACAAATAAAAGAATTGTCGAGACAATGTCTGTATTAATAGTACTAAAATAAATACATGCTGTATTGGACCTGTGAAGATCCTGGTTAGAATTGGTTTTCAGCAAAACATGCTTTGAAAGAGGCTACTATACTTGTAGCAAGAGGCTACCAGGATCAGGTGGTCAGGGTGACTGACTTGATGCATGTCTTCGTATCCCAGTTGTGTAGATCAATGCTCATGATGTCAATCACTGGATTGTCTGGTCCAGACTTGATTTTTAACAGACCGCAGGAATATTGGTGAGTGTGGCATTAACAACAAACTAACATAAGGTACAGAAATATACTCCAATAACGAAACTGTTCACACTTTAATATGTTTAATCTCAATCTGCAGTTTAAAAAATGAATAAGGGGATGTTGCAATTGTGTTGATTAATATCACCAAGCACTTCCCGCTGCACAGAATAGTGTGCTTGCATAGGCCTATTCTTATTGACACACAATGACACACACAAGTAATATACAGAAGTAACACAAATACACTTTAAGAAATATGTCCAGATTAGTCTCATCCAAAGTGTCGTGTAAGTAATTTACTTGAGGGGTCCAACTGTCACGGCAATACACAGTGCACTTTGTTGGCCAGCAAAAAAATTTAATTGCTTCCTATCACTTGTCATCATAATAAATCAATATTAACAGGCAGCCATGAATATGTCTACATTCCAAAGCAAGGATAAAGGGGGAAATCAGGTTACAATTATTGACAGAGCAAATTGCCTTGGTGTAATATGCCATTTCAAAAAAAAATAAGGGGGACATTCTATTGATGCTTTCCGTTCTGGTGCACACTGTTGTTTAATATCGATTCGAAAGTCAAATTTGTTTTAAAAGTCCAGAGACTGTGGGCTCGGCTGTTACCTGATCCACGATCAAACACTTACATGTTAATGAATTGTAAATCTTTTACATCCTCGAGACAACGTTAGTGCATGCTGCCATCTTGGAAAACCCCTTTGTCACGTGATTTGTGGAATTCCCTATATATATCAGTGACGTCACAATGGTTCGCGGGCTCTGAAGTGAAGTGACAGGTGCCCGAAAATAATGTTGGAAGAGTTTTTGAAATACAGGTTTTCACTTGTCATTATGAAATATATTGATTTACCAACTTTGAATACCTCCGAATAAACTACTTTCTATAAAGTTTTTAAATATATCTAATTGAAATGTAAACATTGGGAAACCCCTTACCGGCGCGTGAGGAAATCCACGCATGTTATGATGACGTCAGAGGGATGGTGGTGTTCAAGATGGCGGCGGTGTGCATGGGAGATAATGGTTCATTAGATAGTGAGGATTTAGCTGAAAGGAATACCGATCCTGTGTTGTTCGATATGGTGAAGAAAAATGGCATCAATCATAATTGTTTATTTGGAGATAAAAATTGTGACCCATTGGAATCTACCGTGTCAAAGCATGAAAAAATGCCTAAAATTAATGGGTGCAGCGTGAAGCCACAAGGCTTGCCTGCGTTTCCTAAACCATCCATCCCAACTTTACGATCAAGGAAAGACAAAATACCTCCAGAAATCCAAAAGAGGAAGAGGAGAGCATCTAAGCAAGATATTAGTGAACCTAAAGAAGAGTAAGTATTTGTCATTTATTCAGTGTTTATTCGTGTCATGGGCTGGGATGGGCGAGGTTTAGACGGACTCTCACACAAGGCTGTGGCTAAACACTCGGCGTGTGTTGCATTAGCATATGTATAGGGGGGGCTCGGTCCCTCTCTCCCTTGAGATCCATGTTGGCAGGGGTCAGCTCAAGTTCTTTCATCTGCATCAAATTCAGCTACTGCATTACATCTCTCAGACACAAGTCCAACTGTTATACATTTATAAAACCAACGTGATGTTTTATTTGACATTCTTCATGGAAGACATCTAAGGTTTTCCCTCCGTGCTGGAACATGATTGGATCACTTACCATTTGTCAGTAGCCTATCATCTGATTTTGCTGATTAGGCAATTGTCTTTGTCTCAACATACATGTAACAAACAATTAAGACAAATTGCACCTGTAGCTGTGATTGGTGCTATTTGCCTTGTGGACCATTAAGCAACTAGCAATACACAAGAGATTACATGGTACTACCCATCTCCACACACGCATTGGCTTTTTTTGGCAATCTACATGTTTGAGACTGAATATATTTTAATTGTTTTCCAATCATAAGAATAAATACATTTAAATCAAATTTGTATTCTGTAAGATCTTCTTATGAATTTTTTTAGACCCTGCTGTGGTTGGTAGCAGTGTCTGATGTGATTCTGTACTCAAGAGTTTGTTTTGCATCAAAATGACTTTGTTCAGTGTTGGTAATATTTTTGTTGACTGTAGAATAATATTTTTCAAAATATTGCACTGAGCTTCTTCATATTTGAAAACAAACTTTTCAAATATTATTTGTGTCAGCTCTGCCTGTTTTCATTGAGCAGGTATTTTCTTGATTTATTTAAGTAGATTAGGCTTCTCTTATCTCTGAGGACGAAATAACGGTAAAAATGATATTACTAATAATCCTGTCAAACTATTTCATCTTGCATAATAGATAACACCAAAGATTCTTTCATGAAAAGAATTTCCCTTTTAAGGAGCCTAAAATGACAGTCCGGACACTTTTAACTCTTGTTTTATGACTTTTGAATACATATTTACAGGTGGAACCTAGTCTTTGGAAGCAGTAATATCTGATATTTACAAAAGCAGCGCTAATATTCTGTACATAGTTAATGCAAATTTAAGCAGGTATGGAATTGCCAGGTGTACGTTAATGCCATAATTACTGTTAAGCCATAAAATCCAAGAGAATTTAAGGTTTTTAAGAGTTATTCATATTGCTCTGTTAAACCCATTTTTGGATAGACAATATATTTGGAGTTAGTTGTAATAGATCACATATTGATAGCTATTAGATTTGTGAAATGATACTTTATCACATTTCCATTGTTGTAACGTCAAGTGTGCTAAACTATACCATCAGCTTGAGAAGAGGGAATAAATCAACAATATGTCAGCCAGTGCTGCTGTAATGTTTCATATTCTAAGGTATTCAGTGTAGTAACCCTTTCTGATTTTGAAAGAAAATTGCTAATGTGACTTTCAATGAAACAATTTGGTTTCTTCCTATACCAGTCTGAGGACAAATACCTTGTGGGAAATCACCTGGTGCAAACTGTCAGATTGGGCTAAAAGTGATTATGGCATTAATCTTTTACTTCACCAATTGATTTCTTATCGTGAATCTAATTGAATCCCTGTTGCAGTTAAGCTGTTATCCATTTTATTGGGCTTGAAAAATTCTGTTACAACCAATCTCTGTAACTGCTTTCTCAAACAAAATACATGCAGTTTAAGTTAAATATTAATGCTCTTTCTGTGTTAGTAATTTCACTCACATACTTTGTGGCGTAGACATATGTGTCAATTTGATTTTGCCTATGTTAAGTTCATCAGTTTTGTAAGGTTTTGAACGTCCGTGTTTTTGTTAAAATAATTGTTCAAATATAAGGGGGTCTTTTAGGAAATATCCTATGGTATTTGAATCTAGGATCTCCATAAATCTTTAATTTTTAACATTAGGAATATGATAAGAAACCCTTGATTTTGATCCTTGATGTTGAATGCTTAATATGGCTTTGTTTCCTTGATAGTATTTCCCTTTTCAGCAGATTGTAACAAATTAATTATTTAAAAGTAGATATTTCCTGAAAAAAAGCTTGTGTAAATTCTTTTAAAAAGGCCTATTTAAAACTGTGATTATAATTATATCTAAATTATATAATATGATTACCAGAATAATTTGAATAGGTGTGCACAGTACAACTTCACTTTATTATCAGAGTTATTGTACAAAGATAAAGGTTTTTCATATGCAGTAATCTTTTGTTTTTGATTTTTTGCTTTGTACTTTTACCTTATCCATTATCTCTGCTATTTATATGTTAAATCTGCTATTTTTATCATTCTTGAATGGTAAACAAGACAAGGAAGACATATGGAACCCTTAATCAACATGAAAGAAAGGAAGAGTATGTTTTCAGGTGTATTGTTTCCTACAGTGATAACTTCCATCCTCAACATGACAACATCCTCACATTAAAGTAGGAGACACTTGTGTAGTGGATTCTCCAGAGCTTCACATTGATTTGCTTGGGTCATAGGAAAAACTGCATCAATCGGGCAGCAAACTATGTTTTCCATTTTACTAGGAAAATAACTGAAAGCAGCCGGATTGAGAGAAGAGATCATTAGCATGATCTTTTTGCCGCAGTGAACAATGTCTGGTATCACAAATATTTAATTTGCTTTATCGTGTGTCTTTTTATATGACATCAAGTGTAAACTGATATTAAATGAATGATTATATATCTTTAAACTGTTTTGATACAGTGGGACATTTTAAAATTCGGGCTTGAAATGAAATATTAAACGTTCAGGAAAAACAGTAGTTTCAAAGAAAATAATGTAATGTTTAGTTTTATACCATCAATATTCAAGTAATACAGACATCTGTGCATGTATTTTGGTGTAACTACAATATTTTCAGGTCATAATCAACTGTCCATAAATAGTACCTTCTTTTACAAATCATTAATGGAAAACATGCACAAGTGTTTTACTGCAATCTTCTTCCTACTCTTTCATCATTTTTAAATGTGCAATAAAATGTTCTTGGAGATGTTAAATATTTCAACCTTTGTAAATGTTGAAAAAAATGTAAATCAACAAGAAATAAATAAAAAGTGTGGTAGAACTGCCATGGGCCGATTGGAAAGTGTGTGATCAGGACAACAGATGTGGGATGACAGATGATGGTTGTGGGGAGGTCAGTCTATTCATGATGGGGGACACTACCTTGTGCTGGACGAGTCTCACAGCCAGCGGGAAGAAAGGATTCTCCTCTCTATTGAGCTGTGGAGATTCTGAGCAATCACACCCGGCCTCCATTAATCATCCTGTCTGCACAGACATTGAACAACAGTCCTGGCTGGAGCATCAGTTTTTTCACATTTATGATGGGATATGAAATCTGATTTTTGTCAATGTGTACACACAGTCAGTGACAATTAGGAAGATTTTCAACTCTCCCTGTGAAATATTATTTTGTTAATTATTGTTGGTTCAAATATTTTGACCGTATCCAGGATAGACACAATTGGCCATATCTAGCTAGTCGACCATTGACAAGTGGTTTATGTAAAATAACTAGATTTGGGGGTAAAACAACTTTATTTTCACTAGTTTCTGACCTGTGGTTATGTCCCTCCCTGAATTATCAATTCAGTGAATATGTTTGAGGTAAAGCCTTTTATCTAATGTCCCAGAATGTTGAATTAAAAGACATCTTTTGAAGGTCTTTTTAAAATGTTCATAATAATATGCTCTACCTGTATTTCTTTATCTAGAGCTAGTCATGAGACATCCACTAAAATATACTATTTTTAGCAGACATTATGTTCACACTGACAAATCTTAACTAGTTCTCAGTTGGTCAGGTAACTATACAACTGTTTGTGGCTTACAAGTAATACCATCCACCAAGTACCCATTATATTGAATATTATATACCATATTTGACATAATAAGCGCCCAGTGCGCTCTCAAAATTAGAAATAGGGGGCTCTTATAAGAATATAATTTTGGTGAGAGAAAAAACAGAGTTGAAAGAGCATAAATTTCATGGTTTATGCTGACAGCCTGAAATGATACAAAAGAAAAGTCTGTGTGTATTATACACGGCAGATGTATTTTCCAGAATTTAATTGCCCATAATTAAGGTTGCATATAACACATGAGTGCGTATTATACACAAATAAATAAGTGTACATTGATTAATCGGAATGGGCGCTAATTGGGATTGTTCACTAGCCAATATATTAGCAAATATCGCCTTGGACGCTTATTACGTCTAATACAGTAGCTACATTTGTAATTTCTACCTTAGTACTTGTAACACAATGGGATAAGTTTGGAACACTGGAGCTTCCTTGTAGTTTTTGTGAAAATTTGCATATTCTGTAAAACCTGCTGGATATTCCAGTCACCAAGTCTGGTCACGTGAATGTTGTGTTGGATCCAGTCCATCATTTAGCGCCACTAATTTGATAACAGCACATTTATACCGATTATCATTGTTAACCAGATTATCACAACCCTGTGATAGAAATCAGACTCTTGGCTCTAAAGTGTTTAAGGAACTTGCTACTCATCTGAAAAATAAGCACATAAAAATATTGTGTGAACATGCATCCATGTCGGTTTCAAAACAGCCTGCATCATTACAGACTCTGCTACTCTACCAACTGCCATCTCTCAGACAGTATTCATATATTATGATTAAATGTAGATTGTCTAATCATCCGATCATACGTTTGTTACATGTAGTTATCACTCTTAGGTATTTGCAGACAGAATCTAACTGTGTAAAGATATATTAGATATATTATATACCATCCAAGGACAGGGATTTACGCAACTCACAGATGTTGAGATTGGACTCCGAAAAAGAATATACTGCATCCAAAGGGACACATATAATAATATTCATTGTACCTATAGTGTTACCATGGTTACAAGAGCAGTTAT